TAGAATTATAATCTCATGTGGGAGAGCCAAGCTTCGGCACGAATGGGCCGGCTCGACCGGAGTGACACCACGGCCTCACAGATAACCGACGTGAAACAACGCTTGCGTTGTGTTTCGTCGTGTGAGTGAGGATACCTGAGGCGCAATCCCCAGCCTTCCCAATCCCCGAATCCAATACAATCCTCCAATACCCAAAAGGCCGGTAACGGACTTGTAACGCCCCTGGTGTTTCAGAAGTCCATAAGCGGCTCCAATTGCTTACCATCAGATCGTTTACTGGCTTATCCAATTAAAAAGGATAAACAAATATGAATCTACCTAGAGGTAATTAGTGATATCTACATATTTCTTGGACTTTATTCCATGCTATTTCATTTATAATTTCCCTCTTGTTACATTACAAAGAGCGACGTACATTGTTAGTTCCACGATAATCCAGTATGAAGGCTTAATTAGAAAATCCTAATGAGAAAAACAATTAGGGAAATGTGAATAACAACCACACAACCAGCTAGATGGAATAAAAAATGCCCTGTCTGTGTTAATTACGGTCCGTTCATATATTTTGTATGGTGAAATACAAGGAAAAAAACTTAGACATTCGTATAATTTAAAGGCAATATTAAAAGTCTGTAGTCCTGTCTGTGTACTTTATAGAAACTGGGTTTTGAACCTATGAAATTACCATTTATTTTATAAGAAACTTTTGCATTCCAATACCCCAAAATATCGTTTGAAAAGGCAATTTAAATAAAACATTCCGATATTATTTTCTCCAAGACACAAAAATAAGTACCAAATTAAAACTCCCTAATTCATTTTCTAAGTCGATTAAAAAGGTAACCTTGCAAAATTACAAGGATACAATTAAATGCTTTAGCTGCAAATCAATAAAGGTTATTATTGCATGCAAAAGAGCGTAAGGAAATAATTCAAAGAAAAGTTATTGAAATGTGCGGATTCTTGCTTTTATATGCAAATTCTCTTTGTGAGCTTTTTACATGCCGTGATCGGGCGCTTTGTTTGAGAGAAGTCGCGGTTTATAGGAAAATATTGATGTGAAATCGTAATAGCGGGACTTTAATCAAAATATGAAGCCTTTGTACATTATTATAACCCTCTTGTCTAGATCTAAAGGCCACAAATATGATTGCTAGTGAGTCATTTCGGTCATCGAGTCGAGTAATACATTTTTGACTGAATACATTGTTTTATAGATACTACTTATTCAATAGAATTACCATTCCAGATCTTGATAAAACGTAAAAACTGCATTTCTATCTCTCACTCGCATTTTCGTCACATCCATCACGATCCTAAAGGATATTTAAAAAACTTGCGCTCATTTCAACAATATTTAATCAGTAGTCTTATCTTGTCGACTGTAGCATTTTGTAAAGTTCGACTCTCGAATCCGAACGAACCTTTAGAGAGGTGCGGCGTCAGCGTTCGGAGAGCATCACTCAGCGATGGAAACACCCTCGAGTTGAACGACCACCCTCAACTCCCCACAGAGGGTGCTAGCATCGAAAATGGCAATTGTTAACATCTGCTTAACAATGCACAAAAGTATGTATTTTATTATCAGTTTTAATACATTAGGCTCCTCCTGTATAAAAAATATGGGACTAATAAACAAGACCGGCATAGAGTTATAGACTCATCTCTTAAGGCAAATTAAATATATCTACAAAAGAGTCCTTAATCTTCAACAAACAACAATTTCCTTACAAAATAACAGATGAATGACGTTATATAACATGTATCCCATATCATCATCAACCTATTTCCGGCCACCGCTGGAAATAGGGCTCTCTAATAGCCACTGAACTCGATCTTCCGCACTTCAACGTTTGCCAGCCACTTTGCGGATGCTGTCATCCCACTTATTTTGTATGTGTATATTCTGGTACAGCATTAGTACATAGTATAATTATAACGTCAAACATAGCGTTAACGTCGCCTTTGATCCCCAAAGGTGTAGGTAGAGATATACACAATATGAAACCCATTTTTCACCAAATAAAACAACGGAGTTTATTTTTTGCAAACAGAATTGTATTACGAAAAAAAGTACTTTTAGACAATACATCAATTTCAAAAAAAACTAAACTAAGCCAAAGCCGACATTTCCTGACTACTCTGAGAAGAGTACTCAGATATGGTGTGAAGTGGGTCTATTGCAAAATAATATATCGGGAACCATTCCTAAAACTGTGATGCTCCTGAGCTATTTTCTTATATCCGAAAAAAGAACATTAAATTTTTACTCACCCACAATGCCCGGTGATCGCGCTTGCGATCTTTTGACCACTAAGGTAGCCAAAGCATTAGTTAACATCAATTCAAATTAATACAACTATTTATTTAAAAAAAAAGAGAAACGAATAAACCGTGATGGTAATATACTTTTGTAAAAATTTGGTGAAACGAGATCTTCAGATTCTACTATTTTTATTTTTGTTGAATCTTAAAGTCGGTAGAAAAGAGAGCTCCTTAAGGACTCATAATCGGAAGATTACTGTTCGATTTGGCAGGAAGCGAACCGTAGAGCCTGAGAGCAATCTCCGGGGAATGTGAATGTTTTATAACTGCTCTTTAGAGCACCATGGAAAATTTCCATTTTGAATAATGCTTTAGATTGTTTACCCAGTTTGATTATATACCCAGACTGCCTCGTTGGCCGAGTGGTCGCAAGCGCGACTCTCCATCCACTTTTCACTAATTATGTTATTAGTCCCATGTATTAGGGGGCGAACCTATTGCCATATACCGGACACAATTCCAGACTCCGTCCTACTATTGAGATTTTTTTAAACCGAACCCGAGACCAATTACCCGGTAGTCGCAATTGCGACCACTCGGCCAACGAGGCAGTATAAAAACATGACCTGATATTATTCTGAATTCAGATTATTAGTGATATTACACAATTCAAAACTCAACTGATACTATACTGACTAATTTAACTATAGTTCATTAAACACATTTGTCCAAGTAACACTTGAATAAATAAGTAGATAATTGCGTACCTACTTTTAAATTGTTACCGTGGTAAGTATACCCATTATATTACAACAGCTCTTGTCTGCCACAATCTGTAATCATGGCGTCTCTAATAGTGACGGGCGTTTCTTTGATAATCTTTAAATATTATATAACAAAACAATATTCTCCCGTGTTGTTTAGCACCATAGTAACTTACTTCCATCAGTATTTTAAAAGCAACGAATCAGTTTCTTGCAACCGAATTTTGTGTTTTAACCTCTTGTCTGTCGATACACGAGACACAATAGATAACACATTTTGTCTCGTGTAGATTTGCGTTCCGACATTTCACTGGTTAATCAACAGCATTGTTACCTTTTTATAATAACTATCGTGAGACATACTAAATTAAGTAAAAACGCGGGTTACTCACGTGAATATACTGAGAAAATTGAGCTGCGCGACGTCGCCGCTACCGCGCACGCTGAGGAAGAACCCCTCTGTGGTTCGAAACTAGTACAGCTTTTCTCAGTATATTCACATGAGTAACCCGCGTTTTTACTTAAGCATTGTTACCTTTAGGTTGAGGATAATGACGCCATTAAATTTGTGATTTTAAAAAAATGAATCAGCCACTAATTGAACTAGAATATAGCAAGACAATATATTACGTCATCTGTGAGTTAAAACTCAACGAAGATTTCAATGATGACTAACAACGGAAGTTATTAATATAACTTAATCCAAAATCTGTAGATTAAGATCGATTTTAGACACAAACTCCATACAACTAATGTCAAAAATCGATCCATTTCCACAGAATTAGCAATAAGTTTTGAACACGAGAACCTGATGTTGATCCTTGGATTGGATTGTTTCGTTATAATATTGCAGATCGCTCCATTCCCTAAGATAAAAAGTGTATAATCGAAAGGTGTTAGTTATGCATTGCAATCAGCTCCCTTCTGTTTACTGTTCACTGGATGCAATATGACTAGCAGGAAAATTGTGTTATAATTTACTATATATAACTGTCTATTATTTCCAGAATCCTTATCGTATCATTGCTTTATCTCATCATCATCAACAGCCTATAAATGCCGATGCTGAACAAAGCCTCTTCTCACACTGAGAAGGTTTGAACATTAATTTGCCACGCTTGCTCAATGCGGGTTAGCGATTATAAACTTATAATTTGAAATTATAATTAGAAATTATAAGTCCAGGTTTCCTCACGAGGTTTTCCTTTACCGTTTGTCAGTGGTATCCAGATAATATTAGATCATTGCTTATTCGAAGCTATTCCATTTTTAGTTTTTAGGTGTAGTGGTTTTTGACAAAATATACTCAAACCCTCTCTATAATTTCTATTCGCAGTCCTTGGTACATATTTACATTTCTTATCTCCTTAGATGGAGAATGGAAAACCACCTATGTGAAACATAAGATTACCTATTAGGCATACATTTAGGCAAACGTTGCTTTTTGTTTTATGGGATAAACCGGTAAACGAGTAGACGGATCACCTGATGGTAAGTCATCGGCGCCGCCAATGGACACCTGAAACACTAGAGGTGTTACAAGTGCGTTACCAGCCTTTTGGGGATTAGAAACTAAAGGATTGTTGGGGATTCGGGGATTAGAGAGATTGTCGTTACTATGTTTTATGAATGTGTCTCCATAGCTGTGTTAAAATAGGTACATGTGGCGATGATCCCCATTTATGATTCTCTTGTAAATTGGAATCTCGTATCCTGGGCGCCGTTAGGTATCAGAAACTTTTACATACAGCCTGCTCTTGGGCTTCCAAATCTAAACCGTTTGAAAGTTACATTTCAACTGCGAACACAAAACAGCAGCCATGTACCTAATAATATATTTTTATATTTTTTATATTTTTCCAAAACCCTGATCACTCATTATTCCAATTTAAACGACCTCCATTATTTAAGTATATGAAGTACCTCAAACAAAAGTCATAACATGGAATTATTAGGTAAATAAGTACTTACCTGTTTTAACATTGTTGTTGTTATTGGTCCCTGTGGCTTGGCTGAACAGGGAAGCTCCGGTGAGCCGGGCCCGACGCAGGATCCACCACATTTTCTCCAAATTACAATTTAAACAACTTGCAAACTATAGAATATATTCCAAATCTTCACTTTCTTACCGAGTAATGGATTTTTAAACCGCAAAATATGGATTTTTAAGCTTTTTTCACTTTACGATAAAAGTTGTGCACTAGTTTCTGTTATGAATGTTTTTATCGTTATCGTAAGTGCGCGTGTCGAGACTACCGTGCGAGAGACAAGCGTCCTTGCCGCATCACTAGTGGCACGGTACTGGCCGCGTCCTGGCGTGACATTTCCAAACACTGGCATGCGCAGTACTCGCACTACTCTAGTACCTACGTCTAACAGGTGTATCAGTAGCATGTTTGAATTTCGAACTATTGCTGTTTTTTTGTAAACTTTTGATTAACATGTCCGTGCTGTTACAATTTAAAATTAAAACTTGTAATAATTCTTGTCACATATTATTTTAGTTTTTTTTTAAGATATATAGAAATTTGAATTAGATGTTTTTTTTGTGTGTTGTTGTTGTGTTTTAATTTTTGTTTTAACATAACTTAATGAGATAACTTGTAAAATTTTGACTGAACTGATAATTAATAAATTGCTGTAATCTGGAACTCGTCAATTATAACATAACATGGGTGAGGATTCGTTGGCTCATAACGCAAGGGATAAGGCTCAACTTTTGGCAAAAATCTTTGCGTCCAACTCGACACTGGATGACGGTGGGCACGAGCCTCCTGTTGTGCCTTGGTGCGGAAGGTATATGCCGGATGTGCGGTTCCACCAGCGCACGGTACGTTTGGCGCTTTTGTCCCTTGACGTCCATAAGTCGAGTGGGCCTGATGGGATCCCACCCATTGTTTTGAAGATGTGCGCCCCCGAGTTGGCCCCAGTTCTAACACGTCTTTTTCGGCTCTCTTACTCCTCAGGCGTAGTTCCGACGTCCTGGAAGACAGCTTTAGTCCACCCAATCCCTAAAAAAGGTGACCGATCTAACCCGTCTAACTACAGACCGATAGCCATAACTTCCCTCTTCTCGAAAATAATGGAGTCCATTATTAACTGCCAGCTCCTGCGTTACTTAGAGGATCATCAGCTGCTCAGTGACCAGCAATACGGTTTTCGTAAAGGGCGGTCTGCTGGTGATCTTCTTGTTTACCTAACGCATCGGTGGGCACAGGCGATCGAGTCTAAGGGGGAAGCGTTGGCAGTAAGTTTAGACGTGGCGAAGGCCTTCGATCGGGTTTGGCATAGAGCGCTTCTTTCGAAGCTTCCTTCCTACGGACTTCCTGAGAAATTATGCAAATGGGTCTCCTGCTTCCTTGCAGACAGAAGCATTAAAGTCGTCGTCGACGGTGAATGCTCTGACTTGATGTCTGTAAACGCAGGTGTCCCTCAAGGCTGCGTGCTGTCGCCTACATTGTTCCTCCTCCATATCAATGACATGCTGCAAATCAGCGGCATTCATTGTTATGCGGATGACAGCACAGGCGATGCCTACTACACCGGCCGTGCTAACATTTCTCGGGAAAACGTCATAGAGAGCCGAAACAGACTCGTGTCTGAAATCGAGACCTCTTTAGGGAGAATCTCTGATTGGGGTGGGCTTAATTTGGTCTAGTTTAACCCCACTAAGACACAAGTCTGCGTGTTTACCGCTAAGAAACTGCCGTTGGTCGTCTCTCCTCATTTTCAAAGCACCCCCCTAACTGCCTCAGCCGGTATTGGAATACTTGGTGTCAACATTTCGAGCGACGTCCAGTTTTGCGGTCATTTAGAGGATAAGGCCAAATTAGCCTCGAGGAAGCTTGGTGTGCTCAATAGATCGAGGCAGTATTTCACCCCGGCCCACCGCCTGCTTCTATATAAGGCACAGGTGCGGCCCCACATGGAATACTGTTCTCATCTTTGGGCGGGGGCACCCCAGTACCAGCTTCTTCCTCTGGACCGCATTCAGCGGCGTGCCGTTCGGATTGTTGGATGTCCGGGTGTTTCAAACCGGCTCGACACTTTGGCAATGCGTAGAGATGTAGCTTCATTGTGCATTTTCTACCGCTTATACCACGGGGAGTGCTCTGAGGAATTGTTTGACCTGATACCTGCCGCATCTTTTCGCCATCGACCCTCACGACAGCATATGCATCCCCATCAAATAGATGGTTGGCAGGCCACAACTGTGCGGTTCTCACGTAGCTTCCTGCCTCGCACAACAAAACTGTGGAATGATCTGTCGTCGGCGGTATTTCCGAACCGATACGACCTTCAAACCTTCAAGAAAAGAGCGTACTCCTTTTTAAAAGGCCGGCAACGCACCTGTGACTCTTCTGGTGTTGCGGGTGTCCATGGGCGGCGCTGATCGCTTACCATCAGGTGATCCGTCTGCTCGTTTGACTCCAATTCCATAAAAAAAAAAAAAAAAAAACATAACATCACGCCTTTTATCCCCGAAGGGGTAGGCAGAGGTGCACATTATGCCACTGTACAATGTAACACTCACTTTTCACTATTTATGTTATGGGTCCCAATAATATGTAATAGGGAGTGAGCCTATTGCCATATACCGGGCACAATTCCGGACTCCGATTATAATATAGGAATAATAATTGCAAAGCTTGATTGATTGGTGGAACATGGTGAACTGCGCATTCATCTAACATCTTGTAACGCATCTAAATATACTGTGTTCAGCAATAAAGATATTTGAATTAAGAAAAATGAGAAAATGGTTTTTTTTTCATGTGTAGGAAACTGTAAACATTATCTTTTTCCACAAAATATATTACAAATCGTATTTAAATTACATAAATAAATATGATCTATGTGACTTAACAACTTAGACACCGGACTTCTAAAAATATAGTTAATTTTCAATCAAATTTAACGTCAATTTTTCGGTAAAATTTTAGTAATTTGAAAACATATTATCATTGTTTGAGAAGTCATTACAAAAAATGCAATTCTAAAGAAACATTAATTCAACACGTTGCTAATCGAAACAGTCTTTATATTTAAGATATAATTTCTCGATATAAAATGTTAGTCTATGGCCGTTAGCCCGATGTACCGGCCTTTAAGGCAGCCACCTCCTTCAACCTGGCATTTTCGGCTACCAGAGCTTGCACCCTCTGTTCATATTTCTCTCTTAGTTCCTGTATTACAAAAAAAACATTTAAAGTACGTCAAAAATCTTATTAATTTATAACTAGACAATGTTATTTTGTTTTCACTGGGCAATACATTACGAAATTATAGATATGTATTACTTTTCCTGTGGTAATGGTGAACGACTTTTATTTAAAAGAAAACTATGGTTTGGCTACTTAAGTTTGAAATCGCCAATACACGAAGCAAGCCTGGTGATAAAAGCTCGTTCTTCGTGTGAGAAGCGAAACCTTTATAGAAAAGTTACAGACTAATGATGACAATCATCATCAACAGCCTATAAATGCCCACTGCTGAGCAAAACCTCTTCTCACACGGATAAGGTTTGAGCATTAATCACCACGCTTGCTCAATGCGGGTTGGCGATTACAAACTTATAATTAGAATTTATAAGCCCAGGTTTCCTCACGATGTTTTCCTTCACCGTTTGTCAGTGGTGTCTGAATAACCTTAGAAAGTACATATAACTCGGAAAAAGTCACATTGGTACTTGCCGTTGGTAGGTTTCGAACCCGCACCCTCATGCATGAGAAGTGCACGACACCTTATGATGATGACAATGGTGATGATGAGAATAGATTTTGTACAAGTGTGAAGCTTTATAACTCAACTCATAGTTTATACCTTGAAAATAGCGAGCTGTGTTTCGTACTCCTTCTTCAAGTCGTCATTGAGAGTGGTGCTGGTCTGTGCGCGCTGTAACACCAGCCCGTACCTGTCCTTCTCCGCTTTAAACCTCGCCTCCATTGCTTGAAGACGATCCTGGAATATTCCATACACCAAAATTGATGACCAAAAAAACTAACCAAATCAAAGAAAAAATAGTTGAATTTTCGTTATTCGTTTCTTTGTTGGATTCTCAAGCCCATACCAAAAAACCGATACTAAGTTTGTCGAGACTGACAATTATTATTACTTACAATGATTTTTCCTTGAAATATATCATCTTCAAATATAAATACAAAATTGTCAACAAGTACCTACATAAAAGCCGGAAAACAGCCTCCACGCGCGTCCTTTCGACCGCAAATATTGTAAGTATCCATTTCCTATAAAGCCACGATGGGGACCTCGAACAAAATACTTGTACTTTCTATCGAAACTTACCTCCATAGCTTTTACTTCAGAGTTTCTTATTTCCAACAAGTCCTTGGTGATCACGTTGATGTCCTTGAGAGATTGTACTTGTGTTGTTAAAGCCTCAATCTGTAGTTCCTGATTCTTCACCATCTTTGTCTTATCGAAGATCATACCGCGAGCTTTGTTGAGCAACTAGAATTAAATAATGTCCCTTGTTTCATTCTAGTCTTATGAAATACTCATAAATATTTGTTATGGTTTTTTGCTTTGTTAGCCGAATGCCAAATGAGAGGTCACGAGTTCGATTCGCAGGTCGCTCAAAGTATTTATTATTACGATTTGTTGGTTTAGGAGCTTATGAAAATGTTCAGTAGTAGCACTGATTTTAACAATACGAAAAAATGTTTAACTTGCTTGTGTTGGGTGTTTTGTGCATATTAAGACGAGGATGACATTTAAGAACCCTTGTCATGGTTCACAAAAACATACAAACCTCTTCATGCTGTTGTTTGATGTTTTCAATCATCTCATGATTCTTGCCGCTGGGTTTTGACAGAGCTGCTTGTAGTTCCGTCTCCAAATTCCGAACTCTTGCTTTTAGGAGATCAATCTCTTCTTCGCGAACCTTTAAATATTATTATGTAATAAGTATGATAGCAAAATCCTCCCAAATCTAAGTAGGGTAGCAAATAAGTACCTATTGATAAAATGGGTAAATAAGTATTGATGATGAATTAATGAAAGATCTGTGTCCTCGAAGGGGATTTATAAAATAGATATTAATGACAATAACCTCATGAGACATTTGCCTACTGACCTCTTTGGAGACATCCTGAAAAAGGGTCAGGTGCTGAATATACTTAAGTAGCGTGTTTGTAGGGTAACGTAATAATATTCTGTGAAGCTGTAATAATCAAATAAGTATGGATCGTTACAATCTTGGTTTTCCATCCAATACGGTGCCATTTTTGTTTCATTGCCTCGGTTACATTTTTATAAAGAAGACAAAATTTAAAGTTTTACCATAAAGGCTGTACTACTAATAGAAAAGTCGCAAGTGCGACTATCGGGCAAGAGGTCTCGGGTTCGATTCCCGGGTCGGGCAAAGTATTACTGGGTTTTTAAAAAAAATCTCAGCAGTAGCACGGAGTCTGGAATTGTGCCCGGTATATGGCAATAGCCTCACCCCCTATTACATGGGACTCATAACATAATTAGTGAAAAGTGGGTGTTACCTATGTGTGCACCTCTGCCTACCCCTTCGGGGATAAAAGGCGTGATGTTATGTTATGTTACTAATATAAACTTCAGATTATCAAACACCATAATATAACTTGAATTACCAAATAAAAATTATGGAGTAATACGAGAAGGTCATTAAATCGCTTTTCTATTATTAGAACATGCAGATACTGACATGGTCTAGTTTCTAGTCAAGTCTTATTTGCTTACCTTGAGTTCTAGTTTCATTCCATCCTCGGTCCTCTCACTCTTAATCTTCTCCAACTCTTCAATCTTCTTGAGGAGCTCCTGTTCTCTTTGCTGCCAGTCAAGCTGCAAAAAGGTTTCATTGTAAATTAGGACTTAACTTTGTACCTACTTCTATTTACCTACATACAAAATCAAAGAATAATAAAATCAAAAAACTCTATAAAAAGATCAATTCGGTTTATTTCTTTGAATAATTATTTATTTACTGTATCCTAAGTTTGTGACATGACTGCCCTTCCTACGGCAGACGTAGAAAAATACATTACATACAAAGTTTAGTTAATTAGTCCAAATTATAATTAACTAGCAGCCGGTCCCGGCTTCGCACGGGATTGACAATTATTTATTTTTGGATTGTTTTAGTGACATAACTACAATAGTTGGACATATGCTACCGCGGAGTTTTTTGTAGACATTATGATGTTCTTCAATATTGTTGTACATTATTTTGTTCTATCGCTAATAGTTTCGGCAGCGCATTCGACGAAAGACATTTTAAGACTCATTTTTCTACACCTTCGGTTACATTGTTCAAATTTTACCAAGGATCCCTAATTTTTTTCAAAATGAAATGTAGCCTGTGTCAAATGAGGAAGAATGTAGCATTCTATTGGTGAAAGAATTTTTTAAATCGGCCCAGTACTTTTTGAGCCTATTCATTACAAACATACAAAAAAAGGTACAAATCTTTCCTCTTTATAATATTAGTATAGATATAGATAAAACTTCTGTACAATTATCACAAAGCTTTAACAATAAAAGTTATTTTTCAACCGACTTCAAAAAAAGGAGTTTCCTAGTTTGATCTTATGTATGTCTGTATGTATGTATGTTTGTGCGCGACTATCTCGCGATTGGCTGAACCGATTTTGATGTTGTTTTCAGAAAATTGTTGGGTTACACATAGGAGAACACTTAAGTCACACGTTTTTTTCAACTTACTTTATAAAATACTTATTTTAATAGAAAACTACTAAACTAAAACACTAAGCTACAAGCTTACATTTTCTTTTGCATTATTGGGAACTTCTTTGGCGTCAGTAGTTTCAACAGTTTGTTCGACTGGCTTGCTTTGTACTACATCCTGTTGTACCTCCTTTATTTCCTCTGGTTTACTGTCTGGTTGGACGTTCGCCTCGACAGCCTGTGAATTTTGATAAATTATTGCTAAATACGACTGTACCTCGCTTCATGTTTTAATTCATACAATTTTTTTTTTTTAGTCTGTACTCTTTCGTCCATTGGTAAACGAGTACACAAAACTGCGATGTCCCCCTACGCGTCGCAAGAACTTGCGAATTGATTCGCATCGCGCATCAAAATCTTATCTTCCCAAAATCTTCTTTGTTTCTTTTTCCTGTATCTCCTAAGCAATAACAGAAGTGTACACTTCTTTTTACGATCCAAGTCACGGCCTAGTTTTCAATTTAAAATACGGTTGACGGTCGTCGAAGGAATGATCACCCTGGGAGACGCCTTGTCGCACGACATCGCATTGCAGCAATTCGCATCGAAATTTTTTGCGTTGCGAATTCGCATCGCATCGTATCGCAGTTTTGTGTACGAGCCCTAAATGTATCTGCTTATTTTTTATGGCATTAGTAAACGAACAAGCAGACAAATCATCTAACATAAAATAATAAACGTAAGTAATCAGCGCCACGCTGCGATAATCATGAAAAATTGTCGTAGGAAAATATATAAGTAAGCTTTTTTAATAAAGGTTGACATAATTTCTTCAACTTAGGTAACACTCGTGTTACTTTGACTTATCGACTAACTGCCAATTTCTATAACATATCGTAATCCAAAATATGTGGATTAAGATCGATTTTTGACAGAAACTCCGTACAACTACTGTCAATAATCGATCTATATCGACACATTTTGGATTAAGATAGTTTATTGAAATTGGCAGTATATGATTAGAACGTACGTACATGTGTATTTATTTTTCAACAAATGTTAAAAGAATTGTTACTTGACCAAAAAATAAGTAGTTTTAAACAGTGTTAAAACTGAATGTATAGCATAAACCTTCTATGAATAACTTACAGGTTTATTAACTTCTTCAGTGACCGGAGGCTGTGGTGCGGGGATTGCCTCTCCTCCGCCAGTCTCTCCAGACTCCGGGCATTGCGGTTGCACTTGATCTGCCTGAAAAATAAAATCAAACGTCAGTAACCAAAAAATACTTGTTATGGAATATGGCAATATAGGACGAGAAGATAGATCATCATCATCATCATCATCAACAGCCTATAAATACCCACTGCTGAGCAAAGCCTTTTCTCACACGGTTTGAGCATTAATCACCACGCTTGCTCAATGCGGGTTGGCGATTACAAACTTATAATTAGAAATTATAAGCCCAGATTTCCTCACGATGTTTTCCTTCACCGTTTGTCAGTGGTGTCTAAATAATCTTAGAAAGTCGGATAACTCGGAAAAAGTCACATTGGTACTTGCCGTTGGTAGGTTACGAACCCGCATTCTCATACATGAGAAGCCAGCGTCTTAAACCTCCGGGGCACCACGGCATTTAGAAGATACATCATCTGATGGTAAGCAATCATCGCTGTCGTGGAAACCAGGAGTCAGAACTGCGCAGCTAGACTAGGATTCGAGATCGGAAGGAGATTGGAGATGCTTTCCCTAAAATGGCACCTATTCCTTATTCCAGTTTTAAGTTTAAAGAAAAATCATTCATTTTTGTGTTACCTACGTAAAGGTTGGCGAGATCAAGGAAATTCGAAATACAAAGCCGATTACCATCCGATATCGAAATGAAAATTTCAATTGAACTAGATTACAGAAGTGAAGCGCATTGAAGAATACCTTTTTTATTAAATAAAACCGTAGATACAAGGCTCTGGCAAATGTTAGTTTGAGCCCATTGATATAGTAATGGAGAGACCAATGTTCCACAGTAGATAGACGAATCTAGCTGATGATAATAATTATTTGTATCGCATAAATTGCGCATCATATTGTGACAAAATAATAATGGTTATTAGGTTACAAAAATTGTAGTTGTAATAAAAAAACAGACTCGACCCAAATATACCCAGGTAGGTATATACCTGCCTCTTCATAAGTAGTATCCATATTTACTACAACATGTATATATAAATGTATCTACAGACCTTCAGAATGGAAACATTTAATAGGTAAACGTGACAAAATAAACAAAGAGCAGTGCCCTCCCGAAGCGACCCCAAAAAATCTTTAACACGATCGTATTAAAGATCTCAAGGCGCCCCGAGATGAATACCAATCATCGAGTGTTCTGCGATAAAATCGTTCAAGTGAAATATTGTCAACGAAGTCACCTACCTATAATAGCAGGTATTAGGAAGGTGCTAAGATGTAAATTCATTGAGATATTGTCACTTGATGATGATAGAGTCGAGAGATTTTGATCTTTTGTTTCAAAAAGGAGCCATAATTTTGCAGATAACCTAAGACAAAGGGTGCAGACATTTTTTCAGAGCCGAAAAAATAAGTCGTTCTATAAGCAGCAGGTAGATGTAGATATTAAAGGAAGAGGAAGATAGAAACATTGTATTAAGTGTTTAACAATAGAAATGAAAGAGGAATAACACAAAACCCCTCATTTATCAAACGACATCATCACGGTCGCGACGAGAAGGTTGACGAAAAAAGATAAACAAAAATGGCGCAATTTGAAGGATACCTTCCCTCAGACGTTGGCAGAATTAACTTAAAAAAGACATAGAATAAGAAGAAACAAGTAAGATTACTACTTCTCATCACGCCGTTTCTCACTAGTACCTATGATCTACCCACTGACGGTAGTGCTCTGACCCACATGATTTCATCTATACTTATAATAAATAAATAAGTAAAGTGCAATGTCACTCCATAGATAAGTAGGTATAATACTTCAGTACCTATAATGAATCGGTCTAAGCAGATTATAATAATTTTACTGAAATTATCAGTGTTTGCTGGAGAAATAGGTATCAAATATCCACTCCCGACACTTTGACATTATTGTGTAGGTTAGAAAACCGAACCCATTTTTACAAATACGAAAACAATCATTTCTTTACCAATCTGTTACTCCTATCTACTTTTAGTTTATATTTAAGCAAATGGCTAAACATTTCTTTCCTAACTAAGCACGCAATAGAGGTAAAATGTAATACACACTGAAATGAATAGCAATATTAGCGCATTTTATTACAGTAGTTACTGAAAATATTACCCTCGTTGCTTCCTCGTAATCGTAACCACAAACCCTTGTCCATATAGATCTCATCTCATGTTAGGATCTTAGCAACAATTTCATAGTAACAATTTTAGTTATTTTGCTATCGTATAGATATCCGCTGCAATTTTATAAACACCAAAGCGTGGCAGACTTTTGACAAAGACGAAATCAACTGACAACAATCCCATCGTCATTAAAGCTATCAATTTGAACAAAAAGTTTCACTTACCATTTTATAGATTGTAATATTTTGTCCTGACAAACTCACAAGTAAGGATCACGTTCAAAAGCCGAGAGAATGAATTACACTATGTTCAAAACTTGAACGTCTATTTTTGGGACTTGAGACGCACTGATACAAAAATAGAAAATACAGAGCGTCGTGAAATTCGTAAACTTTCCCGCGCGAGTTTCGATTGCGTCTAAGTAAGTGTCTATAGTATAGGTATGCGTACAATTCAGTACGATCGCATGATATTCCAAAATAAATTATAAGTAGGTACATTTACGAAATGCACTTCCGCTTGTGTCTTGATCTTGAGATACCGTTTTACTCACGTAAGGAAGTAAGCAATTATAATAACGATATCGATTTTTTTTATTTAGCTGCTGATTGTTAATGGTAAATATCGAATTATAATGAACAAATTAAATATATACTCACCTATACCTAGTGTATCTTACGTGGGTAGGTAATAAGTACCTAAAGGTACCTACTTATGTACAATTTCTTTTTTAATGACTTAAATTCATTTATTCAAATAAAAAACTTAAATTAAAAACTAACTATTACTTAAAAAAAAAAATTAAAACTAAATATTACTAAATTAAAACTAAAAAATTAAAACTAAATATTACTAAATTAAATACCTATATACAACTAAAGATTAAAATTAATTATAAGAAAAAACAAAAACAACTATTTACATAAAGCGTCGAAAAATTCGTCCGCATCGACGTCAGTGGGGAAAGTACCCAGAAGGCTGGCAGCATTGCCTACTTATGTTATGTATGTAACGTTAATTCAGTAAATTGAATAGGTAATCCTGCCTGACGAAATAGGACAGTTTTGAAACATACATTGGACAATCCTGAATACTCTGACCATTAAATTACCACCATTTAATTTAACTATTACTTTTAACTCAAACTCAGTTATTTATGAGGAATAATAGGCCCCATTCGCACAACTTTTGGACTGTTTGAGTACCGTCATTATAGACACAATTAAAGAACAATAGGTTGCGGTCACCGGTGTCCTCACGGTGTTTGACAGTTTAAAGAGTTGTAATATTTCCATACGTGTAGCGCTTTTACGCAACGCTTATATGAGGTCAAGGAGAGTTACATTATCAAGGCTGGGCTTGGTACTTTTTATCGAAACATTTAAAAAACTCTCATGTGAATGTGCCTTAACAAAATGATATAGACAATACCATAAACTTTTTTTTTTTCTTTGCAACCGAGAATACCATAAACTAGACCGGCTTCCCGTCTATGAATCTGACATTTGACAGTTTTGAAAATTGACATTGACAGTATATTTCAATAAACAGAAAACGGGCGCAACTAGAGAAAGATAACGTTTTGATTGATGTGAAATTCGAAGTTATTGTGTGCAACGGAAACCAAAACAAACTGCCTACATAACAAGTAATCAAAGCTGCACACACAAGTTACAAGAACATAATCTACTATCAACCACGGTAAACATTTGATATCTAAACAAGCGAGATTATATTGAGTTTTCTAGCGTTTTAATATCAGGTTTACCGTTTTAGGGTGCCACAATGACTTCAGAAAAGAATGCCCAGGTGGGGCAAGCTCGTGAAGCTTTCCAAATGATGTATCAGATATCACAACTCCTTAACACTGGATTAGATGCAGATACTCTTTCTATCTGTATACGGCTATGTGAACTAGGCGTTGATCCTGAAGTACTGGCCCATGTTATTAAAGAAATAAGAAAAATGGGAGACAACGCGGCCCAAAGCAAACCTGTTAATTTACATCCATAGAACTTAGTCATTCTGATTTCTTCATTCAAACAAATTGCCCCAATGTTAATGCTTTAAAATTAGTGATATATTTTCATAAAACTAATATTAAACTTCTTCGTATTTTCTGAAGAATATATTGAAAATGTACCTCTAACAGACACTACAGATTGTAGTCTAGGAAGGATATTGTAATTATTAATTTTACAAAGTACTGTTTAACACTTGTAAAGGTGTATGTATACTAATCTCATAGTGGAAATAATAGGAATTATAACTTCCTTGAAACTCATTCTATTTGTAGTATTAACGATTTTATATCATGCCCCATAACATGTATTTCTAGTGATTTTGCTATTTTAGATATTACAATGTATGAATTTGTGTTATTTATGTCGTAATCACTGATTGCAATGTAAATGTAGTAATATGATTTGTTGTATTCAGTCAGTTTGTTGATGTGATTTCCTCTCCAAAACCATGGAGTAAACATGAGTACAAGTATCATAAGGTCATACATGTAAATATATTTCACATACTTAGGATTAAACAGCATGATGAAAAAATAAAAAACATTCATTATTAAAAAAAAACTTTATTGTTTAAATAAATTCTATTTTCAGGAAACATTTTAAGGAATATTGCATACTCTATTCATGACAATTTTTACAGCTAATTTGAAGATGGAACAAATAATCTTTATCATCAGCCAATAAAAAACTGACATAAAAGGCCCTCTTACTTTATGGGAACAAATAATTAAGTAGAGGGATAAAAAAGAGTATGTAATACTCTTTAAAATTAAAATTTTATGATAAAATAGTGTTGCATTGTGCTTTGCATGAACAAAATCATTGAAATCTAATACCAAATGGGTACAAACCATATTGAGTGAAATTATAAACAATCAGTACGGGACTGAAAATATCACAGATGCAAATAATTCACTCGCAACAAACTAAAAGTGATTCTAAAGTTTGGTTAATGATACAGTGCCACATTGGCAAGAGATTTGTTTACAATTTCGATTGTGGCTGTACAGTCTGGCCTGATGACTTGATTACTGTGCAATGAAATTGAATATTTCATCAGAAAAGTTTATGGACTTTGAACTTGACATTACATGATACAATGCAGGACAAAAGTACAAATATTTTACAGAAGTGGAATTTTAAATAAAGAAGTAGTATAGCAAATATGTGTTGAGCAAGGCTGTACAATCACAATAGTTTTAATCTTAAGACCTAGACTACTGGAACGATTGACTCTGAGCTTGTCCTTGGTTACCTAGCACTGATGGATCCTCAAATATGGGTTGCTGTGGTTTGAACTGTTCTGCTGTTAACCTGGAGAACATTATACCTATACCTTCTATTAAAGCCAAAAGTATACCACCAACTAAAGCACTGCCAGCCATGGCTGGAACACCTGTAAAATGACAAATATAATCAATTATTACTTATTTTCAATTAATATTTTCGACTAAAACATGTACTGCAATATGATCCATATATGTAGATAATTAGATACTGCATTGTGGTAATTACTGTTGATTGTACAAAAAGATCTTAGCAAAATATTGTGTATTGTTTACTAAACAACACTAGTATTTGTTTTGTCATTTTTCAACTGACATATTCTTACTAACTTGGAATAAATAGTATCATTATGTTTGTGATTGTATACAAAATAATTACCATTTCTAGCTGCAAGTATCCCGCCAGTGAGAGCCCCACTCATGATAGAGTTCCAGGGGTCCTCTTTCTGCCGCAAGTATACTAAGGAGCAGTCAATGGTGGAAAACATTCCTCCCCACACTGCAAAGTTACCACCAACGATAGGAGAGCGTTCTTTCAACGCGGCCATACTTCCCAGCTGCAAATTACGAACCAATTAAAATGAAACAAATCAGCAACACACCGCAAATGTTATTATTCACACATATAACACGTACTTACCATTTTTCTACTGAACCCTACAGGTGCATTCCTGAACCCCTTGATTGAATGGAAAATGCCTCCGCCGATAGCTCCCATAATAAAAGCACCTCCAGAATCATCTAAGATACGCCACGGGCAAGGTTCCCTTGTATATTCATCCATGTTTGATGTTTATTGATTTTGTACCGTCCTGGAATCAAGTATTAGGTAAGAAAGATAACCTCAAAATGTTAATCCTTCAAGTTCAAGAATAAATCTTTGATACAAACAATCTTACCTAAATTTAATATTGACACTTGAATTCACAATTTCAGTAACAGGTTTGGGTTTGTAATATTGATTTATCTGGAGAATTTATCACAAATATTCTACCATGGTTCCCCACTCATGTTCAATCATTGTCAAAAGGGTTTTTCAATGACAGTTTTCATGCTCTTGGAGATTAAAACTATGTAGTCTATGGAAGGGCCCCTCCAAATCCGTCCAACCCCAAAATGGATAAAATAAATCTAACCACAAAATAAACTAATATTATTTTGGACTTGGAAAATTATATTGTATTTTAGAAATAATTTTAACAATGCTAAGTTTGACTTGATAACATTTTTCAATCATTGTTCTTCATAATCATGGAGAATATTTATTGTGTGGATTTTTTTGATTTGATCAAAGACGAGTTAAAGTCTTTATGTAAATAGTTGTTTTTGTTTTTTCTTATAATTAATTTTAATCTTTAGTTGTATATAGGTATTTAATTTAGTAATATTTAGTTTTAATTTTTTAGTTTTAATTTAGTAATATTTAGTTTTAATTTTTTTTTTTTTTTTTTTAAGTAATAGTTAGTTTTTAATTTAAGTTTTTTATTTGAATAAACGTTTCGATACGGAAAAAAAAAAAAAAAAAAAAAAAAAGACGAGTTTAACTGTCATTAAAGTTTGACAACTGAACAGCTCAGTCAAAAATAGTTTGATTGAGTTTGACAACTAAACAATCTTGCGATTAGGTACGAGTGAAAATACTTGATATTATTTTTCTTTCTTGCATTTTTAAATAGAAAGCACAATAACAAACTATGACTATATATAATTTATATATATTCGATCGATATGGCACATTACTTTACTACGGAGAATGGAATAGATCAAAACAATCGGGGATGTCGCGAGAGGAGGTCAGTTGTTGTTCTTTTTAATATTTTATCAAAAATTTATTCTCTTATTATTATATCTAAATAAATAAAATGTGTTCTATACTACAAAGTACTAAGAATTGATTTGTGACCACTCTTGTAAAAGTAATGAATGACACCTTATATGCAATGGGGAGTTCCAATTTCAATAACAACCTCCCCTTTTCGTAAGGGTTTTATCGATAACATAATTTCATGAAGAGAAATCAAGTTAGCCTATCACAGCACTTGATGAATAATGAGCAAACATGTATTAAGTACCACTATAATAGAACAAGACTTAGATTTAAAAACAGCAGAAGAAATTGTTTGTTGTGCAATCACCAACTCAGTAATTTGTACTCATGTTTCAGGAAGGAAAATTAATGTATGGCATGCTGTTCTCAATCAAATCTTTTGTTGCCAAGATATCTCCACTGGACCCAAAAGAAGGTTTTATGCACTACAAAACTTCCAAGTACACTTTGCACTGTCTTGAAACCCCCTCGGGATTAAAGTTTGTTATGAACACAGATAATCAAGCTCAAGGTGTCAGAGACTTATTAAAAAAGATCTATGGAGAAATATATGTTAAATATGCTGTGAGAAATCCTATGTGTGGCATCGGCGAACCTATTACTAGTGAATTATTTAAGAATAAATTAGATGCTTTTATCAAACAATCACCAATACAATATGCCCGGGCTTCCTGATAACTTATTCCTAATTTTGTGAATTGAATGAAAGCTTCAGAGATTATCAAATTGTAATATTATTATATTAACTTATGTTTATGGAGCATGCTAAGTAAATAATTGTATTTATATTTTAAGTATAAGATAAAAATAAATGTATATTGTGGCTTACTTTATTGTACATTTCATTTCAAGTTATATGTAGCCTATCTGAATCTAGGACAATGTTACTTGGCTAAGAACAACGGCAGACAGTCATATATATAAATAAAAATGAATTTCCGTTCGTTAGTCTCGCTAATACTCAAGAACTGCTGAACTTATTTGGCTAATTTTGGTCTTGAAATGTTCGTAGAAGTCCAGGGAGGGTCTAAAATGTGAAAGAAAAGTATTTAGACACTACAAAGTTTGTCGGGTCAGCTAGTAATAATATATAAATGAATCAATTCCCAGCAACAAATAAATTTTAACCTGTACTCATAATGTTTATTATTAATAATGAATATTTTTTGCAGTGCTATTTTGTAGAAGGCTATAAAACACCACTACGATCAATAGGAACCACCTAGCAGTGTGGGTAAAAAAGTGCGGGAATAGCTAGTATGAATATAAAATGAAGTATCCATGAGGTAACTAGTACATAACTTTCAAACTACACTTCTGGACACATCTATGGGCCCACCTTAGAGTTTAGGTTTCGAAGGCCTCCACCGAAATAAGATTGCTAGATTGAACAAAAACTGTTGATGCAGTTTTAAACCTGATACATTTTACCATCTTTTTCGACCCCATTGTTTTAAATTTGATTTCAGAATACCATACGACGTGGAGCTACGCCTAACAAATCGGATATGCGCCTTGTTAAAGGTAATTGATTTTTGAATAAAAATACAAATAAAGGTTTAACATAATAACGAGTGTTGCCTCCATTCGAAATTTAAAAAAGACTATTGAATGAATTTGTGAATTAACGTTTAATTTGAATTTAAACTTTAGACTTTAATACATAAAGTTCATAATTCATTATATAAATAATTATGAACTAAAATATTTACACCTTAAATAAAATATTAATAATAAAAATGCATAAAAAAAATTTAAAGACCGGCAGCATTGCCACGTTGAATGGCAATGCTTAACCTTTGTCCAAGGTAGTAGCCAGCCCTTCGATCACCTGAAGGGTCAACCATCCTCCTTACAATATCTTTGTAAAAAAGATGTGCACTTGGGCCCCACGGCCCTAAAGTTTCCAAGCCATTAGGTCCTAAAGTGACTGCACGGTTGGCGCGGTGGTCGGGCAACTGGTTGCTGCGCAACGTGTCGCGGGTTCGATTCCCGCACGGAACAACTCGTTGTGTGATCCACAGATTGTTGTTCCGGGTCTGGGTGTCATGTGTATGTGAACTTGTATGTTTGTAAACGCACCCACGACATAGGAGAAAATCCTAGTCTGGGGCAACGTTTGATAAAAAGAGAAAGAAAAAGAAAGAAAGAAAGAAAGTAGCTGGCACGCCAACGGAGACAAGAGCTCAACGAATTATGTCATTAATACTTGCGTGTCGAGCAAAACGACCCGCACTACGGCTACACGATAAGCCGTGGTGTCCAACGTTGTTGACATCTTCACCACAACGACACCGATGAGGTGAACAATGCAGCCCCAAGCCTTAAACAAATTGCAGCGCGGCTCGTCCCATTGCCTCTGGGAGAGTGATTTGACGGGAGCGTCAATATTTGGGCAAGCGATTTTCCAAGCTTTCACAGCTTCCACTAAACATGGTACATCAAAATGGAATACATTTGTGAATGTGCCAGGTTCAAGACTGCATAAAAACTTTTTGCTGGACCTAATATTAAATTTTAGCTAGGACCAAATGAAACTGAAAATACAAGGTGGGCCAATAGATGTGTCCAGAAGTGTATTTCAATCCGAATTTATTAAACAAAAAATATTTATAAAGCCGATACGCGTATCTGAACGCAGTATTATTTTTTTATTTTGACACATGGCAGTCTATGGTTTGTGAATGACAACTTTGACAACGTCAAAGTTAAAAAAGACAAACAAAACAAACGCAAACGGTCAAGCGTGTGATTCTGGATTTTGTTATATAAATATTTACTGCTCAAATAAATTGAAACAGTATTTTAAATAATACCCATTGATTTTGTGAATATATGATGGCCAGTGATTTTTCAAAGGAGAAACGTTTCAGTCATTGTGATGAGTGAGACAGACGATACTGATGTTCTCTTACTAATACCACCAAATTTCTTTTTAGTACAGAGTTCTGAATCAGAAGATTCTTTTCTGGAATCTTCTAGAACTGTTGTGCATAAGCCCAAATCCTGCACTGCACAAGTATTGGGAAAATTAGTGGATCAAGTTCATACATTGGAATCTAGGTTAGAAAATTTAGAGATCAACAGTGATACATCTAGTTTCGGCACAGTAAGGAGACCGAAGACGTGGGACACCACGGATAGTATCGACAGCCAAAGTTTAGACCGCAAGTGTTTTACATTTCCTCGCAGGCGTAAAAGAAAAACTACAAAAAAGTCTAAAAGATTTGATTTATCCCTCAGCGGCTTAGATTCAGCTAGCACAGGCAGAAAATCCATACCACCTTTGAAATTGGGTATAGATTTAGATCAGTTGAACTCTAAACCCAAAGAAATCATAAATGACCTTCAAAGTATGGATGCTGATTTAAGTAGTATAGTTTCAACACCTACTAAAAAGAATGACAAATTGCTCTTACATGAAATAGATGAATTCCTTACAAAAGTTGAAAGTTATGAGACTCCCGATACCAAATATAAGGATCATGAGCCATCACTTAGTCCTGAAAATGTGATAAAGGCTACTGGGGACTATATTTCACAAAAACTAGACTCAAAGAACAATGAAGAAGAAGTAAAGCTACCAAGTGGCAGGATGGTGTCAAGCAGTGTACTTGATAAATACATTTATTTAGTAAAAAGTAACTCGGGAACAGCTAGATTTGAGAAACCAACTACTTCAGAGAATTATAAGGGTAACAATGAGGAGACTAGTGCTTCCCACCCTGAAAGTTCATCAAAGGAGTCAGCAGAAGCATGTAATAGAGACACCAGAACACCATCAATGAGAAAACTGAATTTCTCAGATAAAGATGTACAACCAACATCTACTCCAAAAAGACCTCAATCTAATTACTTGGACACCTTCAGACCTTCATCAAATAAAATATATGACAGAGCATCAAAAGTCTTAGAGCAGTACAAATCTCAGAGTCACAGTAGAAATCAAGGTTCTGTCAATGATAGCTACCTGTCTCCTAAAAAGGAAGAGTTCAAGATGCCACAAATGAGACCTTATTGCTATAGCAATAAGGAAGCAAAACTGAGCTCCTTGCAGAATAGGTATATGGAGTCTATAGACACTGATTTATTGAGCTTGAGTGAGCTGTGGGGGGATAGGGGAGACCGTCCAGAGAGAATAGACAGTGTGAAGCTGGAAGAGGAAAGACTTAAAAGAGAGGTCAGTTATCTTTTTAACTCTTTACAACTATACCAAGATTGACAAATCTTCTTCTTATGAAATGAATAATCATAATATGTATTGTACATCCACAGCACTGTGAATCAATGATACAACAACTGCAGAAAAAGATCTTAGAACAACAAGAGAAGTTGGCAGTGGCTGTGAAAGTGGACCGAGCTAAAGATGCAGCCATTGGGAAGCTGAGAGAAGCCTGGTTGAAGCTCACTGGGAGCTTGGATAAGGCCGAGGAGAGACATAGAGCGGCTCTGGAGAAGATGGATAGAGAGGTTGAGAACTTTAGGATGATTGCTGATGAAGCACAGAAGGTAACATTCTTTTTGTAATGGCATACTTCAGTACTGCATTTTGCTATAATTATAATTGGGTAGTTTCCAGGGTATCAAAATAAAAATCTAATTCGTCCATCAGTTAGATAATGAAAAAATATTAGACACGTATTTTTTTATTTTCTCGTATTAAGTTGCAATACTTTAGATAAAATGGCGCTAAGTTTAGGAGTGGGAGGTCGTTACGTCATAACGTGCTACAAAATGTGACACTCTGTGACGTCACACGATATTATTAATATATCGCCGAAAGTATTTAATTTTGCGAGAAAAGAAAAAATATGTGTCTAAAACTTTTTAAATTAATTTACCAGACGGACATTAAAATAAAATTTAGGAAACTACCTTATTTATAACTTTAACACCTTTGTAATCTTTAGTTAATCTGTCAAACACCAAGCGGTCACCGGTGACCGCGACCTATTGTTCTTTAATTGTGTCTATAAAACCGGTACTCGACGAGTTAAATAGGCTGTCTGGAGAATTCAAATCTGTTTTCATGTGGTAGACAAAGAAAAACAATCCTTGATTTTTCATATACTGCTGTTAGTAAAGAAACATACACAAAGATTAAACTTGTGCTTTTTTTTCTAGAAAACCAGTCACTTTGAAGCAGAATTGTACAAAGCTTTGGACTTGGCTCATGATTATCAAGAAAAATGTAAACAACTGACTGCAGAGAAGAAAGAAATTGATGAGAAAATACTAAAGACAGTACAAGATAGAGATGAAATGGTTGCAATGAAAGATAAGGAAGTAGAAGCATTGAAAGAAAACTGCCAAACGATTATGAGACTTAATAAACAGTCGACTGATTGTATTAAAAATTTAGAGGAAGCATTAGAAAAGGTATGTATTCAATTGAGTCTATATTCTATTGATTAGCAAAAGGAACATAATCTATCTAATTCTAATGGTTAATTACTCAGTGGGACAATGCCCTCAGTTCAAATATTTTTGCATACCCTTAAGGGAAAGAACCCCATATTCATATTTTATTTTGAATCCCATGCATATCTTATACTCTAGCCTTTATGCGCTATGTCTATGTTTATTACGCAAAAAGTTCTAACAACACCTAGGTATTAAATTAAAGTTAAATAAAATAAACATGTTTATAGGAAAAAGCTGATCATCACGAGACAAAATCCAAAATAAAAGAGTTAGCTAACAAGATTCAGTCTGTGGAAGACACGAATTCACTTATAACGCAAGAACGTGATTTGCTAAAGGAGAAAGTGAATGAAGAACGATCTCGCAATAATCTTCTGGAGAAACAGATGGGAGATCAACAGAACCACACTGCTGAAGTGATGAGGAAATGCGTGAGTATTATTAATAATAGCTTCTATTAATTTAATTTACTTATTTGTGTCTTGCGCCATATTGTTTGCGAGATATAAGATTATCATGCGTTTGATACTTATAGGGTAGTTGCCCTTCCTTTCTTAAATGCATCAGCGAAACAGTTACTATTTTTCCTTTTTTTGTAGTATAACTCAGCGTCCCCCATGGACACTTGGAAGACCAGGCAACTTGTAACATACAAGTGCGTTAGCGACCTTTAAGGGATTTGGAATTTGAGGATTGTGTGTGCAAGCGTTGTTTCACGTCGTATTTCTGTGAGACCGTGGTATCACTCCGGTCGAGCCGGCCCTTTGACTATCCCCCTTTGAGACGTCGTCATTCGGGCCTTGGCTTTTGACTTAGGTTTTTATTTACTTCTAAGAATTGAATCCCTTGAGTTCTACTTTCGGAAGTAAACAAAAGTGTCATACTCGTCTCTGTTATGTTAAAACTAACCACCAAATTACAGGACAACTTAGAAACTGAAGTGAAGACTCTTCGGAAACACCTGGAGTTTCAGAAGACCGAGCTGAAGTGTCACTATCAGAAACAGCTGGAGGACGCCGTGCTGTCCAAGCTGCAGGAGTTCCAGCAACAGCTCGACGTGGCTGAACGAGACATGGAGGCGGACGCCAGGGCCAAGGAGAACGCACTTATTGATACTTATAACAAACAGATATGTAGGATTGAGGAACAGTGAGTTTAATATTTTATTTATTTTGAATGGTTCTTAGAGATTGAGTGTTGGTTTTTTATGTGATAATTACATGTGACTTTACTCGTATCATATAGGTACAGATTTACTGTCAATTTCAATAACCTACCTCGATCCAAAATTTGTGGATTAACATCGATTTTTGACAGAAACTCCGTACTTCTTCCACAAATTTTGTATTAATCAATCAATTCAACCTTTTTAACATCATTTTTAATTACAAAGTTACCTATAATCTTGAATGCCGCACCCAACTGCTTCAACACCAAACTTTTGTTTCGTTTTTGAGTGGGGAAAATCATTCAATGACTTCTGGCTTGAGTTTGCCACCGTCGGCTCTTCAAACCGGTGCCCCCGCAACCTATTAGGCCTTCCGCAGCTCTACACAAAACTTAGATTACCGATTAACGAAATGACGAAATAAAAAAAATGACATGCATTCTAATGAAAGAATTACGATATTGTTTATGTAATCTATATATATAAAAGAAAGTCGTGTTAGTTACACTATTTATAACTCAAGAATGGCTAAATCGATTTGGATGAAAATTGGTGGAGAGGTAGCTTAGAACCAGGAGACGGACATAGGATACTTTTTACCCAATTCTTTTTTTTACATTTTACTGAAAATCAAGAACGGGAACGGGAAATATCGGGATTGCGCGTACGAAGTCGCGGGCAGAAGCTAGTTTGATATAAATGGATTATGTACAGCTGTAATTGGACTTCAGGTTCGCTCACTATTTATAATTAAGATTGTTGTGTACAATTTCAATCTGTCGTCTGTATCTGTACTTATGTAAAATAAATAAATAAATATCATTTAATGGGATAACTTGTGAGACTATTTGTTGGTTTGAAAGAAACTTGGTAGGTCGCGGAGAACCTAACGGGTAACCGAGGCCCCGGCTCGACGTGCAGGAGAAGGAACGGGGTGGTTTTTAGTCAGTAACATTCTGACACTCCCTCCCGCCTCACCCAGGCGGGAGCAGACATTCGATGACTTTCCACCCTTTAAAAAAAAAAAAGACAGTATGTAAAAGTAACCATGATATGTATATTTTTCAGACACAAACTGGAAGTAAACGTAATGGAAGAGAAGCAGAGAGAAGAGATCAAGTTGTACAGGTTGCAACTAGCGCAGGCCGGGGAGAAGATAGGATTACTCGAGGTATGTCGGAACTTTACATTTTGTACTTAATATTTATATTCTGCGCATGCTTCGCAATGTAATGTTACGTGTAAACAATTGTTTAGTTTTACCTTAAATAAATGATTTCACTTAATAAAAGGTGTTTCTTTGGAATATCGCTTGAATATACATTCTATTGAAGTCATTACTTTTAAACCGATTCTTGGATTCAGCGCCAGAGTGTGATTGATGTGTTTTCAAGTGAAAGAAGATTATTTTTGTCGAAATGCTTGAAGTTTTGCGAAAGAGATGAATGAATATAGTATCTAATAAATATTTTTTTTTTCAATGTATTGTTTCTTACAATTGAATTATTGAGTAGTGTAATTGGTTTTTTGTACCATTCTATTCGTATAAATAAATAGGAGGGCTATGACCAGCAGTGGACGTGTTCTAGCTGATGTGATGATAATGATACATTACGCAACTTGATTACAAATCGGTAGCAAACACATAAGTAAATAACTAACGCCCGAATACTGAAAGGCTACTCAATTTTAGGTTGTATTTAAATATCGTGCCATCTCTGTAATTTTACAAAGTATTTGTAGTGACAGAACTATACCATAGGCCTTAGTACAAGTTTCTTTTTCGTTTAAAATAATCGAAACTAGACAGCGTTCTGTGCTCTGATTGGTTGGTTTATTAGAGCTGGCCAATCACAGCGCCGAACGCGTACTTGTTACGATTACTTTAAACGAAAAAGAAATTAGTATTAAGACCTCTGAGCGCGATGCGCGACTTTTTTAGCGTTTGAGTATTTAGACGTAATAGCCGTACTCAGAGAGATTTAATAATTACTCAAAGTATACTTTACTTGTTAGATATTTTTTTCGAAAACAATTACTAAGGAATCCATTAAGTAACTACTAAATGGCTCTGAGTACGGCGGTAATACGTTATACATTCCTAATTCAGTTACCAAGTCGATAATAAAGATATTAAATAAGTGTCTAATCCAATATGTGCAGAGTAAGTTGGAGTCGTTCCGTCGGCGGCGCGGCGCGCTGGCGGGGCAGCTGCACGCCGTGATGCAGGCGCAGTGCCGCGCCGCCTTGCGACTGCTCACGCACGGAGACTCCAGGGGCTCGCATGGTAACTCTACATTACTTACTTGATCATTAGTTTTCTTGCTTGAAATCTACACTAATATTATAAAGAGGAAACTTTTGATTTTTTATTTGTTTGAATTGAATAAATAGGCTCCGAAACTACCGGACCGATTTCAGAAATTATTTTACAATTGGAATCCTACATTAGCTCTGATGAACATAGGCTATATTTAATAAGAGAAAAAAAGAAAATCGCGTGAAAATTTCGATAATGTAACCCGATGAGAAAAAGATCCTTATATTACTTATGCTGGTATTAGAAAATCCAAGTTCTGTCAGAAGTCATTATTCTACGTGGATGAATTTGCGGGGATCAGCTAGTAACTTATAAAGTTGTGCGTTTAATTCTCTGAAAAGATAAAATGTAACCAACGCCTTTTTCCAGTTCTGCTATAAATATGTGCCATGTAAAAGGAAGCGACGCGTGGATTGTATTTAACTCAGTTAGCCAGTTAGTTGTGGTCATTCAGAATTTTCGTATCGAAAATTCTGAATGGCCAGCAATCGCAGTCTACGAGACAGGCGAGTCTGAAATAGGCTGTATCCTTATTTTTTTTTGTTTCTTAATTTCTAGTTGTCTAACATTACAGTATCTACTCCAGTGTCAGAATACACAAAGATACCGCCACTAACTCTACCGGAGCGAGGACTCGTGCGGTCGGAAGCTCGGTGCGATGCTCGATCCGACAATCGCACGGACAACAACTCCGACGAGCGGCTGGACGGTCGGTCGGACGAGCGACACGACAAACTAAACTTCGACGGCCTTACAGACACCGAGCTACAACAGTATGTTAAACTGGTAATATATACTTTTTTTTTGTTTTGTTTTACTACATAAAATCAAGCTAAATCAATATAAAGCTGTTCTAAACGCAATAATAAGTTCCAAAAGTGAATTTTTATTCGTCGTACAACTTTCTGCACGATAATTATTGGTAGTGGGCACTAAGCCATAGACGAAACGTAACTCAAACACTCTTATTAAGAATATCGTCCCACAAAATTGCTCCCCTAATCAGAAACTTTCCTAAAAGTAACGTTAATATTCACCATCTCTAGCTACTGTATGTCTTATTTATTTTCAGCAATGATCGTCCCACTGCAGGGCAAAGGCCTCCCTACCCTCTTTCCACTCCTCTCTATGTAAAGCTTTTTGTGGCCAATCCTTGTCATAGATGTCTAATTCGTCCCGCCATCTCCTTTTGTATGTCTAATATGCTAAATATTATTCTAGCTGTTAACAAAAGCACCGAACTTCGACGGCAGTGGCGATATGTTGGAGTTACATCGCGAGCTCAGCGAGGAACCGACGAGCGACCGACCCGACAGATCTGACACCGCTGAGCGGCCTGAACAACCAGAGCGGAGGGACAAGCGTCGCCTTAGCAAACCACCTTGGAAAGCCTAAACTTCTATCTAACTACTGCCTAATTTTAAACAAAAACATAATAGCATAACAAAATGAACTATCGTATTTGATAAAAGGTTAAATATTCCATAACAATGTATTTACCATTCATACTTTCGTGAGACATACTTAATTATTTATTATGTTTTCGGCTTACTCATGTAATTTTTTGACGAGGAACTCTACTAGTTTCAAGCCATGCCAGAAACCTATATTCATGAGCAGCACGCCTGAATATGAGCCTCTAGCATGGCTTAAAACTAGAAAAGTTCCTCGTCAAACGGTTACGTGAGTAAGCTAAAAACATAAATAATTCATTAATTTACCTATAAAAGTTTTAATATTCTGTCTCAATAATGCCCCAACTAGCTTTAATGGAAGACATAAATACTGCCACTGCCTGATATTCAAAACAAAGGTGAATCTCTAGATACTATAAAGTCTAAACAAACCTAAATCTCCTATATCTCTATTGGCTATTCGCAGTAATACTCGTCTATAGATACATTTCGCCATTAAATATCAGAGGAGTACGCGTTCTCTTACGTGTAAAGTAATCAAAACGAGTACACGTTCAGCGCTCTGATTGGCCGGGTCCAGAGACCCTACCAATAAGAGCGTAAAACAAAAGTCGTACTATGGCCTACGAAGCAAAATTGTGTCAAAAGTTTTTTTGAGGTGAATCTATCGATCATAGTTGTTACTGAGAATGACTGCGTCCTCTAAAATTTAAGTGTGATAAAATTGTAGTACAAAGCCGTGAATGACAAACTTAATTATTATTATTACTTTCTACAAGAGTTTATATGTAATGTATGTTTAGATTAAATAAAAATAAATTTGGCAATGGAATCTTTACTGGTACATAATGATAAATCCGAATTAAAATAACTTTATACAAGATTTCATAGTAAAATACCTTTTTGATTTGATTTTCTTGGACAATAATTATGTTTTTATGAAATTGTTATTCCCAGTCCCACCGTTTATTTCCAATTTCTTATGTTCAATGCTCATAGTTCAATATAAGAATTTATTTCTAGTTTTTTAAGGTGATTTTTGTAGTTAGGAAGAATATAATTATTACTGTATTTGTAAAGAACATGTTTTTATATAAAGTTGTAATAAGTGGTACCGTTTGTATTCAATATTGTTATGATATTAGAACATTCCAGATTGCACTCCATATTTTTTTATGTTTATAAATAAATTATATTGTAAAGAAATGTTTGTTTTCTTTTCCTGTCATTAAGATCACAGTGATAAAATTGTCACTACAGATGGGCCCCAATAGGGCTAATGCCGATACGGAGCCGCGGAGAACTTAACGGGTAACCGGGGCTCCGGCTCGACATGCAGGAGAAGGAACGGGGTGGTTTTTAGTCAGTAAGAGTCTGACACTCTCTCCCGCCTACCCAGGCGAGAGAAGTCATTCGATGATTTTCCCCCCTTAAAAAAAGTGATAAAATTGTAATGATTTATAAAAAAATATTTTGTTTTGAAATTGTATTGAAACAAAATTGTAGATAATTAGAAGGTTACTATTAAATATATAAATAATTAAATACTAGCTTCTGCCAGTGGTATCGCGCACGTTTCTGTGGAAAAAAGTAGCCTGTGTATTATTCCATAATCGACCCCTGTCTCAAATTTCATCCTATTCCCTTCAGCCGTTTTCAGGTGAAGGAATAATAAATAAACATACTTTCGCATTTATAGTATTAGTAGGAAGCAGGATAGAAGAACTATTAAATCTGTTTTATAGTGCATAACGATAATATAATGGTACGATACGATAATAATAATATAATGGGTTCAATTACTCAATAAAACAAAAAAATTATGTAACGATTATTTATTTATGAAGGTAAATGCGATTTAAAAATATATTCCAATCTAATTATGATGGCATCATGATCTTTATACAACACTAAATGTACACTTATTACGTAAAAAACAATATCTCATTCATAGGGCAAGAGCTTAAAGAGAATAATTTTGTTTCAATTAAAAATAAAGAGAAACACAGCCTAAAATATAAATATAATATACATTTATATCTATACTAGTTACAATAAATATATGCGCTATACATGTATATTCGTCCATAAATTAATTTTCAACACATAAAAGTAAGAAGTTCTTTGCTTTGAATTCTATACGAAATTTGAATTTAGTTTTCGCTTTTTTTTATTGTGGTAACATTTTAACAAAAAAAAATCAGCCGATCATAGTACCTTCTCCTTTTTTTGAAGTCGGTAAAAAGTAGGTAGGTATACTTTACGAAATGATATAAACAGAGATTTTGATAAAAGAATAAGTACTTAATAAAAGAAAACAAAATATAATCAGCTTAATTTGATAAAGTAAGCGAGATATAAACAAAGAGATACAGAAACAGAATGCACAGAATTTTGTTAACATGAAAATATCGTAATAATTAACTTATATATTTATCGATAAATATACATGTATCGACAATAGAGATGGACACAAGAGACAGTGCCGACACGAAAACATCGATGAAATAATTAAAAAAAAAGAAAAAATAAATATAATTTATAAAAGATATAAAATAAAAGACAGTCCACAAGAGTGACGTTAACTTATTCTTGATAATAATACAAATACTTATTTCTCATGAAATATGTATGGACACAATATGAAAGTTTGCATTTAACCTTTCGTGTCGAAACGTGGACACAATGTATTTTCTATTGTGTCTCATATCGATGCATTCAAAAGGTTAACAACATTCGCTAAATTAATCTGAGGGCTGAGTACAAGTTCGAGTTTGTAGCTTTACTCCGTTTACTGGAGCTCCGATTGGCTTCGTTTTCTTTTTAAAAAACGTTACCCCACACTAGAATTTTCTCCTGTGTCGGGGGTGCGTTTGAAAACATGCAAGTGCACATACACAGCACAGTTCACAGTTCCATACAGTTCGGTCTGGATCCGTAACAACTATCTGTGGATCACACAAAGAGTTGTTCCGTGCGGGAATTGAACCCACGACACGTTGCGCGATAGCCAGTTGCTCAGCCACCGCGCCAACCGTGCAGTCAATTGTTCATTGGAGCGGGTCAATCAGAGCGCTGACCACGGTAATACACTCGTACCAAGCTCTCAGGTGTTACTATTGCAAATAATCTAAATTACACAAATATTCAACAACATTTACGACAGTAATCAATTGTTAAATCTGAAATTTCAATGGATTCTCAACTTTATTACAACATAATAATAGTACACTATTCCGTCGTATTCAACTTGCATTATTGTAATTTCTTTAGTATAAATGTAACATTAAAAAAACCATCAAATCTAAGTAGTTATTAATATCATTTTGGCTACAAACAAATCAAATCACTAGTCCGATAAATATAGAGTTGATATTAACATAAAATTAATAAAATTGCACAAAGATTTATAAAGTAACAACTAAATATCAACTTAAGACGAATGTTATTATTCTAGCGGTTTATTTCAAAATGGGTATTAGCTACACTTTAATAAAAAAAATGTTACGTAATAATGCATCGACATAACTTATTACTATAAAAATTTTGTTATCAATATCAGAATTATAATAATACACATAAATAATCATAATAAATATCCCGCGGCTAATTACACTCCTTTCTTTACATTTCTTTATTACCTTCAATAATCACATTTTCCCCTAACTACATACATTTTTAATTTTAACATCCAAAATAATACAATTTTAGTAGAAAAAAATTGTTCAAAATATTTTATTGTTCATACTTTTCGAGTTTGGATATTAAATATCAATTTTGTATAATAACTATCGTGTGACATGCTAGATTTTATTAATAATTACTCACTTATTATCGTCAAACCATACATGATTATGAAACCCCGTGTGGCTTCGAAACATGTCGAGCTTCCTCGAAAATTGGTTTACGTAAGCAGTAATTATTAATCAAATTAATAATGATTATCTATAAATCTGTGGTATCACGTCACTGTTTAATTATGATTATAATAACATCTATCACAATATTTTTTAAATATATTTTATGTGATGTCCTAGTATTAGGTATCTTATATATTTTAATTTGGCCTAATATGCCTCGTGTTAAAACATGCATTAGGTAGTTTGGCAACATTGCATGACTGATTGCATTGTATATAATATTAATTCAGTACATGACACTATATTTTTTTATATTTTTTTTTGTTGAATCTATGTAACAACTTTGCTAGAATTTAGTGTCTATTTTTGAAATACTGTTCTATTTTTTAAGTATTATTTGAGATAATCGAGCTGCAATCATGCGTAGTTCTCTTTAGATAAGGTAGTATTTTCATGGATTATCTTTGTTAGGTATCGTTCCACTGTTCCGCTATATATCTTACGATGATAGATGTAACTTTGATAATGTTAACAGTTTAAATCTGAGTAAGATTTTTGCCAAAATTATTTATCTTGCTGCTGTTTAGGATTTATCACTAAGAATTTTACCCTTTTTATGAATTTTAACAAATATGTGAATGCCAATAATACTTTTTTAATTAAATTAGTTCTTTAACTGATGCATTTGGAAACAGAAAACAACCAACTGCGATTACAAAATAAATATAGGCAACAAAACTTCCATTGAGAATGTAAGACGCAAATAGCCAGCTAAATACTTAAAGGCACGATACTCATCTGTCCAGAATCCAGATAGTGTCCACGATAGTTGGCTAAGGCCTCAGGCCAGTGCAGAGGCCGGTAACGAGCTGTGCTTGGGCTTGGCCTTGTGCACAAACACTTTGATGCATCCGTTGAAGTCCGCGCTCACTAAAACGTGACCAGTCTGGGAAGATGCTACCATACCACCTTCTGCGCCCTTCTGTAAAATTAAAATGACATTGCATGACTTATTGATATACATTCGAAGTGTTCTACTGATTCGGTCATTAGTTCTTTAAAAATAAAGGTGAAAATATAATAATAAAAAATAATTCCTATATTTTCACACGAATAATTAACGATACGTATACGATCGACGTCATAAGTGTAAGCGTAAAGTATAAGTCTGAATAGAATAATTGTAAAGGAATATAGATATTTACAACGTAATAAATAGGTTAGTAAAACATACAAAGCTACATACCACTTCCTCGTTATCAGCGCCATCATCAGCTAACTTCGCCTCCTGCTCCCTCTCACTGATCATACGGATCATATGATCAGGGTTTGGCGCGAACACAGCACAAGTGACCAAAGCATTATGAGCCTTAATGCCTTCCCAGAAATCGTTTCGATCTCGACGAACTGACGTGAATTTTGAATAATCGTGGTACGTTTTCCAAATATAGATACACTGGTTTTCTGAACCGCTTACGATGTACTTTCCATCGTGGGAGAATGAAGCTTTGATTTGACTTGAGACGTTGACGTAACCTTTGTATTTGCACGATAGGTTTAGGTCTCGTAGGTCATAGAGTCGGATTCGACTGTCGTTAGACGTGACGAGGATTTTGTCATCATTTGGCATAGGTTCAATACCACTGATCTTTCTTCCTGTGGAATTCTTCCCTCGTGTGGACCGCACGTCTATCTGTGTGTGGTATTTGAGTTGGTCTGTAGTGTAGAAGATACAGCGTCCGTCATAAGTGCCTACTACTGCGAATTTACCATTTTGACAGAAGTTAGCTGCTGTTATTAGTTTCGTTTTGCCGTCAACTTCGTTCCATACTGCGACCTGTGACAACATGATTGTGTTACTAAACGTGCAATCTGATTACTATGTTTTCTTAATATTTTCTGTTTTTAATAGAAACATCGTTCATCATATTAACAATATTAGTATTTTTAAAGCAAAATGTTAATATTATATTTTAAAAAATACCAACAAAAGTACGTACCTTCTTATCAGGAATATTCCACAACCGCAGCTTGCCATCGAGACTACCAGACAGGAAGTATCGATCGTCCCTCGGATGGAACACGATGGCCGTCACGAAGTCAATATGTTGGAAGCAACACAGACACTCTCCGCGCGAGATGTGCCATAGTCGGACAGTCTTGTCCATGGAACTCGACAATAAGAAATAGTTCTTAGACCACGACACGTCTAGCAAGTCGGACGAGTGACCTGCGTACACACAGAACGGGGCCGAGCAGAAGGGGGCTGAGGGGGACGGAGGGGGGGAGGGGGCACGACCTGATAGGGACGCTAGGGACTCCTGGGAGGGGGTCGGAGATGATTTCTGTTCTAAGTTGTATTTGGTGCGCATGTCCTGTAAACAAATGTCTTAGATTATTTAAATATACTATGATTAGTGACAAGAAATTGTCAGGGTTAATATTCTTGGTTTTTTTTTTGAGGGCTTTGCAATTCATGTTGGCATTGCATATTTAAAGCGAGTCCATTTCCAAAATTTAGACATAACTCACTCAGTGCCATTTTTGGACTCAATAGTATAAAAAGATCACAAAATTAATTGCATTATCATATTGCCCACAGGCTCACGACTCAAAGGGTATCGTTACTGGTAGTAAATAAGTGGTAGATGCTCGTGTTAAGTTTAAGGGAACCATGTTTATTTAAAAAAATGGATCCCTTAAATTTTATACTAAAATCATATTCAAAACATTCAATTCAAGTCATATTTTTTCTTTTACTTATGAATTGGGATCTTTTTCCACTATTTTATCAGAGCCTTTAACGCAGCAGCTCTATTGTAATGATATTCATTATCAACAGCCGAAAGACGTCCACTGCTGGACATAGGAATCCTCCTTGTAATGATGTTACAAAAGTGATGACTTGCTGGTATTTGATATTTTTAATTAATTTAAAATGTTTTTAGATAGATAAGTTTGGGTTACGATGGAGGATTATATGGTAGCCTATATTGGTTAAAAGCCCTAAAATAATACCAATACGAATCTTTTTTATACACAACAACAGATTTTAATTTGTAAACAACTTTGGGCTCTAGTGATTAATTTATTAATTTCTGTAGTTATTACATTCTAATGGTATCCTGTGGACAGGACAGTGTTGTGGGTTGCATTATTGCCCAAAATGTATCTTGTGTAAACTATGTAGTTAGTAAGACTTTATAACGTTTACTGTTCCTCTTAATAGAAAAGAAAAAAAATATAAAAATTAAATCCGTGGTAGGTGTAGCCAGTACCTGGAACATGTGGTACGCGTCCCTGGTGACCCAGACCCGCAGCAGCTTGTCCTGGCCGGCGGTGGCCAGCAGGCGCCCGCAGCCGCTGAACTTGCAGCACCACACCGCGCCGCAGTGACCCGACCCCATCTCCTGCGGGGGGGGGACGCACATTCATTTATTTACTACTAGCTTCTGCCCGCGACTTCGTACGCGCAATCCCATTTTCCCCCCGTTCCCGTTCGTGATTTTCGGTAAAAAGTAAAAAAAAAGTATTCTAAATCGATTGAGGCGTTCTTGAGTTATAAATAGTGTAACTAACACGACTTTCTTTTATATATGTAGATTTATTTTGTGAAATTTTACATAGCTATAGTCTTAAATCTAAACTCGCCAAACTTCAACGTTTGATGGCGAGAGACGCCCGTAAAACAAGTAATTCAATTATGTTATAACTAGCGACCCGCCCCGGCTTAGTACAGATGCAATATGCATGTATTATACATATAAACCTTCCTTAAGAATCACTCAATTTATCAAAAAAAACCGCATTAAAATCCATTGCGTAGTTTTAAAGATCGAAACATACATAGGGACAGACAGACAGACCTTACCTGCGGGCGACCTTATTTTACACTAAATTATATTATAATATGTAGGTAGTACAATTACAATATTTTTTTCTTAACACGTACACTATACTTTAAACTGTCAAATACCAAGCGGTCACCGGTGACCGCGACCTATTGTTCTTTAATTGTGTCTATAAAACCGGTACTCAACGAGTTAAGCACGACATAGCAAGTATTTGTTATAATACAGGTATTAACCTGTATTATGGAGCAACATGGACTCTAAAGGTAAAGATTCACGGCGCGATCTTCTCCCGCGAGACCGAATCAAAACTCACGAGACCGCAATTTTCTGTGATCCCGCAGCTACCGCGGTTGCGATTATCGCCCGCAAACTTGACGAATTATTATCGCAAGATAGGCGGTTAAACAATCAGGTGAGGTCCAGACCGGCCGTCCCATTGCAATCGCCCGCCAACCGATCGCAGCACCCGCGAAAAAACCTATCTTTAATTAATGAATATACTTATTAAAAGTACTACGAACTGTAATACAGATCCTTCGCTCCGCCCTTTATTAGCTTTCTAAAGTAAAAAACACGGTTAAAATAATGTACCATAATAAACTGCGAAAATAAGGCCATATATGTACAAACCTGCACATGTCGAACACAGCCATCGAAGTCGTAAGGTCCTTTATGTGAGTTGGAAGCCTTCAGCTTGATGTTATGTTCCCCGCGCACGTCGTCCGCGATGTCCGCCACGTCCTCCTTGTGCCGAGCTTGAGACACTTCCTGAGCGAGCGACTTCGCCGCGTCCACTGTCTTCTTTACCGTGCTACCGAAGAAACGCTTCAATCTAGAAGAATAAAATACGATATTACGTTACAATATAAATAGATACTTTATTTTTAAGGGGGAAAAAATCATCGAATGGCTGCTCCCGCCTGGGTGAGGCGGGAGGGAGTGTCAGACTCTTACTGACTAAAAACCACCCCGTTCCTTGTTCTGCACGTCGAGCCGGAACCCCGGTTACCCGTTAGGTTCTCCGCGACATATAAATAGATACTAGCGACCCGCCCCGGCTTCGCACAGGTGCAACATGCATGTATTGTACATGCAAACCTTCCTTAAGAATCACTCTATCTACATATTAAAAAAAACCGCATCAAAATCCGTTGCGTAGTTTTAAAGATCTAAGCATACATAGGGACAGACAGACGGCGGATAGCGACTTTGTTTTCTACTATGTAGTGATTACGGTTGTTAAATTGGGGCATGTAATTAGTAGGTATCTGTAAGTTATTACGCCTGCATATTCAATCGCAATAAGAAATGTGTTCGGCAGCGTAGACCGGATTGCTAGTAAAAATAGTGTTGCTTTTTTATATTTGATGGGTCGACGTTTGACCACTATCTCGCCTGGTGGTAAGCGATGATGCGGTCTACGATGGAGCACGTCATACCATAAGCAACCTATTCACTCGGGCATTGAAGACACCCAGGTTATACCCTTCAGGAAATATAGATTCTGGCAAAGAATTCCACTCCTTAGCAGTACGCACAAGGAATAAGTTGTACCTACATGTACTATGCGAATATAAAGGTATCCTCGATCGATATTAGTTCAATATAAAACAAAACCGATTAGAATTAGTAAAAGAAACTCGCGTCAAACTGTTACACTCTCAACATTGTTTAGTTGCTATTACAAACTAAGCATTAATTTACGCAGGTAACATAACATCACACCTTTTTATCCCCGAAGGTGTAGGCAGAGGTGCACGTTACGGCACTTAATGCCACTGTACAATGTAACAACGACTTTTCACTTTTTATGTTATGAGTCCCATGTAATAGAGCCTCTCACGCCTATTGCCATATACCGGGCACAATTCCAGACTCCGTGCTACTACTGAGATTTTTTTTAAAGTCCAGTTATATTTTGCCCGACCCGGGAATCGAACCCGAGACCCCTTGCCCGGCAGTCGCACTTGCGACCACACGGCCAACGAGGCGGCTAAAGAGAGCAAAGCATTTACGCAAGCATATTTTTGCAATTAGCTTTACCACACTCACTTCAAATTCCAAATGCGGAGCTCTTTTGCTATTTTTTTTAATCTGTTTTTAACACAAAAACTTTTTTTTAATCTGTTTTTAACAATTTTCAATATTTATCCTTACTAATATTATAAATCGGAAAGTGAGTTTGTTTGTTTGTTCCGATTTCACGCCGTAACTACTAAACCGATTGCTTTGAATTTTTGCAGACGTAAAGTTAGAAGTCTTGATTAAAGAATAGGGTACTTTTTATCCCGGAAAAATTTACTATTCCCGAGGGAAAACAAAAGTTTTGGTATAGATGGCGCTGTATGTATTGGTATATGTCACATAGGCTACTTTTTATCCTTTTGTGGCGCGAGCGAAGCCGCGGGTAAAAGCTAGTTAATATATATTTTGCACGGTTAGTGGTCACACGGTCACCTGATATTCATATCTGAGTGTCTGAGTCTCTTGTTAATGTTGTCCTGCGAATGACTTTTAACCAGCTTCGCTGTGGTCCTAGAGTAAATACCAAAGCTATAAATTACAAATCTTTTTTAATACGATCGAAATAAAGGCTGAATAACATAACATAACATCACGCCTTTTATCCCCACCCCACCCACTTTTCACTAATTATGTTATGAATCCCATGTACCTAATAAGGGGTGAGCTTATTGCCATATACCGCGCACAATTCCAGACTCCGTGCTACTACTGAGATTATTTAAAAAAAATCCAGTAATACTTTGCCCGACCCGTGAATCGAACCCGAGACTTCTTACCCAGTAGTTTGCACTTGCGACCACTCGGCCAATAAGGCAGTCTGAATCTTTTAACTAAAAATTACGGAATACTGCCAAGAAGATACTTAGAAAAGCTCTACTAGTTTCGAGTCACAGAGGGTACTACCTCCGCATGAGCAGCGTGCACGGTCGACGTAGACGCGTAGAACCTCTCTGTAGTTCGCAAATAGTAGAGTTTGTCTCACTATTTTTACGTGAGTAACTCGCGACACATACAAAATTAACTAAATTAATTTTGTATGTGTCACGATAGTTCTAGTGTTTTTATATATTTTTCTACAAAACCTATAAAATTCATAATTTCAGTCTATTATCAAAGTACTTACTTTTCAGTCTTCCTCTTGATACCAGTAGTCTGTCTGTCAGTGGACTCTCTCTTCATCTCCTTCGCTTCGTCCTCAGCGCCGCCCGCGCACACACTCTCACTCTCTTCGTCTGTCTCCCTGTAATAACAATACTATAACGTCAAATTACGAAGAATAAATATAGCAGATATTTTTAACTGTATGATGCGTTTTATAGAACTTACGCAAGAAGCACAAATACTGGAATATGATCAATTTTATTATTTTGTTTAGCTGAAACGGCCCAACACAAAATATGAATCAACATCTACACGCCAGCATTAAAAAACCGTCAGCATTTTAACAAGCTTCTCATGTATAATTAAATCCTATAATAATTATTATTACATTCACAAGGTTGAGGCCACTTATGTTACAATACTCCTATGCTCATTTTTAAGTCGCGCTTAAGTATAGTTCTGTCCCTACAAATTCTTTGTAAAATGACAGAGACGGCATGATATTTAAATACAACTTAAAATTGAGTAGCCTTTCAGTATTCGGGTGTTACTTTAGATGACTTTTGAGTCGTACAGCGCTCAATTTTCAACATATGTACCTCACGCCTGTCCCATGGGGCAGAGACTTTGGAACGCCAATTGCTACGATTCTTACATACCTCTTTCACTTCATCAAAAGTCATTAGTCCTTTCATGCATATTCATCGGTTAATGGTACTTTTAAATAGTAATAATAATACACAATCTTAATATTTAAGCAAAAAGAACAGCTTACATATGCATTGAAAATATCATATTATTGTAGCAAATACAAGCTTGATTATTTCAAACATTCAATATTAGTACATCATGTTTTTCGTTCAGTTAGTTTATCTGTGATACAAAAATCATCCTTACAGCTGTGGATAAAAAATAGCATTTGCTATGAAATAAAGGTGTTGTCAAATACACTTTGCTTTTATATTTTAGTTATATACTTTTAAATTCAAACGCAAATTATGATTGTATAAGCTATCAACTCTCAAAGCAGGGTTGCCAGACGTGAAAATTATCAACACACAATTTGTGATAAATATAAAGAAGACTGTCCGATTTTGAGTGTAGTATTCAAAAACATAATAATTCTTTTTGTGTAATAACTAGAACTTGTGTACTTGGCAGGTTTTGATAAAGTGGGTAAAATATCTTCTGCGTGTCGAAGTTAAAGGACCAACTTTTTGTGAGATAAAAGAACTAAAACGGAAATAAATGACATTCTATTCTATTCTATTCTATTCTAAACTTCAGTGCCGAATTTGAAATTTTTTTTTAAAGTGGGTAACAATTAATTGCGAAAATTCTAGGGTTTTGTATGCCCCTGAAACAAGCATAAGTAGTGAAGTGAAATAAAAACTTCCAAAATGGTAGAATTTGTAAATCTGGCAACCCCTAGACCGCAAGGCATTATGGCAAGCAGTGAATAGACAAGTAGAGAGTAGAAAGAGGACCTAGTCTCGAGACTGAGGTTGGAGGAGTGGTCGGAGCGCCAGGTGAGGTTTAGCGTCGACATGTTCAGTCGCCGCCGCCATGACAGTCTGCGTTTCACCTCAAATCTGGAAACGTTATTGCTGTTTTCCATTTCCATTTTAAGTTTTAATTTCTTTTGATATGAGACACAACAAAAATGCGTTGTCTTGATTAGATATCGTTTTCGGTGTAGATGAACTATTAATTTGGACTTAGTACTTTATTATTTTTTATAGAACTGTTTTTTGCCTTGACATAGCGTTTACAAAGATTATATTTATAACACCCAGACCCGAAGACACTTTTCCAAGAAGTAAATAATAAACACATAGCCCTCTTTTACGTTGCTTTTCTGGTTAAAAATTAGCACTTTAGAAAATTATATCTTCTAATTTTTATCATAAACATAGAAGTACACAGAAAGTATAGGTAGTTGGATGAGTGTTGGCAAGTAGAATGAGCGAGTACCTGGCGAGGTCCTGGTCGTGCGCGCGGCCGATGTACTCGGACGTGAGGCGCATGATGTGCAGACTGAGCGGGTTCATGCACTGCGGCAGCTTGTGCTCCGCCACGCTCAGCGGGACGCGCTCGCCTGGGACACAACCACTCATTTACACGCACCACTTCTTTTACACAAGATAGGTTTATCGGAGATCTCTATGCTCGATCGGAGGCTTTAAAATATATTCATTATATTCAATAAAATAAAATTAAATGACAATGACCAAATTTGTATGGAGCGTGGTGCCTTTTCATTTCTTCGCGGCAATTGTTCGGATGTGGAAAATCTTAACCCTTTAACAACAATTTATAAACTCGAACTTAACAATTTATACTTCACTATAACAAGTGCCAGTGAGGTACAAACAAAGTCTTTATAGTTCAACAACTCACTTACAAAAGTTGATTTTGAAAATTTTCTATGAATAATCATCTATACATATAATAATTCATTGAACATTTTCAAAATGAATATTTTCATGAATAAACTTTACGCCAGCCTATCTAAAGGCCTGAAAAACATGGGTTCAGATAAAATTAAATTAAATTATTTTTATTAAATTAAAATAAATACAAACTACAATGTCAATCCACGTACCAGTATCCAAGTTCAGCACGGTGACTTGTTCCAATATCTCTATGTCAGTGAGTTGATGTCCGGAGACAGTGCGCGTGCGCAGCGAGGAGGCCAGCCCCAGCGCCGCCTCGTCGCCCGCCGACCGACGACGGGACCCGCCTAGTGATTCCGAGTTACTGCGTCTGGTACACAAACATACAGACATTATGCTTGTCTCATAGTACTGGACAAAAAGTATAGAACATCTTTTTTTTTTAATTTTTATTTAATAAGAAGGGCTTTTTTCCGTAGAGAAAAATTTCAGCCCTATTATAGGATACAAAATTCAATACAAAAAATAAAGAAGCTAAACCTTAGGCGTAGGTTTAACTATCCCTTAAGCTTAAACACAAAATAATTAAACTATACAATTTTCTAGCGTCGGATGACAATGGTGACGTTAAAACTAAAAACAATACATACTTTTTTAGCTTTCATCAACCACATACTTAAATTAGGCATTCACAGGCATTGTCTATAGTTCAAGCTTTAATATAATCATGTCACGATATATTGATTCTTTTCATGACAAAATCTTGCGTCAATGCCTGACATGGTTTACGACTTCATTTTATTTATAGAAAGAAATATAAATTATATCTCAGTAAGTATGCAGAACCGCGAAACGTCTTTATATTAGTAATGAAATAAAAGCAGCTGATGATAAGATAAAAACTATTCGGAAAGCAATACACAACGAGACTGGTAGGAAACGATAAAGAAATTCAAAATTTAGTTTAAATACTGAAAGTTCAAACATTCCTATCAAAACAACCAAAGATTTAGAGTCATCAGCAACACTCTCTGTAACTTTGCTTAAGAATCATATACAATCGTCTCAGCACGACTTTGGTTTTCGATATACGAATCCTCTACAAATAATAAAAGTTATTAAAGAAATTAAGATCAAATCAACTGAGGATTTATGGGGACTATCGGTAAAAGTTTGCAAGTCACTCATTCAAACTGTAGCGCCAAAGTTGCCTGTGATTTTCAATAAAAGTATAGATGACGGTGTTTTCCGTGACCTAATGAAATATAGTAAAGTTACCCCACTGTTTAAAAGTGGTGATACTAAAGAAACAAACAATTATAGGCCAGTATCTGTTTTGCCGGTTCTCAGCAAAGTGTTTAAAAAGTTAATGCTGTCTCGGATGCTTCATCATTTTAATAAACATTCTATCTTTCACCAACAACAATACAGTTTCACTAAAGGTCGTTGTACAAATGACGCCGGTGTCACTTTAATGAAAGAAATATTTGGTGCTTGGGACGAAGCACAAGATGCTATTGGTGCCTTTTATGACCTCTTTTTTTTTTTTTTTTTTTTTTTTTTTAAGGGGGGAAAATCATCGAATGACTGCTTCCGCCTGGGTGAGGCGGAAGGGAGTGTCAGACTCTTACTGACTAAAAACCACCCCGTTCCTTCTCCTGCACGTCGAGCCGGAGCCCCGGTTACCCGTTAGGTTCTCCGCGACTTTTTATGACCTCTTAAAAGCGTTCGATTGCGTTGATCACGAGACACTTGCTGAAATTTGATCACTACGGGATCAGAAACACCGCATTCTGTCTAATAGAGTCTTATTTAGAAGAAAGGCAATTAAAGGTTCATGTTAACGGTATTAACTTACAGAGCTCTGGGATGAATATGGGCGTTCCCCAAGGTCCAATATTGGGTCCCTTTTTCTTTTTAGTCTATATAAATGAATTGCCATTTATATTCAAGAATAAACCAAGAAGGGTGCTTTTTGCAGATGATACTTCATTAATTTTTAAAATAGATCGACGTGCTAAATCTTGACGACGTAAACAGCTCCATTCTTCGTATGCAATATTGGTTCACCATTAATAATCTAGCGCTTAATGAAAAAAAAAATCAAATGTATTAAATTTAGTTTACCAAACGTCCAAAGTAATGATTGTGATGTTGTTTTAAACGGCCAAAAGTTAGAATTTGTCGACGAAACGGTATTTTTAGGCATTACATTAGACAATAAGTTACAATGGGGCCCGCATATAAAGGCGCTTTCGGGGAGATTAAGCTCAGCTTAGACAGCTCACGGACGTGGATACGGCAAGACTTGTCTATTTTAGTTACTTTCACAGCATTATGTCGTACGGCATTTTGTTGTGGGGTCGAGCTGCAGAAATAGAATCAATTTTTATTCTTCAAAAGCGGACTTTCTGAGCAATATATAACTTACGCCGTTGCGAATCGCTAAGAGAATTGTTTAAAGCGATAAATATCTTAACGGTGCCCTGTCAATACATTATGAAAATAACGACAACAACAACAACAGTAACGAATGGAATTTCTTGCTCGTTCTTCTTTCCACTCGAATCGACATTTTGGAACGAGCAAGCCTAGCTTCACTGACGGACAGACTGACAGACTATTATTTATTTCATATTTGTTGACGTTTCAAAAGTACCAAATTATGGTTTAATTGAAATAAATGCTTTTGAGTTTGAGTAAAAATGAGTATATCTTACCTGGCGGCCGCAGGTCTGGAAGAGGGAGGCGCCGTACGTCCTTCACTGTGTGTACGTACGTTGCGGTCTTCAGAACGAGCCGTGGCTTCATCTATAACATGAACCAAATGTTTAAATAGCTACGGCTTTTAATATAAATGGAAATAATGCTTAAATTGATTTCTGATAGTATCAAAATGTTAGATTTATTGTGGGTAAGTCAGAAGTAACGCCATGTCGAAATGACGTGTGGGTGGTAAGAGCCATTGATCTCTTCGAAACTTATTATTTAACGTAATGTATATGTTATAAGCTAATAAATATTATGTTAAGTTTAAATTCATAAATACCTCTGAGCGGGGTATCAGTGGGAGCTCTTGGCGTGGTGCGAGTATCTCGTTCGCTGGGACGAGACTCGTGCAGGCTCAGGGACCCGCGGGAGCTGCCTGTATATGCAATAACATTGTTAATAATACTCTTTTTAATTTTAGCGCAATATCTTTCGCTTTGTATTGCTAAGTGGTTGGCGCCACTGTTAACTGAAGATCTTATTAGGGCAGTCACAATGTATACCGAAGATTAATTAAGCCCACGAGTTTGCCAATGTACCAATGCTAACAAGCTACCACAATAGGTCCATTTTCATAGCACTAGTAGGTACTGGTTTTTTGAATATTTCAAAATAATTATGTGGACTTACCATATTTAGAGCTTGATAGTTCGAGTGAATCTTGGAACTCTCTGGTGAGAGATTCTATCGTGCTGGCGGGGCTGGGCAACGCCATTGACTGATTTACAGCACTGGGAGGAGGTGGCTGTAAAAAATTGAAATTCATTAAATGCGAAAAAGGCCAGACAATCACAAATCCATTGCGATCGCGTAGGTATCGATTTGGGTTAAAAATAATACGAAAATTGGTATCAAAATAACTAACTAAGAATCTAAAAGACTGCTAGAATAGTTTTCAATCAATGCGCAATTGATGTTTTGCGCAAAACAGAAATATATTTCCTATATTTGGGCAAACATTTCCATTAACACCATCTTACATGCGCGATTATTCCTGAACTTGAACGAGTACTAGTCTTCTGCAAGCTGTAGTTACTTGTGTCAAAAATGAATATATACCTCAACAATCAAAGAATCGAGCTGTGGTTTGTCCGGTCGTCGCGCGATGTATCGATATTCATCCGTGTCTGTAGTACATACGCTCAAGTTGTCGCCGTCCGTTGTCGATAGAGACTGAGATCCATGCAACTTGTCTACAAGTGATATAACATAAATAATTATGACGTATAGAGGAAACAAATATATTTTATGTTGAGGAAAATGTACGTTTTGGTTGATAGATAATTATTTATTAGTACGTAATTTAATATCTTTTTGTATATTTATTTGTTTTGATTTCTGTTTAGGTATTTAGTTTTCTATATATATTACTATACGATACATACATACATACATACATAACTTCACGCCTGTCTCCCATGGGGGTAGGCAGAGACTAAGGAACGCCAATTACTACGATTCTTACATACCTCTTTCGCTTCATTAACAGTCATCAATCTTTTCATGCATGCTCGTCGGTTAAGGGTACTTTTAATTTGGCCCTTCTTTAATATATCGCCAATCTGGTCACTATATGTCCGTCTAGGGCGCCCTCTACCGACGGCTCCATTCATATCCGCTCTGTATACTTCTTTCGTTACTCTACTTTCATCCATCCTTTCTACATGTCCAAACCAGCGTAACATTCCCTTTTCAATCCTTGTCACTACATCGTCTTTCAATCCACACCTCTCTCTAATAACACTATTTTTCACTCGATCACTCAATTTTAGTCCACACATACTTCTCAGGGCTCTCATTTCCACCGCATTAATCCTGCTTTCATGCTTCTTCTGCCACACCCATGATTCACTACCATACATAAGCGTTGGTGTCAATACACACTGCATTACAGCAAGTCGAGCTTTGCTGGATATTATTTTACTCGACATTACAGAGTGTAAAGCACCATTAACACTATTTCCCGCTTTCACTCTCCTTTCAATATCCCCGTCACACTTTCCATCTCTCGTAAATAGTGATCCCAGATACACAAATTCATTCACTTGTTCCAATTTTTCATCACCTATCATTACCTGACATTCTGTTACCACCTCATTTCTTTCTATCACCAACACTTTCGTCTTGTTCACATTTATTTTCATACCTTTCCTTTCAAATGCATCACTCATAGCAGTGACCATTTGTTGTAATTCTTGGGCCGACGAGGCAACAAGCACCTGGTCGTCGGCATACAACAATGTTTTAATCACTGTGTCATTCATCCTTAATCCAGGCTCTCCTACTTTCAGGTCGTTCAAACAACTGTCCATAAATAGGTTGAACAGCCAAGGAGATGCTACACAGCCTTGCCTAACACCGCGATTAATGTCAAACCACTCCGTGTAGTCCCCATTTATTCTGACACAGGCACTCGAGTCCTTATATAAGGATTTAAGTGCCCGAATCAGGTGGCTATCCACCCCATACATGGACAGAGTTGACCACAGTTCATCCCTCACCACTCTGTCATAAGCCTTTTCTAGGTCTATAAAGGCACAAAATACCTTTTGGTGCTTTGATAACACTTTCTCTGAAATGCACCGTAACGAAAAGACTTGATCCGTACACCCCATTCCCTTTCGAAATCCCGCTTGCACATCCCAGATTTTACGCTCAGTTACATCCATCACTCTTTCGATCAATACCTTGGCATACAACTTTCCTACTACGCTTAGGAGGCTTATACCGCGATAATTTTTGCACTCCTGCTGTGATCCTTTTCCTTTATATAGTGGCACAATTACGGCCTTGGCCCAGTCTCCCGGGACACGACCGCACCGCCAACACTTATTAAAAAGTAGATACAGCAGGCTTGCAATTACACCTCCACCCTCTGTTAGCATTTCAGAAGTTATCCTATCACATCCCGCTGCTTTACCTACTTTCAAACTCTTAATGGCACTCACAATTTCATCCATATTTATTTCTCCCACAGCACTTTCATTCTCATCGTTTACTTCCTCTTCTTTCAAATCACTCCTTTCAAATAAATTCTCGAAGTATTCCTTCCACTGCTTTAAAACATCCTTACTTTCTCCAATGACACTCCCATTTATATCCCTTATCGTACTTACTTTCGAGTCCCCCACTTTGCCTCTGGCCCTTCTAACTAAATGCCAGAATAGTTTAGCGTTGGCTCGAAAGTTCTGCGAAAAATTCCTTTCAAACTTTTCCTTGCATTCATTTTTCTTCTTGCTAACTACCGCTTTTGCTCTCTTTTTGAGACTTACGTACTTTTCTTTCATACTTTCTAGCACTCTCCTATTTGCCTTTGAGGCTAATAAGTCAAGCCATGCTTTCTTCTTTTGCTCTATCACCTCTTTTACTTCATCATCCCACCATTCATTCCTCTTGCTTCCAGTGTTATTTTTCTTGCTTACCCCACATACTTGAGTAGCTACTGCGATCACTCCATCCTTAAATTCCTTCCAAAATTCTTCTATATTCCATTCGTCACCTTTCATTAGCTCCCTAAACCTTTCATTTAATAATTTCCTGTACTGGTCCCTAACTTCCTCTTCTCTCAACCGTTCAACTCTCACTCTCTCGGTTCCAGGCAACTTTACCCGTGGCCGATGTCTCCACTTCATTGTCAGTCCAGCTATTCTGGTAATTACTAGGAAGTGGTCGCTTCCGACATTCGTGCCACGGTAAACCCTTGTATCCTTCACTTTTGTCCTCAGGCGTTCATCAACAATCACAAAATCAATCATACTTCTTTCTGTATGCCTCTGCCATGTATACATGTGTATCTTCTTGTGACCAAATGTTGTGTTGGTCACAACAAGTTCCTTTTCTACACATATATCCAGAAGACATACACCATTCTCGTTCACTCGTTCGTCTCCAAATCGCCCTAATACTCTTTCGTACCCATCGCGTGCCACTCCAACCCATCCATTAAAATCTCCAAGCATAATTATTCTTTCATTCTCTTTACATATCTATCATCATCATATACGATACACTTTTAAAATAATAATAATAAATATATTAAGATTAACGTAAATGACACTAAATGTGTTTTTAACATACTTAAGTTCCTATGTTGTTTGAAAATCTTAGATCCGGTCATGAAATGATGGTATTTAGCGTGTAAGAGTGTATGGTATAGGGTACTGACTGCGCTTCTTCCTGCGCGGCGGCGCGACGGGCTGCGCGCGCGGTTCCGTGGAGCCGCTGACGGCGACGATGGCGCCGCCGCCGCGGTTGTGTTTCAAACTGTTCGCCTTCGTACTCGCTATCACGTCCGGCTCTGCCATCGCTAGCACTGACAACCAACAACATTATCAACTAATTTCTCATCTAACGACATGTCAATTTTTTATGCTGGGGAAATCATACAATGACTTCTCCCGCCCGTGTGAGAGAGGGCGAGAGGGAGTGTCAGACTCTTACTGACTAAAAACCACCCCGTTCCTACTCCTACACTTCGAGCCGGAGCCCCGGCAACCCGTTATGTTCTCCGCGGCTCCGTATCGGCATCAGCCTTATTGGGCCCCATCTGTGGTTCTGATAACTCCTTGAGGCGCGCGCGAAACGAGACGCCGTAGCGTCTCTCAAGCCACTCCACAAAGAGGTGAATTACCGCTGCAATGACAGCGAGCCCAGTGATACTGCTATAAACCGTACTATTGGTTTCAACAAATCAGATAATGATGGTTCGATGGAGCTTAAACTTAACATCTTTAATTGATGAAGAGTGGCCATCTACTGAGATCAGTCCTTTCAGTTTAACTGTCCTTAATCTTTTAGCTTGGTAAATCTGGCAACACCACTATTATTTTGTTTACCAGTGATTTTCGACCTAATGATTGTATAGTTATACTCACCATTCTGGGTTCTATTCTCTGAGGTGAGTTGTTCGTCGGATATGGTGGAGGGCTCCCTCGATGACACCGATGGTACCGGCGCGGTATCACGGATGTTCGCTAAGACAAACATACTTACATGGTAATTATTATTACTAAAAATATGTTACTAAGGAAGTGAAGAACCTAATCTTCATTCATACTAAAATTTACACCGACAAAGACTTCCAATCTTAGACATCGCTCGGAAGTCGACCGTTCGATTAATGAAACAGTGATAAACAGTATGTTAGAAAATTTATGAAGAGTAATCCTTACTTCCTTACTAATGTTATAAATCGGAAAGTGAGTTTGTTTGTTTGTTCCACTTTAACGCTGTAACTACTAAACCGATTGCTTTGAAATTTTGCAGACGTAAAGTTAGAAGTCCGGATTAAATAATAGGGTACGTATTGTCCCTGAAAAATTTGATATTCCCGAGGGAAAACAAAAGTATTGGTATAGATGGCGCTGTGTGTATTGGCATATGTCACATTGGCTTTTTATCCTTTTGTGACGCGAGCGAAGCCGCAGGTAAAAGCTAGTGTTTATTTAAAATATTAATATTCTAATATCAAAATCGGTTTCCATCCAAACCATGGCTTCAGTATGTGATAAAAATAATTTAAGTGACGTGATTTACAAGTCAGAGATCAGCAGCTAATTATATTTAAGAAGTCTGTTCTTGAAGACTGAGTCAGAGGCAGCCATGATTCACAACATATTACATACTCAGTACTAAAGATAAGTGTTAAACAAGATTGATTTTACGCTATGTTCATTCTTTAAACGGGATGTAGAATTTGAGCACTAATCTCTGAACTTATACTGGAGACTTCAATTTTGTTCTCGGAATAATATATTTTGCGAATTTTTGATAAAAAGACATTTTAGACTTTTTTTTTTAAGGGGGGAAAATCATCGAGTGTTTGACTCTTACTGACTAAAAACTACCCCGTTCCTTCTCCTGCACGTCGAGCCGGAGCCCCGGTTACCCGTTAGGTTCTCCGCGACACATTTCAGACTTTATGGTGCACCGGGATCGCGGGTAAATTGTAATATCAGTACTGGCATCTGGCAAGCAACTGTTATATGGCTATATCGATATAATATAACATAGATTTTGATAGAATAGGGTATTAGCCAGTAAAGCTCTGTCACTTTTCATCTAGGGAGGATACTTTTGATACTTTTTTCCTCAAAAAATGTTTTTTCGATAATATTTTAATACGTATTATTTTAGTGATTTATCTTATAAATGTGAGATCTACTGAACTACTACATACTACAGTGTACAGATACTTACAGTGGGATTCTGATGCTCCACTGAGTATTCTGCCGATCCTGCCTAGTGACGTCATACTCTGCAGGCTCATTGTGTCGTGTGCTATTATTCTGTAAAGAAAAAACAAATAATTTACTAAATTATTAAGTTGTACAATTGATTACTGCAACACATTGAAAGAAAACATTTAACCTTGTACAGTTTTAAGGTGATAATGAGTATTCTGTTGTTTTCTTAATTGTTCCTTAATAAAACAAGTACTAAAATTTTTATTTATTTTATTTTCAGCCATGATCGTCCCACTGCAGGGCAAAAGCCTCTAAAGTAATAAAATAACAAGTTTTAAAAATATACTGCATTTGTGGACAGTCTAAAATCTAGGTATTCACCGCCTTGTTTTCCCTGCGGTCTTTCGCGCCTATAAATGCGAATATCGCATAATGATTGTCGAGCATCAAGTTTGTCGATGGTACATCTTCAGGGAAGTGAGATTGATAATGGATAATCAAAGAATCAAAGTCAGTTCAATCACAGAACAATTAAAATCGCTGATAAATAGCAGTTAAGATTTACGATATTATAGATCAAAAACCTACCCAGAACAGGTATACAAAGTGTTCAGGGAACAATCATGAATTATGTGGAAAATAAAAGTAAATATGTTAAAATACACTTTGGAATGAGTAAATAGCTTCACTACAGGACTGACAGACAGATAGGCTGACACTTAATTTTTTAGTTTAATATTCAAAAGGATCTTTCCTGGAATTGATATTCATAAATGATTTTGACTTTGGGTTTGATAAAAAGTCATGCCCTTACTTGAATGGATGCTCAGATGTGAAAGTTTGCTGATCTACTGAGCCGGTAGCATCAGGCACACCCTCGTCCTCCTCCTCAGTCTGCATGCAAAGACGTAACTCATGGAATCTTCGCCGACCTTGCACCAACTAGAAAAAAAATGAGTGAAATAAATAAATAAAAATAATTGAAACAGAATATTATTTACAATTGATAGAACAATATGATAATCTTTCTAGAATGGTAAGTTTGCTTATATTGTCTGATAATAGCCTGAATTTAATTGTCTGATAATAAATGTAGACTGGTGGGAATTAGACAACCTAATTCCTCCTAGTCCATTTCACCATCATGCTACCAGACAAACGGCAAGGTGCGAGGAGAAAGATTGTACCTGTATTATATTGGAAATTAGGTGCAAAATATAAACATAAGAACATTCTTATGACTATTATATTATAAGGTAGGGTTAAATCTGATAAAACAAAGATCATGAAAATATGATCAGATTTTTTCTTTAATTTAATTGGTGTTAATATCATGATTATCGTATTTTGTTGTTTCATGTAACTTTAGATTGTACTCACACTGTTTACTGTAGTCCGGTCATCTTCAACAGGTGCAGTTTCTGTAGCTACAGAGTTAGTACTTCGAGGACCTGGTAGTGCCTGAACAGCCTCCGTCTTCAAAGCTGAAGTCTTGTCCTTCTCTGGAGCATCTCCACTCTCTGTTACACTTATATTCTTGCATAGTGATGACCTTCTGGAAACAATTTTGCATATAAAATATCTTTTTAAAATGTTTAATGGTTTAAGGACCTGTTTGGAAATGTCTCACTAGGTTCTTGTTAAATTGACTGATATTTTGACATATTTCATATTGGAAAAAGTAATAGAAACTTAATTAAATGTTATTAAACCAGCCTAATAATCAAAAATATCAATTCAAATCTAGTACACACCACACATGGCCATGGTAAATTTATTAATAAATCTTACATCTAACAATGTAATAGAAAAAAGGATGTTTTCATATTAATGTAACAACATGCACACATATTCACACAGCTAACATCAATAGGCAAGTGAAACATTGTCAATAGTTAGTGCATAAGTGGGACAAATTCACAATTAATATGTAAACCATCAACTTATTGGCTAATCACGATGTGGTCTATTAACTCATTGTTCTAGCCAAATGAGCCAGTCTCGCATCGATGGATGACTGTTTTTTATTTGTTTTAACTTGTCGCTAGCGCCAAGGACGCATATCAATAGCGTTCGAAACATCTGTTCGTTTCATACAACACCTGATTCAAAATAGAATATTTTTTTATTTATACTTATGCATTCATCATAGATACGCCGGTTCAATGCACAGTAATGTTCGCATTGGAATATAGTATGCTGTATCAGGCTAAGTGTTAAGTGTACAATAATAAAACAGCGAAATTGTTAACGTTTTCGCTACTTACTTGGAACCTTTAATGGGTGTGAACTCTTCAGCGTCGTAAAATTCCTCAGAATCGCTGCTATCGCCCATTTTGACCTGGAAAACGTGTAGCAGCACACACAAACCACAATTTCAAAGAAAAATATTTACATTATCAATAACTGAAACGTTGTTTTTTATAATATATGAAAGTTAGAACCCAAATCGTTCCTCAACTCATTTGACACTTGACATTTGGCTTGACTTCTCCCTGCTGTGACAACTGAAATGTCTTGAAATTTGACAGTGGTTGGTTGACAGGTTTACTTGAAAACCTGGCTTTTTATCTGAGGCCGCCATAATTGCTCTGCAATAATTATGTTTCTTTTTTCAACGTCCTTTTATGCCTGCATCTGATTAAATTAGAAAGTTAGCTTAGCTTATGACTAATATGTACCATAAGTGAAAGCTAGGTATATGGAGAAAATCTTTACATGTTCTGTGGATACAATTGTATAATATTTTAAAATGTAAATATTCTGAAGTTTCGACGTTGTTGCTCCTACCCTCCTTTATTCTAAATTTAAACTAATAAATTAAATATGCCTATCTAACTAAACCTATCAAATAAATGTAGCATTTCATTGCAATTACAGAAATTATACCGAGATAAGCGCCTGTGATATTTAAAAACGCAAGTAGAGGTAAATACACAACTTACGTACGTTTACTTTCTTCATACGTAAACTCAAGCTATTATAGCTTACTTATATACTACGTAAATTCACATTACCGTCCGTCTTAAGAGGCTAAGCAGAAACTATAAATAGCGCAAATTATTCAAATTTATGATCCTTTTAAACCTTTAACGTAGGTATTTTAAAACTGTAATCGGATGCTGTAATAAAATGAGGACCATAAGACTACCCTTGGGCAAGTGGTGATAAATGCGACCAACATATCTCAATTCTCTTCTCAGGTCAGGGAAAGTACTCTATTACTGGGCTATTTTTGGATTTTTCATTAGTAGCACTAGCACAAGGTCAGAAATTGTGCTCAGTATTATGGCAATAAGTATTATTGGCATACAATATGGGACTCATAACATAACATAACTGGTGAAAAAAGGATACAACTCTCCCATTTGGACAGTTGGTGTAAAGGTCTTAAAAACCCATTTAGATCCGTCAATTCAATAATGTGTAAAATTGCTAAAGCAGGTAAGTATATAATATCAGTAGCACTAGCACAAGGGACCAGCGAGGCCTGAAGTAGGGATCTAGGACACACGTAATACGCAATTGTTACGCTTACGAGCAGAAGACCTAGACACAAAATACAACAGATAGCCTGTAGACTGGCTGTCGCTGAAAACTATACGTAGGTAATTAGGTAGCTATATGTATTTAGTTTGAAGTTCAAACTTAAATTATAAGAAAATCTACATTTATATTTTGTACAGCTTGGCAAAAAAAATTTGACGCAGTATCAACTGGAACTAATATTGAATTGGACAGATTTTTTTTATGGGATAAGCCGATAAACGAGCAGACGGATCACCTAATGGTAAACAATCGGCGTCACCCGTGGACACCTGGAACACCAGAGGCATTACAAGTGTAAAGAAGAATCATCCACTTCAAACCATATCCCATGAATAAACAATCATACGAACATATAAATATCAAAACCGATTGTTTCATTGTCACATGTACGATACTAGCAATCTCATTTATTCCGAACTCTATTTTACCAAGCTGTATTGCCTTATATTAATCAATATTCCAAATCTTAGTAATTTATGGAAAGCTAAAGCATTTTGAGAGGTTTCTCTTACGATTAAAAAACGGATTTCCCCAAAGATATTATGGTCAAGTAGTGACACATTATAATGACGTCACATTCAGTCTTTTTTTTAACTGCAGACACATTTATATAAATTATGGCAGATCAAGGTCGTAATTGTTAAACTTATTGATTTCATTCAGAACCAAAATCAAATAATAGGTAGATTTTAAGTAGATTTTAAGATAATTACAATATTCTAAAGTTAGATGTCTGCCTAACTGTAAAGGACAACGAAATTTCATTCTTCCCTAATGATGAAATTTCGTTGTCCTTTGAAATGAAAAAAAACTCTAGATTAGTCTAGTCACCATTAGAACGAAAGTTGTAGGAACTTAAATTAAATAATGTCTAATTAATGAATGTAATGGAATTAAAAGTGGAGGATCTTTTAAAATTCTCTAACGAAGAATAAATGCAGTCATTAAACGAAGTTTTTCCTGTCCCATAAAATATTATACAAACCATTCACAACGGGAATTTCCGTGCTAACAAAGCCGTGGGTGGAATGCTAGTTTCGACTAAATTGTAATAGACAACAAAAATCATTTGACACCGTTTTCGAAAGACCTTATTTTGAAATCCCGTACGTATTGTTCCCGTTACGGTCGTCGCATTTGCTACCAACCTGAACATGAATGACCGGCCTCTTCATCCTTGCTGGTGAGGTCATCTGTCACCTGAGATCCCGAAGGCATTGGCCTAACGGGAAGGACGTCCTTGCAACTTAGAATATTCTTTTGTTTTGTTAAAAGTAAAAAACCTTAGGAATATCTAATGATTTTTGGGATTTGTATTGCAGAAAATATTATACAAATAACTACAAATAATGGTTGACTCTCTCTCTTACCATTTTAAGGGAGAAAGTAATTTGTTTTTTTATTGAATTTATATTTGAGGTTTGGATTGGATGAAATAAAATTGACACACCCCATGATATACGTAAAGTACTAGTCAGGTATGAAGTTATAATTAGGTATTATTTATTATTAGAAGCAAGTAGACAGTGCCTTCGAATTTTTTGGCGGCAAAATGATTTAGGTATTTCTATAATAGAAATTCACCCTTTCAGGAAATATACTGTAGTTATTTTCCCTTTTTCATCAACTGCGGAAACGAATCGTATATCGAATAAGTTTTTACAAGCCTTTTGTAGATTGTAGGAGTAATTAGTTTTTTTTTTAGTAAATCCAAGGCCAGTCCGTTATATTCCGGTATTGGGTGAAAAATCAATGTCTATTTGTTTTGATTGATAAATAATTTTTCATTTTAGCGATGAAATGAATAAATGAAAGTGCCTTCTTTTGTTATGATTATGCTGCTTGTGGAGGCCTTTGTACGGCAATGGACGTCTTTCGGCTGTTGATGATGATGAGCCGCTTGTCAAGTGTGTACAACATAACATACCGATTTGTGGAGTATACCCTTACTTAACTCACAGTTGGGCATGGACGATTGAGACTAAAGGTGAAGTTTGGCAGTTATTTAGGACGATCTAGCACAAAGCGCTTCTTTCGAAGCTGCATTCCTACGAGTTTTCCGAGAAATTCAACCCCAATAAGACACAGTTTAGAATCAGCGCTAAAAATACCGTAAGTCTTATAAAATCAAAAATTGAATCTATCTCAGGAATCAAACCCAAGACCACGCGACACCAAGACTAACGTGGCAGTCCTATATATTACATTTACATACCTATGGACTATGAATAATAATTTTAGACATAATCACTTTCGTAAGTCTAATAGGGATCATACGCATTATTAGCGTATTTTCTGAAACTGAAAATTAAATAAACTCAAAATCTTTTTTCCAATGGGATATCGATTTACAGCGATTACCGAGTTTAAAGAAAATCTCCAGCGTCATGGTCTCACTACTAATTTAAAAATTAATTAGTATTTATGTTTACCCCACCGGTTTTCTCATCATATAGAAGAAAAACTGTACATCATTCAGTTGAAGCAGTTTTACTACTTCGATACTTACGTGGGCAGCATTAGATTTACAGAATATACATGACTTCGCGGTTTACACAGTAAAGGAATTAGAAAAATCCAGATAAAAATCTGAATCACTTTTTTCTGCCAAGTCATTGTGTTGTAAAACTGTGGTCAAATTGAAATGATATTATAATATCCCATTGGTTGGAGGGAGATCTGGGTGTTTTGTCCTCGACATGCGTCATGCATTCGAAGCTGCTATATAACAGTTGACCTCCCTCCTCTCGCAGTTATTCACTCCGACAGTCCCGTACCGGCTGCACGCGCTGTGTTTCTTGTCAAAATCATAGTTTAAAAAAAACGTAAGTGTTTTTTTTCTACTATTTTTGTGTTGTGGCGGACATTTTAAATTACGCGGCAGACATCTTTAATTTAGTCAAGTTAGGACCAGTCGTAGGGTAATTGTTTTAAAACAATTAAATAAGATTATTTTAAGTATTCACCAATTAACTAAGTTAGTAAAAAGTTATTCCAAGTTTTTATAAAATTTGTTGCCTAAGACCCGTGCGTTTTGTCAATTAAAAAAAAACTTAAGTATTCTGATTTTGAATGCACGCAATAAAACTATTAGTTGGCAGCAGATTTCAATTTCTTTTTTTTTATTAATTTCGCAGAATATTTTTATGCCGCTTACGGCCTACACGCAAATAAATAGTTATTGGAACTGTGTATTGCTTAAATGCAGTGAAAGGCAAAAAGTAAACTAGTTCAATTAGTTTAAAAACGACTTCCCACGTTATTTTACGTAGATACCTATATGTAACAAGTGTAGTATCGAGAAAGTGCTTTTAAATCGTGATAAATGAAACGTTCTAGTTTCTATGCTACCGATGCACGACATACCTATGTAGGTAGGTACCTACCAACTATTTGTTTAGAATTTTAATCGTGAAGTCTTATTTAAACTGCACTTGACTATATGCCCCTCTATTTGTACTTAGATAAAGTAATTCGTTTATTTAGTTTTTTTTTAATAAATACCTATTCGGTTTGATTAATAGCTAGGTGAAGTATGGGGGATCTACTACTACTACTACTAGGGATCTTTAATAATTTTGCTTGCTTTTTTTATTTTTGAAAGGGTTGACAGAGGTATACGTAGGTAACGTAAGTACAATCTAGATAATTCGATATAATTTTTTATTATAGATCGAATGAAAGTTACATTAAAAATGTTGTCATTCAGTTTGATTTAAGTAAACCCCTGTGCTATTTATTGGCGAAACATAGGTACCTATTTATATGTAGTATATAATACTTATAAATGTATCCATTAAACATTGTACTTATAGACCCAGTGCCATACTTTTTTATACACCTCAAAATGCGGTTTTTACATGACCAAAATGATGTAACTTGTGGGTTTTCCCGATCAGTTTCGACCCGTTTAAAGTTGCAAGGTGATCCAATAACAAAAATTAATAATGTTTAGTTAGTTAAACTGTCAAACACCAAGCGGTCACCGGTGACCGCAACCTATTGTTCTTTAATTGTGTCTATAAAACCGGTACTCGACGAGACGATCATGTTAAAGAATAAAGATTTATTTTACTATCAACAAGTTTTTGTAAAGAAGATAAATGTTTGATGCAAATCTGAATTTATTTTATAAGCTTGTTTTTGTTGATGCGACTGCCTCGTTGGCCGAGTGGTCGCAAGTACGACTGCCGGGCAAGGGGTCTCGGGTTCGATTCCCAGGTCGGGCAAAGTACTACTGAGTTTTTATAAATTCTCAGTATAGTAGCACGGAGTCTGGAGTTGCGCCCGGTATATGGCAATTGGCTCACCCCCTATTACATGGGACCCCTAGTGAAAAGTGGGTGTTACATTGTACAATGGCATAATGTACACCTCTGCCTACCCCTTCGGGGATAAAAGTCGTGATGTTATGTTATGTTTTGTTGATGCGCGATACCTACTTAGATAATTATTTCAAATAAGCATTTGAATTCTTAGTTCTTCAGTTTCTATATCTATTGTAGTTGGCAAGGATGAAAATATAGTACTTATTTTTTACAGTGCGATTGTCGGATTTGGTTACTGATATGGATACCCAATAACATTTTTTGTTCTTTTGCATACCTACCTATTCAAGTTTCGATTACGAAATTCATATAATATATCATTATCAACTAGATAGACAGGTACTAGGTACCTAAAATGCTTGATGAAGTCATCTCATCGTGGTCTGCGTTTATCTTAGCCACAAAGTTATGTCAACGATTATATTTTTTGCTGTGTAATACTACGTTGAAGTTATTTGTGTAAATCAACATAAACATTGTTAAGATTTAATAAACAAAAACGTTGAATCATTGGCTAAATTGCTATTGCAGATGGCGGTAGCTACCTCCTTGTATTTTAGCTAATAGAGGGAATTAATAAATATTTATTGCATAAAATCAATCGTAATGTTTGTAAATAATAGAACATTTATTTTTTCATGAACCAAATACCTATACATTTTTGATAATAATTTTGTCATCGGGAATTATAATGGGACAATATTTTTTTTATAGAAACACCTAACGTAGGCTGTAGGTACATATTCGAGAAGCTTTGAAAATTTAGGTGTTAAGTATAGAATTTAATAAACTTATAATCATGGTCCTCTGAACTTATACTTACCTAACGTTTATTACACTGATTGTAAGTTGCCATTAAGTTACTCATTAACTCAGAGACGAGACAGATTAAGCACAACTTGACTCGCTAAAACAAGGTCATAAGCAGAGTAACCGAGTTGTGGCTTGCTGACTGTCAGAGGGCTTTTTTTATTCAACTCAGCTATGGAAAATACCGGTTATTATTGAAGTATTGTAGATACCTACATCCTGCATAGTTAATTTGTTATGTAACTTATGTACAGATAAAATAGGTACTTATTTCAATAACTGAAGTAACCGGTAGCCGGTAATAGTCACTTCAGTAGCTACTGAAGTGACTATTACTATTATCAGCTGATAATGCCATCTTCTAACAACAACATTAGTTTGCAATCATACAACATACCTATGTAGGTACCTACCTACTGCAACTGAAGACACTTCACGCCTGTTTCCCATGTCGGTAGGCAGGGACTATGGAACGCCAATTGCTACGATTCTAACATACCTCTTTCGCTTCAACAGTCATCAGTCTATTCATGCATGCTTGTCGGTTAAGGGTACTTTTAATTTGGCCCTTTGCACCGATATGAGATACAATGTATTTTCTATTGTGTTATTTAAGACACACGACGGTTTAATATAAAATAATTGAAACTGAAAACAATGGCAAATAAACATAATATTGTTTTGTAAGTAATTAACTAGTAGTACTTAGTTAAATGTAGTTAGGTACTTCAGTAAACATTTTACTCATTTACTTAACCAGTAGGTATATCCAACAGGTTAAAAATTGTTGATAGGTACAATCTACCATAGTGCAGTAGCGCAAGGCTCTTTGGTTCGGTTTTAAGTCTTAGGCCTTAGTACGAATTATTTTACGTTTAAAGCAAACGAAACGAAACCGCGTTCGGCGCTCTGATTGGCTGTTTCATTGGAGCCGGCCAATCAGAGCGCCGCACCGAACGCTTACTTGTTCCGTTTACTTTAAACTGTCAAACACCAAGCGGTCACCGGTGACCGCGACCTATTGTTCTTTAATTGTGTCTATAAAACCGGTACTCGACGAGTTAAAACGAACTTGTACTCAGGCCTCTAGCTGCATTGGAAATGGAAATACCTACGCTTGCTATGGTACCAACCTACATAAACAGTGGAAGAATATATTATTATAAGCATTTATTTTATTACTTAGTTCAATTCATTTAAAGCTCATCCACACCCCAACCAAATAACGGTTATTTTATTTTTTACAACTTAATCTTTTAACCAATTTTCCATTTGACCTTAAAAGCTTTTTCAATTAATACATAGGCAACTGTCATTCCTCGTCGTGTGACCTTCCCTTTTGTCATGCCAGTCACACATACACAGTTTGACTATTGTTTGATTATCCATTCTCCGTGTCAGTTACTTTCATTTAGGTTCTATTTGTCATTGAGTGCTACCTACGTGACTTCGCAGTTACTTATTTCAGAAGTTAGGAAGAACTTTTGAGATAGGTAAATGCAACAAGGCATTAAACTGTCAAACACCAAGCGGTCACCGGTGACCGCGACCTATTGTTCTTTAATTGTGTCTATAAAACCGATACTCGACGAGTTAATAATGAAAATCAGACCAGCCGTTTCTGAGCTTTAATCCGAAAATAAGCTGTTTGTCTCCTGGTTCTTGAACATAAATTCTAGTTGAGTTTAGCTAATCCTTATCCTTACTAATATTATAAATCGGAAAGCGAGTTTGTTTGTTTGTGTGTTTGTTCCGACTTCACGCCGTAACTACTAAACCGATTGCATTGAATTTTTGCAGACGTAAAGTTAGTAGTGTTGATTAAATAATAGGGTACTTTTTATCCCGAAAAAATTTGATATTCCCGAGGCGAAAACAAAAGTATTGGTATAGATGGCGCTGTATGTATTGGTATATGTCACATAGGCTACTTTTTATCCTTTTGTGACGCGAGCTAAGCCGCGGGTAAAAGCTAGTTAGCTAATATAGCTACTTAGGTACATGGTTACAGAATAGTTAGGTAGGTAATAGACATAGGTACTGGTTCACACTGTAGTTCGAAATCTGACAAATAAATACCTAATCGTTAACTGTTTTAGAATTTGACATCAGGTAGACAGTTTATTCATTTCATTATGCGTCTCGACATAACCAGATATCCAATATTGGTAGATTTAAACAAATATACGTACGAGTACGAAGTACCTATCGTGTTTATACCTATGTTTATTTATGGTGCTCTCAACACAATCAATATACAAACAGATAAGGTTTATCCTATCTATTACATATTTCTAATTTGATATGCACCACAGCTTATTTATCGATATGTGGGTAATTTTATCAGTACCTAGGTAACCTACCTGTTATTTTTTGCTGTCATATTCTATTAAATGCGTCCTAAGTACCACCGTAAGCGCGGGCCTACGGCGAGCATGGGTGGCTCACCGTCCGACCAGAACCAGACCAGAATATCGGCTCGGAGTCTGCTAGAAAAAATAGTAGAATATGGATGAATTCTTAGAATTTTTTGAATCCGAATATGCGGAGACTAAAAGGAGACAACGTCAGCGCAGCGTTGTAAAAAGCCTGATAGAATTATTAAAAGGACTGAAAAGTACTGTGTCGATACGTTATCTTGTTCTTTAGGTAGGCCTGTCTTAGAGATCGTAAATGCAATTACTGAACAAAGGTCAAAGGGTCTCGATTTCCGGGTCAGACACAGTATCGCAGAGTTCAAAGTAGGTACCTATGCACAGAGGCTGGCACTGTGCTTGGGTTTGTTGCAATAGAGTCTCCTCTGTGTTTATGCGCACTCTTGTGCACCTTATGTTAGTGTTTGGCTATACTTAGCAAATCTCTATTGAAATTATCCACTGCAACACAAATCGTTTAAGAGACTATTATCGTCTTGGAACTTCAAATATTGACCGAATGTTCTCCTTCCTCAGCACAATGCCCATCGATCTATACTACGTGCCAGGCTCCGCTCCCTGCCGCGCCGTGCTCCTCACCGCCAAGGCTCTTAACCTCAACCTGAACCTCAAACTAGTGGATCTGCACCATGGAGAACATCTCAAGCCAGAATATATCAAGGTAAGCGACGTCTGTAAGTTGTCATACCGATGTATGTCAGAACAAGAGAAGTAGTAGACTACTTCTGGAGTGAAGACCACGATTAGGAAAACGTAATGATCAACAAGAGGCTGCTTCTGTGTCTTATTATAAGACGAAATTCTGTCTCAGAACCGATATTAGTCTGACAAGATAGACGTATTCTTCTGGAGTGAAGATCAGATTGTTGGTAATGGTTGAATATGAATGCTAAGAACTTAGGTTTGAGGTCCTCCAGTGGCGTGCTAATAAATTATACCTGAAATTGTAGACTGCCTCGTTGGTCGGGTGGTCGTAAGTGCTATTACCGGGCAAGGAGTCCCGAGTTTGATTGAGTTTTTCAAAAAAATCTCAGCAGTGGACAGAATTGTGTACGGTATAGGGCAATAGCCTCATCCCCTATTATATGGGACTCATAACATAAATATTAAATAGTGAAAAGTGGATGTTACATTGTACAGTGGCATTAAGTGCCGTACCTCTGCTTACCCCTTCGGGGACAAAAGGCGTGATGTTATTATCTAAATTATACATAACCTTATGGGGTGATGCTGCTTAATTGTTTAAAGTTAAACAATGTTTTGTTGGTAATTGGTATCTCAAAGATACCAACCGACCACCAACCTACCAACGTATTTGTTTACGTATACTATAATGTACGTGTATATATAATTTGTTTACGGTTACAATAATTGTAAAGGAAAAACTGACATTTTAATTGACCAAGTAACAAATACTCAGAACAATTACGAATACGAGTACCTACCTATTTCCTTTTTCCTTAAATATTTACTAATTGACAATTAAGCAGCGGTTTAAGATGTTTGTGTTAAGTAAAAGAAACGTAACCTACTTTTTTTCGCCATAATCGGGTAAACTAATAACTGAGAGTGACGCTGGCTGAGTGGTCACGTCTTTTAAACATAAAGTCAGAGGTTTTATTCCAAAACTGTACCTAGTAGTACAGGCTAGTACAGGCAGATGGCTTAATGCCTATGTGTATAGAGCCTAGCTAGCGAGTACCTACAAAGTAACGATTTAAAATTCTCATTCACTCGAGTTTCCCAATCTAGTACAGAATGCTAGGAACCCATGGCACTTGGCCTGCGTTTCCTATCGAAGTACAAATCTAAATAGCCATAACAAATCATTTTCAACTCTAAATCCTAAAGACTAGGGTAGATAATACCTTATAAGTAGTTGAAGGTCGAAGTAGACAGTCAATGATGTAATATTGCTGTAGGAATTTGAGGTCTTTGAACTTTTATGAGGACGGCGTTTGTTTCCACTACGCGATTCGTAATGGGCTTATGATGAATGATATTTTATTATTATTTTAGTTTTGTCTATTTGATTTTAATTCTTTTTGGCCGGTTTTACCGGACTTTACGTGCTTAAATTACTAAAAGGATTGAATAAGATTTACCACTCAAAATATACTAGCTAACAGCGATGGACCTAAAGAAAAAACTCTAGCATGGATTAAAAACAGGTGTTTAGGTAGACGGCGTCTTTGACTGCTGAGATACTAAACTAACACAGAACATATAAAAAAAGGTTTCTTTCATACAATATCTAAAAACAAATAAATCTTTACAATATAATATTCACTACTACCTATGTATAAAGCATAATATCTGGCAAAACTGCGTTCACCTGCCACACTCACAGGTACCTTGTTCAACGAAATCAAACCGGTTTCAGTCGAAACGTTCCTAATGATGATGTTGAAACAGGAATGCGCACTGATTGAGACTAGCAACTATAGTTAGCTACACTTATAAGCCGGTTAGCCAGACAAGCTTTTAAGAAGAAGTTACAAAAGCCCGTAAAAAACAGGAAAATCATCTCGAAATTGAGATTCATGTTTGGCGGAAATTACCTACAATTAATAAAGACTCATAACTTTGATTCTTTATAAAAACAGAGGAAATAACTGATATTAATGTTTTGCATAAATAAATTATTTGTAAATGCATGCATGTGAGTGAGGTTACCTACCAGAGACACGAATCTCAAATCCCCAAGTAAGTATACCATGCAGTCTGCCGGTAACGAAGGTACCTTATTTGTAATTGCTCAAGTGTTCCGTCCGGGTGTCCATGGGCGACGACGATTGCTTAGCATTATGTTATCCGTCTGCTCGTTTACCGCCCTTCTATCTAGGTATACGGAGCCGCGGAAGACTTGACGGGTTGCCGGGGCTCCGACTCGGAAGTGCAGGAGTAGGAACAGGGGTTTGGTTTTTAGTCAATATAAGAGTCTGACACTCCCTCTCGCCTATCGCGGGCGTGAGAAGTGATTGGATGATTTTTCTCCCAACAAAAAAAAAACAAGCCGTCCGTATTAAAAACTTATACCTTTTTTGTCTCCTCAGCTCAACCCTCAACACACAGTGCCCACCCTAGTGGACGATGGGTTCTCAATCTGGGAGTCGCGCGCCATCATCACATACTTGGTGAACAAATACGGCAAGGGCAGCAGCTTGTATCCTGAGGAACCCAAAGCCAGGGCCCTGGTAGACCAGCGCCTGTACTTCGACATCGGCACTCTGTATCAGAGATTTGCTGATTACTTCGTAAGTATAAATTGCTAACTTAGAATATTATGTTAAACTCATTTTATATACAGCATTCATCTCTTAATTGTCTTTAAGGTTGGAAAGATGACTATTAAGATAATAATCGTGGGTTAAATTTCCGGATCTAGTACTATAAGAGATTCTTTATCTCGGCACGCAATAAATTCGCCTACTGTAACACACAACTCAAAATAGAACTGGCAAAAATTGCGTGTTATTTTTATCTTGTGCATCCCTACTACTACCAATTTCTTTGAGGAATAAATTAAATTATTAAGAATGTTTAAATCAAACTTATTTCGATAGGTCGAAAGGCATTAACTTCCAAAATATCACTAATTCAATCTCTACCCTACAGTACCCACAAGTGTTCGGTGGCGCCCCCGCTGACAAAGACAAGCTGGCCAAGATTGAAGACGCTCTGCAACTCCTCAACACATTCCTCGAAGGTCAGAAGTTCTGTGCTGGTCCCACCCTGACCCTCGCTGACCTCAGTCTCGTCGCCAGCGTGTCTAGCTTCGAAGCTTCTGATGTGGACTTCAAGAAATACCCTAACATTAAGAGGTGAGGACTAACCCTACTTTAGATGTTGACGGATTTTAGGGGTTTGGAACATTTGTTAATAGCTTTTTCACATTTACAGATGGTATGAAACAGTGAAGAGCTCAGCGCCTGGTTATTTGGAGGCTAACGAGAAAGGCCTGGATGCCTTCAAGGGTCTCGTCAACAGCATGATGAAGAAGTAACTGGAGTTTACACGAGATGTGTACTCCATTCCTTTATGCAGATGACAATAATGGACGAAGGTGCAATAAGTGCTCAATTAAAAACTTAAACTGGGCCTTTATTGGGCCTTCGTTCATCCAGAAAATAACACCAAATTACAAAATGTTTGCACTTTTCTTTGGCTTCTATTGTCCATATCTTGCCATGGATTTGGAATGATTTCGTCCAGTTTTTGGATAAATGAATGGAGCTCTCCTATTACTCTACACAGCACAAATGCTGTCACTTTCACAAAATGTTGTTTTTTCAAGTTACACCGTTTTACATTCTGATTTTATTTAAGTTTAGGTTATAAGGCACAAATAAAAGTTTGAAATATATTTTTAGTGTTTTATTTTGAGTACAATACAATAGTATTATAACGGTTTCAGTCGCTTTGTGTAAAATATTCGTAGGTGCTTAGATATAAATGAATCGAAGCTGAAACTAAAGTTCCGTAAAGTTTGTAAAAAGAAACAAGCGATAACGTATTACAATTTATAAATAAATGCGAAGTTTTACTTATAACTATTGAGAAACTTACAACTCAGTTTTTGCTTTGAATGAAGCTAGCAGAGCTTTGAATTCATCAATACCGGCCTGGTTGGCCTTATCATATCCAGGTGCCGATGTCTTTACCAGTTCGAACCACCTGCAGAGAGAAAGTAAGTAAATAAAAGTAAGATAAAATGAACTTCGAATAATAGGTAACTTTAGTAAAGTGGTTGCCAGTAAGATGATAAAGGAAGCTGTTAGTAAAGGTAAAGTAGATGTTTTAAGTAAAATTAGGTAGTAATAGTGGAAGACTATATGCTTCTGCACAAAACGGGGTGAATCGATCTACGATCGACGACGAGGAGAAAGCTTAGCAGACGAGAGTCCCAATTCCCCTAAAAGGCTGCAATGCTCAATGCACTTGTAACTCCTGGGTCTGGTTTTGTGGGCGTCTGTGGGCTTGAGCAATCTGCTCGTTTGCCACCCTATCTCATAAAAAATACAGTTTCAAACTTACTTCTGAACATTAGGATATTTGTCCAAGCTGACGATGCCGGTAGCGTCAATCGTAGACACTGTGGCCACAAGACTGAGGTCAGCCAAGGTCAACTTGTCCCCGGCAGCATATGTGTTGCCCTCTAAGAATGTGTTCAGGAACACTAGAGCTTCTTCCAATTTCTTCAGAAGAGCTTCATCAGGCTTCGCTCCACCGAAGATTTGTGGATACTGTTAAGATAAAGAGAATTTTAGATATAACTTAAGTATAGTGTATTGTTAAGTAAATATTTTCTGTCTATTTATATAGACTTTTATGCATATTACAAAGCAAGAAGTTGATATTAGGTATCAAATCCTTTTTGCAGTGTGAAAAAGTAATTTATTTTTACGATAATAACAGGTCTCTTACTTCATACAATGGTCGAAACTGCTAGAAGTGCCACAGGGATCAAAAGCCCAGTTAAAACATAAAGCAACAAAAGCTAGTCTGACAAGCATATTGGGAGGTCTGGCTGTCAGACTTAGCACCATTACTACACCTATGGCAAGCCTGATTCTCTCTATTAAAAAAGATACTTACAAAATACCCTCCAAATCTTGGATACAATGTGCCCAAATCGAAGTCCAATCTCTGATCAACTACAGCCCTGGCCTGAGGATCACTTGGGTACAGGCTGTTGTTCTCGTCACCATATTTAGAGATCAAGTATCTGCTGATGGCGCGAGACTCCCAAAGTGAGAAGTCACCGTCGACGAGGGTTGGCACTGTGTGTTGGGGGTTTAGCTGTAAGATAACATTGTTCCTCGTTAATTAATGGTAGTATCTTTAATAAGTAGTTGGAAGAATTTACTAATAGAGAACCTAGAGACGACCTTGTATAGGTTTGATTTTCTATTGGGTAGCTAGGTAGAGGAGTCATTAACATCGGCCTGTTTTGGCTGTCTCCGTCGACAATAGACAATGGCAGAATGCTATTAGAGAAAGCGAGGGAGAGTTTGATCTTCAGACTTTGGATCCAATCACTGTCCAGCCACCTAGCGGATATCGTCACACCAACTAGCTGGAGAGCGTCCTTCACTACGTACTTATTCAAGTATAAAAAATCCATACCTTCAAAAAGTCTGGATTGAACTGTTCTCCCGCTCGCAAGTCGACGGTATTCAAATCCAGCTGGATGTTAAGGGCTGCCGCCACTAGCAGGACCAGACGGCATGGCGCGGACCCAGCAGTGTAGTATAGAGCTAAAGCCATTTTGAATCTGTGGAGTAAAATAAATATCTCATTTATGTACTAGATATCTAGGTACTAAAATCTTGGAATTTACCTACCTTTTGTTTAGGTAAGTGAACTATCTATCCTGTTTATAGTACCTAATTCATTAAGGACCTTGGAGTTATGTAGTGTACTTAGCCAAGTACCTAGCTAGGTATACACAAAATAAGTAGATATTTATTTTTAATTTAGGTATCTACTTAATGTGTCAGAAATCATATTGAATCCATGATATTGAATTTTGTGAAGTTATCTTATCATCAACAGTACCTAAGCATGTAGCAAATACCTAGGTACTATGAACCACTTACCCAGAGCTGATGTTTTGGTTTAAGACATTTTTATTTATTAATTAATTCAATAACAAGTCCTGATTTTAACGTGGTCGGTAGGTGGAGAAGTTAATTTTAACTGTTATAGCACTATCACACTGTCACTACGTAACTATAAGTACTTACTTTCTAGCAAAGAACAGTAGGTATAGGTAGGTACTATATTATAGGCAGACAGGTACTCATTTATAAAACTTACTACATGTATATTTGGTTTAACCATAGCTAATTAGATATTCAAGTATCTTATAGTTAAGTAGTTACTTAGTGGGCGTAGCTTTTAGAACACTTACCTACACAAGTATAGTTAGGTACTGTTATTATGGCGCCGGACGCTGCGCCGGCTTACCGGCATTGAAACATTAATAAATAAGTTTAAAGTTAAGTATAACAAAAACTAAACAAACAACTTGCCTGTAGGTCGTAACCGGTAGTTATTTTAACTTATTACTATATTTATATGTTCATCTCTTACCAGTCGTGCTCTCCGTGTTCAATGTAGATAACTGCCCTGCGGCACAGTCGATGTCAATATACATACAAAACTGGCCAGCCTTGACTCAATGCTATTAGCCTTTTTACACGACCAAATTCAAAAGCCACATGATAACGTCAAATTGAGCGGGTACTAAGCACAATCTGACAGTCATTGTGTTTTTCCAATTTGGTCGTGTTTTTCACTTTATGCAATAAAGTACATTTTGAAGCAATTTTTGAATACCACGTAAGTACCTATTGTTGAATACGTAATCTAAGATTTTGTTAGATAATAATAATACCTGCTGCCACGCTATGATGCTAGGCGTGAGAGCCCAATTATCCGGGTGATGAAATTCAGTTGATATGACGGATAAATAAAGTTTGTGATAAATTTTATAGTTCAGTTAACGTAATATATTATATCTATAATATTGTTTACACGTACGTAGGATTTTTTATCTTTGTAATCCTTGTCCTTAAGTATTTTATTATTACAAATATGTAACTGTGTTTTTAAGTATACTCTTGAGGTAGACTGGACCATACTATAAAACATTGATCAGTTTATGCTTACCATCAGTCAAATCTCAGCGCGGGCAAGCTTGCCCGTTATCCTTAAATAATCGCAATCAAACCAGTTTATTGCAAAACTACGGTGAGACCGACAAACCGATCAAAATACCTCTTTTAGCATCAGGGGTTAGGAACTCTGGGAGTTACCTCACTCCACTCATTAAAATAGCTGAAAAATATCAACCATGGTTTAAAATCGCCGAGTAAGTAAAGAAAACGCAAAGAAATTTACATTATATTTTATTATCTTTGTCTTTAATAAAGTAATTACAGGTAGGCACTAAAAAAATAATCATGCATATTGAAGACCATAATACAATAACATATTTCTTAGATACAACAAACACCGCATCCTCTCTTGAGAAATAAACAGCCAGAGGCTTTAGTGCCGATGTTTCGACATTCGCTGACCAACTAGTAATGGCACGGGGCCGGGAACACATTGACTGAGTATCGTGTTCCTAGAGCGAATCGAGGGCAGTTAGTAACAATAATATATCCCAATGAGATAGCGAACATCAAGCGTGCTTACAGACTAGTGGCGGACAGTGCGGGCACCCATCTCCAACAGTGAACACTGGTAGGCCGCGGCCCGCGACCAGCCCGAAACAATAACTTCAACATGACGCAAAAATAAACAATAAAAGCTTCAATAAAATGTACATGTCACGCCGTTTCCATAGAAGGCACGTATTCGTAAAAGAAAAAAGGATTCCCTTTTTAAAAAAGCTATCTCGTTACTTAGTAAAAACTACCAGCTAGTGTATTACAAAACAATTAGACGTACTTTAATTATGAAGCTATGATTTGTGTGCTATTAAACAGTGAACTTCAGTTTACCCGCCCAATTATTGCTCATTTTCATAGGAATTTTCGCCTAATACTATGGAAAAAATATATAAATTATAACGGTTTTAGTAACTTTTCATCATTTTATTTATTTTACTAAATAAATAGCATATAACATGAATTATCTACTAACGAAAAATATGGTTTACCCCTAAATAAAAAAGATAAATTCAGGTATAAATTACACAGGTATAGTGTGTCTAGCGCCAAAAGTAATAAACTCGGGTGCTTTCTATATAGAAGCATGGTTCCTTTACTAAATTGTGTTATATTGAATCGTCTCTTCACGTTACAATAATTATTATATATTTTTAACTTTATTCGTTCAGACACTAAATATCAATAATTACACAAAGCTATCTACATGAGCCACTCTTAACCGTTTTGTGTTAGTGTTGCCAGATTGAAATATATGTCAGGCCATAAACAATGTATGGCGTATTTCATGGATAAAAGACTTCATCTGGAGTGAGAGGCAGTATACTTCTGCACCGGCAACCTAGTTATTATGTTGGTAAACACCATTGTCTGGGAATGATTCGTAATGATTGCATTTATATCTTCAGCCGCATCTCTCTTTCCGGCTCCGACGACGTAAACTGGACATTCTAAAAAAAATAATAATAATATTAAACATTATTATTGCGAGATGAGTATTTAAAGTAAGGGAAAGCCTATCTAGACCGGAGTGATACCTCGGCCTCACAGGAAATCGGTGTAAAACAATGCGTGTTGACTTTGTAGTTTGATTGAAGTTTATACAATTTACACCAGAAGAGGCTCAATAGTTAAAGCCAGCAACTCACTTGTAACTCCTTTGTTATTGCAGGTGTTTGTGTATATGGGCCACACTCATTGCTTACAATTGGATAATACATCTGCTGATATGCCTTAAGATGGTTTTAAGCCTTTACACACTAGCGGTTGACCGCCTAGGCGGTTCGTATCGACAGACGCGATGGCCATAGCGGTTGCATATTAAATTGGAAAAACGGTCAACCGCAGGGAGCGGTTAGCCGCGCGGTTAACCGCTAGTCGGATGGGGGCACAGCAATACGTCGTTGTAATGTATTCTTGCCTCACCATAAGTCTAGCAGTGAACGATAATGGACTGGTGATGACAATGATAATATGTTTATATTATACATTTCGTGAGACATACTAAATTAATTATTATGTTTAACAGCGCGACAGTCTCCGCGTCGCGGAATGCTGCTCATGAATATGAGCCTCTAGCATGGCTTGATACTAGTCGAGTTTCTCGTCAAACGTGAGTAAACCGAAAACATAATAATTAATTGACATTGCCAATAATAATAATATACGGTAAATATGTATGGATACTAACAACAGAGTTGAGGCGACTACTGGCAGCACTGCTTGCGCACGTTGTCGGTGTGCGAGGGCCGCACGTCCGTGGGCTCGGCGTCCGGCCGGATCACGTCGCCCTCCGGCGGGTCGCGCATCTGCTTCTGAGATACGATCCTGTAGATTTCTGTAACATACACAACAATTTATTCATTTAATGGATATAGTTTTTATATCTATTTAGTACCGTAAGGTATTGCTGCCTCGTTTGTCGAGCCTGCCTGGTAAGAAAAAATAAAGTAGTCTCCCCTATATTACCTACATGGGGTTTAAAACATAACCAATGAGAAATGTTTATTTATTGAGGATTTGTTTTGAACAGGCCATAGCATTTTATAGGCAAACTATGGTAAAGCATCTCATTTACACGCACAGTCAGGATCCCTAACAGTGTTAAAAAACATTAAACTTCAGTGGGGCTAACTAGGCGCTCCATTGTCGACTGCAATGAATATCTAATTTTTTTCATACAATAGGAATAGGAGGCAAACGAGTAGAGGGATGGTGAGAGCACCTGATGGTAAGCGATCAGCGCCGGTCATGGACACCAGAGGAGTCACAGGTGCGATTTTGATTGATTGAGCGATTTTTAGTTTATCTAGTATGTCTCACGATAGTTATTATAAAAATATATCTAATTTCTTTTTTATTATGTTTTCAGGGACTTATTGTGATTTGGAGTACAGTCAATCTTTGATCCCATTAGATTGGTGTTATCTAATGCGTTTAGACATAAACAAATAACTTATTCAAAACTCATAACATAAAAACGATAAACCCTTTTTTTAACATAAAAAACAATCACATCAGAAACAAATACATAATATTATATGGAACATATTTCCTTTGTCCGTATCAGCAAAATAACAGAGCTGACATATCATTTATCAGTTGACCTTACTACCGCATCGAGTGAAATGACCCCAAAATAGTTGACATTGTAATTGCGTGGCAGAGAGGTCTAAATATAGAAGGTGACGGACCGACGGTGTAACGACGCCCCAAACTGACGGACGGACGTTGACTTGTATCGATTTCATCCATAGTATAACATAACTGTTTGACGTTATGTTGACAGTTTCCATATATGGACAAACCAGGTTTAAGATAAAAATAATATTGTATTTCGTAGATTCAAATGCATTTTTGTCAATATTTTGTACCTATAGTTTCGCGCATTTGTAAACTGAATGATGCTAACGAAAATGTATAATAATATGCAGATTGTAAAAATATTGGAAATTGCCATAACTTCGTTGCTTTTGCCTAGTCATTGTGTCAACCATGCTGTCCATAAAAGAAGCCCTTCAAACAAATTCCACGATTCCCTTACATTTAACATACCCGTGTTTAATTAAGTGGGAAATTTGAGTTAACGAAGTGTAATTACCAGTTAGAATGTTCTGGAATGCAGGCTCGACGTTGGTTGAGTCGAGAGCGGATGTTTCAATAAAACTAAGACCGTTCCTTTCTGCAAATGCCTTCGCTTCTTCTGTTGGGATGGATCTGTGGAAATATAACGAAAATGTTTTAAAATACAGAAAACAATACCTGGTTTAGTGTATTCACAGTTTTCATTTATCATGCTTTCTGGTCTGACCATTACGTTCATCCCTATCGTTACGCAAAGTTCGTATTATCTCATTGTAACTGTACTATAAAGTAGGCAATATAGAGAGGTTAATGCGCATCAGTTTTACGTTAACGCGATCAACACGCTGGCTTTGATTGGCCAGCTCCAATTACCAACCAATCAAAGGACTAAACGCGGTAACGTTAAACGTAAAACACGTACTAGACCCTAGAACTGCTTCGTCATAAAGTCATCTTTATCCATTAGGGAAATTATCAATACTTAACAAAAATATCAATATTAGGTATATTCTAAAAGAAAATGATAGTGAAGGTATCTCTTACCTGAGGTGCCTAAGATCGCTCTTGTTACCGACAAGCATGATCAATATATTCTGATCAGCGTGATCGCGGAGTTCACGCAACCATCGCTCGACGTTCTCATAGGACAGATGCTTGGCTATGTCGTAGACCAGCAGCGCACCTACCGCACCGCGGTAGTACGCCGACGTGATCGCGCGGTATCGCTCCTGTCCGGCCGTATCCCATATCTGGGCTTTTATGGTTTTACCGTCCACCTGGGAACAACATAAAAATACTGTTATTACTGCTATAACAATAAAAACGTCACTTATAGTACTAGTAAAATAAATCGATTGCCATGAAAATTGGTAATAGGGTTTTATTTTTATACATGTGTTCTTAAAATAACGATTAATTCATAAGTATCACCTCCCTAAAGTGGGTAATCTAGTACGCCAGGGCTACAAGCTGTAACATATAATACATTGGATCACAACTTTCATGAACAATTCCGCAAATTAGTCACAAAAGTAACTTGTTAATTGAAACCTTTAGCAATGAACTAAAGGTTCTAATTAGTGGAACCAATTAAACTACAACAAAGGCGTCATTAACATAGTGAAGCGGTACGAATGATTTCTTGTTAACGTTTTCTTTAGAACTATTTTCCTAATACATAAACTACATGTGTTTATTTGTAACAAAAGAAACGTTAGGGGAGGTCGTTACCCCTCGCGACGTGGCCGCCGACCGAACTGCTAGCCGACCCTTTGTTACTACGGACTATTTACTTTCTTTATAGAGCGTTATTTTTGAAACATTAATAACCTTCTTATCTCTGGAGGTGAAAGCTCTCATGATTATAGACGTCATTCATTTTTACCGTGGAACGTTGAAATATTGAAAAATATCAAACTTAACTGTTCAGCGTCTGATACACTGTACACTTTTTTTAGTTTTATTTATGGTAGTGTATAAAGTCATCAATTCATCATAGATAATATCATGAACAGTAATTTCACTCCTGAAATAGTCCATGGTACGAACAAGTTTAGATTTAGAAAATAACATTTATTTGTATTGGCAGTTGTTTGTGTCCAAGCATTAATTGGGGGAACCTTTGGTCAGTGATTCCTAATCATTAGTGAGATTAGATTTAATCACTAGACTACAAGACTTTCTAAGTACTAAATTGAGACTAAATTGAACAATAGAGCTTGGTAGATAATTGGAGTGGTTTCTCATTGTTTATAAGTACAAATGTCAGGTTCAAATGAGACCTCGCTTTTAATAATTCCAAACACAAAACCTCAGCTTATTACACCAACAAGTCTATTATATGCTAGGTATGAATTCTGCGGGTTCAATTGCAAGTCCCAATAATAAATCACATTGGTTTAATACGATCAATAGCGCAGTCTGCCTAACGGTTCATCGCATGGGGTCACTGGTTTACCAATGTATACCGTATGTACAATAATTGTTGTGTTGGTGTGTGACGTCACGCCTCTATGACTACGGCTGTCCTGCTGCAGGAACAACAAACCATTTTAAGAAGTGCACCGTTATACGAAAGCTGTGCGAACACAATGCTTTTTGAGTAGGAGGCAGAATTTGGTATATTAATATTTCGATTGAGGCTAATATTAATCACGCATTTTATACCCGAAGGGGTACGCAGAGCCCGGGTGTCATCACTGCGAGGATCGCCCTGAGGACACGGTGGAACACACCGTAGCGGAATGCCCTGCGTGGGCTGAGCACCGCCGTGCCCTCAGGGAAGTGATCGGCGATGGCAACCTCTCGCGTCCGGGCCTAGTGCGGGCCATGATGCGGAGCGAGGGGGACTGGGATGCCGTCTCCTCCTTTTGCGAAGCAGTCATGCTAGCTAAGGAGGAGGCGGGACGCGTGAGGCAGCGAAGCGCTCCCTCCTCGCAACCCAGCCATCGCGAAGGACACACCGGGCGTCGGGGATCGCGAGACGATCTCCGGCCACCGTAAGCGCGGGCCTGCGGACGGCGAGCATGGGTGGCTCCCCGTCCGACCAGAAACAGACCCGAGCGTACGGCGCGTCGCGTTCCTCAAAGAGCCATCAGACCACCACAGATGGGGCCCAATAGGGCCGATGCCGATTCGGAGTCGCGGAGAACGTAACGGGTAACCGGGGCTCCGGCTCGACATGGAGGAGAAGGAACGGGGTGGTTTTTAGTCAGTAAGAGTCTGACACTCCCTTCCGCCTCACCCAGGCGGGAGCAGTCATTCGATGATTTTCCCCCCTTAAAAGAAAGGGGTACGCAGAGATGACGTTACGGCACTTATTGCCTCTGTACAATTTCCTATTGCAAAGTTAACTCAGTCAACAGACACATAGATTTAATACTTTTAATAAGACTAATGTAACGTTGCTTACGATTAAAATTAATAACAAATTGCAATCGAAAATCTGTGGATTAAAATTTAGTAAAGTTAAGTTAAAGTATTCATAGTAAGTATTTTTTTTTAAGGGGGGAAAATCATCAAATGATTGCTCCCGCCTGGGTGAGGCGGGAGGGAGTGTCAGAATCTTACTGACTAAAAACCACCGCCGTCCTTCTCCTGCACGTCGAGCCGGAGCCCCGGTTACCCGTAAGGTTCTCCACGACATTCATAGTAGCTATAGGGTTTCTATTATTAATTTCTATCGAAGACTCGCCCAAATTGCTCATAATTTAATTGGGCTGTGCTTGACTATGGGTGGCGAAAAGTGGGCGGACGTAACTATTCTAGTTCATAGAATAAAATAGTACCAACGTGAATTACGCCCATAATTAAGTATATTGTGGCTAAATAGTATTAGACTACACCTTTTTCTTTTAATTGCATTTCTGTTCCATCACAGTTGTTCTAATTTTGCGTTTTTACATCCTTGTGATTACAATACAATTTAATTGTGACGCAAACAGTGGCGTTGTAGATAATTCTTTCTTAGGTCGTGTAGTTATTCATTGACGTACTGAGTAAATACGGAGGTTTAATCAAATGTGAGTCAAAGCAAACACTCGTTAATATCACAGATATTGTTTGTAATTTTTCATTAACTCGGTAGGTAACATACACATTTTTAATCGAATTAGAACGTTATTCTTTTGCAATTAGGTTGAAAATCTATTTGAGGAAATTGCAGCTTGATTGTCTGTACCTACCTATGTTACATTTACAAAATGTGTTCTGCAAAGCAAACCAGTAAGGTTCATTTTTGGATTATTGCTTTATTACGTTTTATTGAGCGCAGTATAACAACCGTGATTGCGAACAGTTTTATGAATAAGTTATGAACGATCAACATTAGTCTTGCACGAAGGCAATTTTCAAAGAACAGACTAGCTAAGTATCTCTATCTGCGCATTTCACTTTCGACTGTGATAAAAATAGAAATCGATATGTTTGTAATAAAATGTAAAGCAGACTAGATGTAAGCAATCTCACGTTATTTCGATTGGCAATGTTTGTAGGTAGTCAAGAATTGGATATTATTATGATAGCTGTTAATTGGTATACGAAGGATCACTGTTTGTGGTGAACTACGGATTGATTTTGGCATTGTTACATGCCTTTGACGTGGACCAATCTAATGATGTATCGGCGTCAGTTTTTATTTTTTTATTTTAAGGGGGGAACATCATTGAATGACTTTTTCCGCCTGGGTGAGACGGGAGGGAGTGTCAGACTCTTACTGACTAAAAACCACCCTGTTCCTACTCCTGAACATCGAGCCGGAGCCCCGGTAACCCGTTAGGTTCTTCGCGGCTCCGTATCGGCATCAGACCTATTGAGCTCCAACCGTGGAAAGGGCGTCAGTTTAAAAGTTTACATTGATACTAAAGATATTCCTATGAAAATTCTATAACATTAGTACTATACTTAGTAACAACTGAACAAGAAACTTGATATGCAAGTCATTCGCCACAATGTCTCTTTGTACAGACATAGTAAAGAACCAAAGGATAAACCTACAAAGTAAACCTGACAGTTTCATGTCATACGAATAAATCTTTGACCTTTGAGACGAGTGTTAAGCCGATTATACCTAAGGAGGTTATTGATTTAAGAACTTCACAACTACTGAGTTCACGTAAGTATGTCGTTATGAACTTTTACACATAGGTAAGTCAAATGGATTTGTTGTAGAATTTTAACGAACTAATGATAACACTGTTGGATGCAGATCGTTTATGATCGGCCATACTATGTTGAACCTACGTATTAGTATGGTGCCATCACCTGTTCAAGTTTCAACTGTTTAGTTCCAAATCTGTGCCTTTTTTAGCCAAACGCCACTTTAGCGCTTGTCTACAGAGAGAGTAGAAATCAAAATGTATGGGGATGACACTGACAAGTGTCAAAATTTACGTCAATCCCATATAATTTGGTTTTCTATTCTACATGTAGACAAACGCTAAATGGCATTTGGCTACAGCTGCTGATATGATAAAGTTGTTCGTTTGTAGACGCGGGCAGTTCTAGCTACACCAATCTGTCTGACTTTCATCAAGCTTTGTCGCTGATTAATAAAGTCGAAGCGAAGTAAAGGAGGTTTTATCCAGTTTTTATCGGAAATATTGCGTGATTTGTGTGAATAACAGAGGATTATAATAAAGAAGCGTTGTTAGGAAATGTCCTTGGATCTTGTCCTATTGATCAGGAGGATAGTTAGTGAGCTATCCATCTGATCCATAAGCATTAATTTGGTGACCACTGTGAATTGATTGAATGTTCAAATTGATTATGAAATTAAATACCATCATTATGCATGTTCTTCAAAACATATTTTTTTCTTTTGTGCTAACTTTATTTTGCAATCTTGAGCCTCATGCTTGCCATAATTTGTACGCATCCGGGCACAGCATAGCACACTGTTTTATTTATCATCTATAAGACCTACCCTATGTTAACAAATAGAAGTGATTTGATTTGATTTGACTAATATTGACATATATTGACAGAAACTGAAGACTGTGGTCTTCATTACAATAATTATTCATGCTGTCTGATGCCAATACTAGACTCTACTGGCCTATCTAGATTTAAAATATAACATGTAAAAATGTCCCACTACCTCATTACCAAAAAATATTATTATTATTTATTAACATTGTCTTATCATAAATGCATACAAACGCGATATGTGATAGAACAAGGCAATGTGCATTGGTCACCAACCTACACTATCTGCTGATAATACAACAAAATGATTATTATGTTAAAATATTTTAAATGGTAGATAACTAGATATAAGTATATTACGTAGCTACTTAAAATATTCAATTTTGACCAATAATATTGATAATTATATGCCTAAAAATTATTGTTAACATTAACTTTGTACTGTCTTGGTACAAAAATTGTTGTAATTAAGTGATAGTTGAAAAGTCTATAATATATTTATTATATTAGATGAATATAATGAAAATAGGACTTATTTCAAGTGTCAAATATTGCATGAAAAAGAACATGAAGTAAGAAACTCAACAATACAGTGACACTCATCAACATATTCAATTATTTAGAATCCCTATTAAAAATATTTTTACTGAACAATGATTCAAATAGATTCTAATCCTTTTTTTTTAACACAACAGGAAAAACATTTGTTAAATTTATATTAAAGTAGGGAAGGAAGCTACAAAACTAAAAGTATAGTTTCCATAAATGACATCAGTTGTACTGTAATAAATCTTTTTAGAGATTGGGGATGTTCATTTTCCCACATTTATTACCAATCTAAATCTTTCCCCTATAGAAACAGTATAATGACCAGCAGATCAAGCTACTTCTGCAATCTGTCAAATTTCTTGATTTTCGACTTTATGTCAATACCATAAAGTTGAAGATGTAATAGAAAAGTTAGGCTGAAACGGATTGGTTGACCTGCCACCATATAATAGTTACCTACTGTTATCTGATGAAACACAATTGAAATTTAATATAATCAATTGAACATAATTCGGCCATGAGATTACAATTAATTAACAAGTGATTCAATCACTTAGTTTGATTTACTATTATATTACAATTGCCAATTATATTAATTTGATTTACATAAACTATCTAAAGAGCTACTGCTAATATTTTAAACTGATATTGACATTCTATTAAGTAACAAGATTTTCACTTTCACTGACAATAATTTAGGTTTCTATTATAAATTTCGTGAGACATAATAAATAATTACTATGGAACAAGGAACTTGACTAGGATGGTTTAAAACTATTGAGTTCCTTGACAAATAATTACGGAAGCTGATTCATTTGTTATGATAATAATTTAGGTAGTTTTATGTCTGGGTTACTTGAGTAACATTATATTCTATTGCCAAATAAACTACCAATTTGCAATAATGAATTAAATGCTCATTTGCAATATTTTCGAATGATTGCTTACTCGACAGAACTACCTATTGCAGTTTTTTAATAAATTATTGATTAGGCAAAATAAAATATATCTAAACAAAGAATACTTTATACTGAAAGTGTGCAAATAAAAAGCAAAAATAGTTTGCAAATTATGTTTAAAATGTTACCATCAAGATTCTTATTATTTTTTTATTCAGAACACAGAGGCATTCTGAATAAATAGAGAGCTATTTAGTTATCTCCCATCATAAACAAACTCAGTGAAGTTAGAAAGTAAAGATATTATCATTGTTGTTAAATTCACTTGTGGGTGAAGTAATGAACAATGGCTACCATTTTTTACTGTGTGAATGAAAAATTTAACTGTTTATTTTGTTAATTAAGTAGTTTATATACTTCAAATGACATAATCAATAAGTTCAAGTTCCTACAATAAGTAGGAATCAATAAGTTTTTAAATAGATAAATATTTACCAACATTGGGTGGATAAAAACATTACCCATGAAATTATTGCATTACCTTCTTGTACAATATGATAACTAAAGTAAAGGAGTTAAAGTTCTGTAAAAAATTCTTTGTCTCCTTTTTCTACCTAAATAATTTTCTGCTACTTAAATATAACAAACACCACAAACAAAGGTACTCTTCATAAAACTTTTAGAAATACTGAGAATACGAATGAAAACACAAAGGGAATACACTTCTAGTAAGATTGGAATATTAGCATACAATTAACATAAGCTGATACATAAACAATAAAAAATATTTACCTCTATACTTCTTGTTGCAAATTCCACACCAATTGTGGATTTAGACTCTAAGTTAAATTCATTTCTAGTGAAACGTGATAGGAGACTGCTTTTACCGACTCCAGAATCACCTATTAGGACAACTGGAACAAAGAAAAATAGCAATCATTATCATATGCTTGTTTTAACACGAAATACCTGTTTGTATTCACATTATTCTGTTAGAATCGTAACAGTTAATGATTAGATCATACGTGAGCTGGAAGGTGACTCACGAATACCTAAATTTTACGAGAAATCGATCGATGTGACTCAATCAGCTGATGAGTTACCAACTAATTTGTTTCTAAGTAAAATCGCATTAAAACATACGGCTAAATACACTTACAACTTTTAATACACAAAATTAAGACTATTATAATACAAAATCAAGAGGAAAATCATATCAATCACTTTTTTCCTACGTCATTCAGAGATGAAACAATGGTTTTGAAAAGTTCCATTTCGAAATCAAATATCTCTTTCAAGAGAATTGCAGGAGCATTAAGATATACACTCCAGAATAGAAATAACGTTACCTTTAAACAAATAATCGTATTCGTCCTCTCTTGTGCCCATTTTGATTTATCTAGAGCTCTCTTCTAATCGACGTCAAAATCGGTCAACTATAAAACGTCAAGATGAAACGTAAACAAAAATAACTGGAGACACAAATATCACAGTTTTTATAAACACTGCACAGTTTCCGGATTATCACTTATGGGTAAAGATTAATTAGATTTATACAGGTTTCAAACTATTAAAATCCTAAATTGTCATAGGGACAAAATGGCGGATTGTTTTATTACGCCCCTCTAAGGTACGTTCGAAAGTTATAAACAAGATTTCTTTTAGATTAGATTAAGATACTAAAGTTTCTTATAAAAGAAATATTAAACATTCAGATAACTTTCAATTATGTAAGTATATAATGATAGAATTAATTAAAATAACAGTTGTTTGAGATATTATATTTTACTTTAATCTTTGTTATGAATGTAATTTACACTCTCCGGTTCCTAGTTTCAGAACGCACTTTAGAAATGTTGACGGGTACGTGACAAGCTGCCAACATACAAAATGCGTTCAGAGATTAGATTTTGCAGGATAAAAATACGTTCGGAAATAATAATAAACACGTTCAACAATATATTATTTTAATAATTTTTTATTTTATACGAATTTATTACAACTAATATACTACAACATTTATTAAATCTATTACGCAGTAGCAGCGACAGCTTCTCCTTCATCGTCGCTATCATCACGCACTTCTTTAGCCAATGTTTTATCAACATAAACAAATGGGTCAATCTTGAGCTTTTCCAGGGATGGTGGGCTAACAATCAAACACCTGAAAACAAAATACAAGAAATTAAATAAACATTTATTATCAGCAGTGTACTGCTGAACTACCTATAAGTGTGTCCAGATTAACGTGCAGCTCCTTCACCAGTCCCTATCTGTTTGTGAGTGCTCGCCCATACTGGGAAATACATAATCTAGCCGTGATAAATAAGCGCTGTATTCGTTAATTTCATGATTATAACCAATTCACCGAAAAATTGTTCAGAACAAGATGAAGAAAATAGTGTGAAAAAAAATTGGATGCTGAATTTGTGAGTATTTAAGGGCAACATTTTTACTTTTTGAGCATAATTTCCTACATTAATTTGGTTCACTGTTTGAACATACCTTGTAATGAAAAGACCATCGCGTTTCGGTCGTGCTGACTGCAAATCTTTAAGCAAAGCTTCTAGGTTTTCTGCTACAAGCTTAGGGTCCATATTCAACTGAAATCGAAAAATATTAATCAGAAAAGTTAGAAATGTCTAAAACAAGTAGCCACTGCTGCCCTGCTGTGTTTGTCTTCTATCCATACATATGCAATATGCATGCAATAAAATAATATTTTGTATGGTAAATCCTGGGACATGGGATATTATTACTATTGACTGATTAATTTTGGTAGAAAAGAGGTCTTCTACGAAGTTGTATTGCCAAATAAAAAAAAGAATAAAGTGAACACACCCTTCCAATAGGAACTTCAACAAATCCATAGTTTTGTTGATGCTCATCCTTCAACACTTTGTATTGGACTCCTCCAGAAAACTTCTTCACCAAGTCTCCAATATTATTGTCTAAAGTGCCAGATCGCAAGTTAGGGAATCGTCTCTTCATCAGACCTCGAATTGGCACTAAATCTGTAAGGACATTGGGATGCGCCAGCACGTAGTCGTAATCACTAAGCTTGATTTGACCTTCCTAAAACAAGATTTGTGGTAAATAGGCAAGTATTTCTATGATATTAAGTATAAGTAGTACACAAAGTGTACAAACTACAAAAATAAATATTTAGAAAAGTAAGTAAGTATATCTCATTGTTCATGGATTTCGAGAGAAAACTCTTAGCTCATTAATATGAAACTGCATGTCTTGTTTACCTGAATTTTCTTAATAAGATCAGTTCCACCAGCAATCGTAGCTCCTGCGTCTGTCGCCTCCTTGATAAGTTCAGAACCTTTACAGAATGCCAAGATTGTGCGCTCCTCATCACGCGGGAACAAGTGGGGAAGCAACGAGAGACGGGTGAAACTTTCCATGTAACGATTCTGGGAAAAGTGAAATGTGAAAGTAATTAGGTATTGTTATTGTCTAGATCAAGTAGTTGTGAGTACTACTACCAAGTCTGGGGTCTTTAACTAGTTGACAAAGCAATTCTTTTTAAATTACGAAAGTCTGGAGTCTGGAAATGCAGTTAGTGAAATCAGAAGTAGTCACAAAATGTATACTAATAATAGAAGACAAAGTCAGTCTTCTGACTTTAATTTTTTGCTTGAATACTCTAGTTTCTGGAACTATGGGTTTGTTTTGAAAAAATATTTTTGTGGATAGTTCATTCAATCCGCTATTTATTTATTTATAAACATAGGTAATGTATAAAATGTTAACAGATCTCTTATATCTTGCCATTTTACAATGGAGGCAAAGAGGATTGCTAAGACCAATAGGACACCGGTGACCGCAACCTATTGTTCTTTAATTGTCTATAATGACGGTACTCAAAGGGTAAGGACGGTACTAAAAAGTTAAAGATAACAAACCTTTTTAGCAGCAACCATATTGAACTCGATCTGTGCAGATACCAAAGCATTGGGAACATTGTACATAGTTGGGTGGTGTGTTTGTTGGTGGGCCTTTACTGCATCTTCAGCAGTGTACACTATCCAACGGTAGTACTTCAGTGGGTACACATCATCCTTGGGGATTGGCTTGAATATATCATCTAAATGCTTGCTGACATTCGAATGAATGTTCCTGGAATGAACAAAAATGTTGTCAAATTCTAACATAATTTATTTCAGCTAAATCATACACAGGTACTTTCATATATAAAAAATTGAATAGCGTTTATATAAAAACTCATAGGTAACAAAACCGTATCTATTTGTTTTAGATGTTTTATTGTCTCCTAGTATTATCATGAATCCGTGTTTACTTATTACTTAATTCTTTATTACAATAATTAAAAAGTATTGTATTTTATACCTCCACAAAGCGTTTTTATGGAATAACAAGTAACTATGTTGTTTATGAGCCTAGCTGAATAGATTTTTTTAGAGTAAAATTTTTTATAACTTACTTATTTTTCCCTCTCTGGTTGTGTGGAATGAATCCAACTTTTGTGACTTCAACCTTAACCTTCTTGGCACGGGCCTTCGCCCTGGTACCCTTACGGGCAGCATAGGTCACGGTTGCTGTATGTAAACTCCTCTGAAAAAAAAATACACATAGTTTTAAATATATGATACCTAACAGAAATGAACTCCAAGAGAGTGATAATATAAACTGTCAAACACCAAGCGGTCACCGGTGACCGCGACCTATTGTTCTTTAATTGTGTCTATAAAACCGGTACTCGACGAGTTAAATTGGACTTTTATTCATTATTATAAATATAAATTCACTTTCAATTCAAGAAGATTCTTCTTGGAATCCCTTGGTTATGAATAGGAAGTTAACTGAATTAGTGCAGTTCAAAAGAGAGATATTATTTAAAGTAGGAAAATATATGAAAGACACTTACCAAATTAGTAGTGTTGCTTTTATAAAATGTTAAAGTATTCGCGAATATGGAACCTGAAAATAAATACAGATAATATTTATTTTTGTATATGTTAACTTAAGCCATAACTAAGAATATATGATAAACTTACGGAACATTGTTCCAGCCATGATTAGATTGGTTATTATATGTTTTACTGGCTAGAAATAAATAATTTTGTTTTAATATTTCATTAAATCAGTACGTTTTTTAGGTTATCCAGTAATCATTGGGAATTGAAACTTGACAGCTAGCTTTTTTTACTTACAGCTGCGTTCATAATTCGTAAAAAAGAAAAAGATCAACTGATGGCAGTCCAGAAACTGGCAACATTTAGCACGCCCTTTCAAATTAACTACCTATCAAAATGTCAAATCAAAACAACAATCGTAACCAACGTATCGCGGGTATGTAGCGGTTCAATTTCTTATTAATAAATAATATTGAATCGAAATGTACTAAACAAGTAAATTTAATAATAAATTAAGTGTATAAACTCATTATGGAGAAAGTAAACTGGAGTTTACTTGTGATATCACTTTGTGTTTTGCTGTGGGGTGTGGCCGGCCAGTATGAATGGCAAATTCGTGATGCTTTTGACGAAATTAGAGGTAAAGTCGACAAGGTATCAGCGGATAATTGCTTTATCACTCATCTAGATGATTTGTATTTACCAGAAGATTCAGTTTCCCACCATCCTGATGTGAAGGAGATAAACATAAACCCAGTGTTTCCGAATCGTACAGCGATGTTGCATTTACACAACATGGCTATGAACCGAGCATTTTTCTGGAGTTATATTCTTCAGTCCCGGTTTATTAGGCCGGCTATCAACGATACTTACGACCCTGGAATGATGTATTATTTCTTGTCGTCGGTGGCCGACGTGTCTGCGAATCCTTACATTAACGCCAGTTCGATATACTTCTCTCCAAATATGTCGTATACGTCTTCGTACAGAGGCTTCTTCAATAAAACTATGCCTAGATTTGCGCCTAGAGCATTTAGGGCGGATGATTTCAATGACCCTGTACATTTACAAAAGATATCTACGATGAATACATTCCATGTTGAGGATCTTGGTGCATTTGATCCAGAGAGTTTGTCTAAGGATTATACTTCTGAGTTCTATAGAATTAATGAATGGTACAAGAAGTGGCTACCTGACAGAGTGGCGAAGCGCCATGACACGAAGACTACATACCAGGTGGAGATCAGATATGCTAACAATACAAATGAGACATTTACCTTCCATGGACCACCAGGCAATGATGAGGTTTGTATTCTATTGATTCCTATTGTATCATCTGTGCCAAATAAAAGATTTCTTTCTTATTTGATAAGAATCTTATTAGTTTTTAAGATATATTCTTTTTGTCATAACAAAGAGAAGGTTATTAATATTTGTTTCTTATAAGAATTCAAAGTCACTTGAAAAGTAATCATCCCTTTCTCTACATAATCTGAATAATTATTGTGTAATTTCATAATAAGTTTTATACCAAGAAGTATGAATAATACCTAATTACTTGGACATATTTATCTTGAGAATGATAATTGTTTTCATAACATACATGTATTACAGATAATAATTAAGATTTTCCTTAAAAACAACTTGTTTTGAATTCAAATCAAGTGATAAACTAACACAACAAACGATAAACCTACTTAAATGGAAACAAACTAAAGTTTTGAGAAATGAATAATAAAAATATAACTTCTAAAAATGTAATTAAATCATAAATCATGAATGCCTACAAGTATCACTGCTCTCTTTCAGAACCCAGGCCCAGTAAACTGGACTCGTCCATACTTTGACTGCGGTAGACTGAACAAATGGCTAGTGGCAGCTGTTTCCCCTGTTGCTGACATATACCCACGCCATACACAGTTCAGACATATTGAATATCCCACGTAAGTTATATTCAAAGTTGTATTTAAGTGAGAAGTCCTGTATAACTATCAAATATACAATCTATATGAATTAACTTAAAGTCGCGGGTTACTCACATGCAAATACTGATAAAAGCTCTACTAGTTTCGAACCACAGAGGGGTTCTTTCTCATGAGCAGCGTGCGCGATCGTGGCGATATCGCGTAGCCCTTAGTATGTCTCAATAGAATATATAATCACATGTCTCTGATTGTCTTATTTCATATCCAAAATTTAAAATAAAACTGGTTACCATTTATACCATCCAAACCAGTGTAGCCCTTATTCTATTAGAAATAGTTTTTTGGATGTTTTGATTCATATCAGTATGTTGTATAAAAATGTTAAATACGGGGACACAAGTGAAACCACTGCTTGCTAGTAACGCACTGACATTTATTGTTGGCACTTATTGGTGCGTCGGCACACGCACATCTACCTACATACCTAACACTCCTCCCCTTAGCTTACAAATACAACCCAAAACTAAGCTAATTACTAGCTATAACTAAACATAAGTTTCTAACTATAAGTTATCTCTAGTAGAACAGTTTATAGTTCACCTTAGGACGATTGCGTTTAGACCGTGGTGTTAACACAGGTTCACCGTCCTGCTGTTGTGGTGGCACTCCTCCAGGATTTACAGTGCTAAACGAACCGTCTAACGCTTCCTGGTACTCTTCCTCCTCCCCAGCTTGATCCGGTGTTGTAGGCCGTGACACAACAACTCGGGCTGTACCTGGCGGTGTGACAGCCCGTGCCTGAGAGGAATTATTTGTAGCCACTACCGAGTCTTCGTTTCCTTCGCCTGTGCCTGATGATGGCCCATGTTCAGGAACCAGCGTCTCTGTTGTTGAGCCACCACTTTCCTCATCTACATCTAACTCCAAGTCTCTTCCGTCATAGCAATCGTCGCCTTTATACTTTATTATCTGGTTTTTATGTTTTCTGACAATGTTCGAAGTTACCTTATCTTTAATTACATATAACACTCTGCCGACTTTTTTTATGACTGTCCCTTTGCACCATGTGAATTTACCATTAACTTTGTGATTTTTATAATAAACTATGTCACCGGGTGCGAAAACTTGAGTGTCATGACCTCCCGTCTTATTTTGCAAACACTGTTTACGTTTAACCATATTAGCATGAGCTGTGGATGAAGGCGATGGCGGTTCGGGTTTCAATAGGTCAAAGCGCGTTCTGAGCTTCCGACCATACACCAGCTCAGCCGGAGACAACCCGGTTAAAGTGTGAACGGAATTCCTGTAATCGAACAAGAATTTTAAAAGATTGTTATTTAAATTTCGCGGGCTATTACCACTAAGCAAGCTTGTCTTAATACCCTTCTTTATTATCTTAACATAACTTTCCGCTTGCCCATTACTGGCCGCGTGATATGTCGGTGATGTCACGTGTGAAATCCCGTTCACCCTACAAAAAGCTTCAAAGTCATGTGACTTAAACGATGTACCATTGTCGCTAACCAGAGTATGCGGAATACCAAATCTTGACATGAATTCGTATAACTTGTCAATTGTTGCTGAAGTAGAAGTATTACACTTCATATTATAAACTTCAACCCACTTGGAATATGCATCCACTACTACTAGAAAAGTACTACCGCTAATAGGGCCTAGAAAATCAATATGTATCCGGTAAAACGGCGTTGGAGGATATTCCCAGTGAGCAATCGGCGCCCGGGCCGGTGAAGGTCGTAATTGCATGCACACGTCACATGATCCTATTAAACGCTCTAAAGCAGCGTCGATTCCCGGGAACCAAACACGCGCTCGCGCCTCCGCTTTTGTTTTTACAATACCTAAATGGGATTGATGTAATTCCATTAAAATTTTTGTTCGTAACTTTTCCGGAATTACAACTTTATGTCCCCGCATAATACAACCATTTTCATAAGACAATTGTGTCCTACATGCGTGAAACGGTTTCACCCCCTCGTCTGACATTTTCCTAGGCCATCCGTTCAACACAAAGTCTATCACCTTACGTAAAGTTGAATCAGTCTCCGTCGCGTCGCGTAACGTTTTTAAAGTAACTGGGAGACTACCCTCCAACACAAAATTAATGTATGACGCGCGATCAAGATCAGGCAACGTCGTATCGACGCCCCGCATGTCCCTATCCGTCCCCGCCCCCTCGGGCAGGCAAGCGCGAGATAAGAAATCCGCACTGTTATTTGCGCTACGCACATATTCAATTTGACAATTTTTTTTTTTTTTTTTTTTTTTTAATAATTTTATTTCTTATTCTCCACGGACTCTTGTCCGTGCCCTTGTCATTCCATTACATTATCTTTTAATTTACAGTCAAAATTAATTGTTACAAAAATCTTACGTGCTACATTAACCACATTTTTTTTTTCCACAAAGAAGGTTGTGTCTAATATCTATATATACACAATACATGTTTTATTACATTTACATTAACCTTACTGGATCGGCCCACACGCGCGATGAGCGAGCCGACCTGCTCCAGCAGAAGGCGCCCGTTCACGAGCATGACGTGAGGGCCAGCAATCGGTCCGATCAACCATTTCGTAGGGAACGGAGCGACCCAGTCCACAGCGCCACCGACTGTAGAACATTTAAGAATGCATGACGTCTGCTCACGCAGCAGTAAGCCGATTCCAGTAGTGCCAATGTATTATGTCAGTCTTATTGATAAAATTTACATTACGTTACATTATATTTACTACATTTTAACATTATTAAACACACACAAATATATATTAATGTCACGCTTGCATCACAATTCAAGCTTACAGCGAGCCCTCCCCACCCAAAAGAGCGCCCACTACCGCCATGTCCCTGTTGCTGATAGCCATTTTCAAGTTATAGTCCAGGATCCCCCGCTCACTCTCACCCACCGCTCGTCTGATTAATTTGCTGATCGCGTCGTCACTGATATTCGTGTAGTAAACACAGCTGTTAGTGTGACGGGATATAGCTACCACGGCGTGCGATACACTGTCGTGTATCCGCTGTTTCTTCTCCTCTGTATTCACAACAACCACTGCCGCGTACGAAAGCCCCTGAGCCTCGTGTATTGTGAGTACGCGTGATCCCACACCCGATCCGTATCCCTGGTTTTTAAGGGATTCCTTTTCTACCTGAGTGTGTACCAGGTATAACGTGTTCGGAGGAGATTTGGGTATTCGCGACCCTGAGAAGCTTTTTAAATCAAGGGATCTCACACCCGACGCGGACGAATATATGCCACTGTACACAGTACTAAGAGCATATGCCACATCCATAGGGTTTCTGTGAGTGCAGAGAAGTTCTTGGCTAATAGCCACGACGTGTGTAGGGCGGTTGTAAATGAGGGGAAGAGGTTGTCTCGGTCAATGAAGGGAAGTTGATTTATGTCACCAATCAGCAGAACTTCTTTGGCCCGAGTTATTCGGGCCGCCATCACAATGGCCCCAAAGTGATTCATGAGAGCCTCATCAACCATGATTCGGTGGCAGCTCTCTTGCTCTTTTAATCCGTTCACTAAAATGGATGCCATTGTTCGGACTTTGGATTTGACTAATCCTCCGATTCGGCAGGATAGTTTGCCTCTGAGGTCATTTGCTGCTTCAGTTGTTGTGGTGACGATTAAATCTCTTTCCGCTTCGAATTTGTTTATTATCCATGTAGTTTTGCCGCATCCCGGCACTCCATTTGTCCAGTGAAATGTCGGGGCATCCCAGCCCCCAAAGTCCACGCCACCCGGCCCAGGCTCCGAAATGGATCCCACCATTTCCAAGATCCGATCCTCCAACATGATCCTGGTGCACCCGGCAACTACCACTAAGGAGTCTTCAGGAGGAGTTTTAAATTTCACAACTCCCCGTTTATCCGATTCCTTCTCATCCAGAGATACAAATCCTGCGGTGGCGTTGTAAGCTGCCATACTACGACTTATAGAAGCTCCTCTCAATACTCTCGATTTACTGTTGTCGTATATGACCGCCTCCGCAGCCTCGAGTCTATCATTCAGTAACAGCTCGTTACCCTGCAGATATGTCTGCAGGATCGTTTTGCAAGTTCGCAAGTTAACTTGTTTTGTTGCCTCTATTACTGCGACAAACTCGATTACTGCGATTTGATAATTATAACCGCTCAGAAACAGTGCGTATCTCTGCAGTCTGTTTGCTGAGACTTCAGGTATACCCCGGTGCGGTCCAAAGATCGATAATAACGGCTTATGATCTGTTCGAAGAATAAACGGAACCGACCTGCCATACAAGTATTGGTGGAAACGCCTAACTCCGAAAATAATCGCGGTTGCTTCCTTCTGGATTTGCGAATAACGTTTCTCAGCAGCATTAAGTGTCCTCGATGCAAATGAAATCGGTCTCTCCGACCTATCAGTTTCTACCTGTGATAATATTGCAGACAGACCCACCGGCGACGCATCTACTGTTAAAATTATAGTGGCCTCCGGGTTAAAATGCGCTAACACTTGATCTGACGCTAAACAAGATTTAATAGCGGTAAACGCTTCATCATGTTTTTGTGTCCAACACCACCTGCTATTTTTTTTTAACAACTCATACATAGGGCTTAAAATAGAAGACGCGTTGGGAACAAAGTTCCTGTAATAATTAACCAATCCTAAAAATGACTGCAATTGATTAATGTTAGATGGCACTGGAGCTTCTATCATAGCTTTTATTTTCTGTGGCGATTTATGTAGTCCATCTTTATTTATCACGTAACCTAAGTAATTAACCTCGTCTTTGAAAAACATACACTTGTCTTTTTGTAAGGTAAGCCCCGCATCTTGCAATTTCGCTAAAACTTGATGTAATCTACTGAGATGTTCCGATCTAGTTTCTCCCGTTATCAAGATATCATCAAGCATGCAGAGTGTGCCGGGCACGCCAGCCAGCACGCCTTCCATCGCGCGCTGAAACACGGCCGGCGCGCTTGCAATACCAAAACAAAGCCGCGTTTGTTTGAAAAGTCCTCTATGCGTATTTATGCACGTTAATTCTTGTGACTCATCATCTAACATAAACTGATTGTATGCATTTGACAGGTCCAACTTGGTAAACTGCTGTCCCCCATATAACTTAGAAAAAAGTTCGGTTACCGTTGGTAAAGGATACTGATCGATCATTAACTGTTTGTTTACACCGGTAGAAAAATCAGTGCATATACGTATTGTTCCGTTTTGTTTTAACACGGGCACGATGGGTGACGCATACCGCGCGTGATCAACCGGTTTCAATACCCCGAGCCTTACTAAACGATCTATTTCGTTATCAACTTTATTTTTCAAAGCAAACGCTAGCGGTCGTGCTCTAATGAAAACTGGTTTTGCGTCTTCCTTTAAATGTAATTTTACTTTAAATTTATTAAATAATCCTAATTTATCGGAAAAGACTGCTGGATACCGACCTTGCAGTGTTAGAAACAAATCGTTTTTATCTACTCGGTCACAATATTGTATCGGTAACATTTCTAATTTAAATTTTGAAATGAAATCGCGGCCAAGAATTGGCGGGCCGCCGTCCCGCACGACGTAAACACATAGTACATGCGATGTGTTCGCATAGCTCACCTGTAACTGCGCTATACCCTCACAAACAATTTTATCACCCGTATATGAAAATAACCGTTTACTAGTCATTAACAATGGTACATTACTAAAATATGTTTCATATGTTTCTTTAGAAATTGCTGTAACGGCTGATCCGCTATCAATTTCGAATTTTAATTCGATTCCAGATACCAATACTGTTTCTATCATTGGTTCCCCTTTTACGGATCGAATATTAAAACACTCACCGTCATCATCGCTCTCATCCACAGCTTTCGATTCGACATAATTAATATTTTTGCACATCCTACGCAGATGCCCGGTAGCATTGCATTTCCTACACTTTGCCTTTGCGAACCGACACTGGGATGTCTCGTGATTATGATAACCACATACTTGACACTGCACTTTCACTCCCGAACCAGACGCGGCCTCACGATACGATGACGTTGCCGACTCCTTTGTCCGCGCAATCTTAAACAGCTGATCGCGTGGCGCAGCCTGCTGCCCGGCGCCCGCTGCCTCACGAGCTCTTCGCGCATTCTCCGCCAACTCCATCGCCTTTGTTAATGTTAGGCCCGCTAGATCTTTCGAGAAAAGCTTTTCTCTGTCCGCTCCCGGCAACATTCCCATGACAAATTTGTCACGAAGGGCTTCCTCCACATTGGAAAACCCACAGTGCGCCGTCAGACCTCGCAATCTCGCCGCCCATTGTGCATACGTCTCCCCCTCCTGTTGTGTGGCCGCGTAAAACTTGTACCTTTCGCCGAATCCACACCGCTTTGGAGTAAAATGTTCATCCAGAAGTCTCAGAATGTCCTCATACGGCACGTCCTGCAGCTGTTTCGGCAACGCGAGATCCACTGCCAACTTGTGTGTGCCATCCGCGAGTGCGCTCAGCAGAATGGCTCGTCGCTTTATCCCCGTAGGATCGCTCACCTCCGTGATGTCGTTAGCCACATACCACTGATTAATGCGGCCTTTGTACGTCTCCCAAGATTGTACATTGTGGTCAAACACCGATAAAATTCCAAACCCCGTAACGGACATTGTTACTTTATTTTACGCGGGTAGGTCCTCGTCGCCAATGTTAAATACGGGGACACAAGTGAAACCACTGCTTGCTAGTAACGCACTGACATTTATTGTTGGCACTTATTGGTGCGTCGGCACACGCACATCTACCTACATACCTAACAAAAAACTATAATTTGTGCAAGCGATTATAGCGCTTATGTGGCTTAAAATAGTACTTTACATAAATATTTTAATTATTCAGGTATACAGCAGCTGTTGTGATGGAATTGGACTATGACAGGATAGACATAAATCAGTGTCCGCCGAGTTTGGGTAATGATAGACCAAATAGATTTGCTTCAACTGCAAGATGCAAGGAAACTACTGAGGTAAGCTCCTTGGATTTTTGGAAGAACCTTACGGGTTACCGGGGCTCCGGCTCGACGTGCAGGAGTAGGAACGGGGTGGTTTTTAGTCAGTAAGAGTCTGACCCTCCCTCCCGCCTCACTCAGGCGGGAGCAGTCATTCGATGATGTTACCCCCTTAAAAAAAATCATAGTAATTAATTAATTTAATATGTCTGACGGTGTTATAATACAAAATACTACATTTGACGATCAAGTTAATCTACTTTTGATGATAATACTACTTTTGATAACCTTTCAGTGTGAACCGCTACATGGATGGGGTTTCCGTCGCGGTGGGTATCAGTGTCGTTGCGCGCCTGGGTACAGACTCCCAAGTCTAGTACGACGTCCTTACCTCGGAGAAATCATAGAGAGGGCGACCTCTGACCAGTACTATAATAACTTTGACTGCAAGAAGATCGGATGTGAGTATGCATAGAAAACTTTAATCTTTCTTTGTAACTAATGGTAACTGCATTCCATTCTTTGAACCACGACCTTGATTGCCACTGCAAAAAAATAAACAAGTCATTCATCATCATATTCCAGGTTCTAATACTCCATTCCACATTTAAAGAATGTATTTAATAAAAGTCAAAATCATTAATTTCAATTAGACGAGGAAGGTACTTTTGAATGTCAATCAATAAGTAAAATGAAAGTGCCAGTCGGTCGGTCAGTTCTCTAGTGAAGCTATTTGCTCATTCCAAGGTGTAGATTACTATGAAGAAGAACGAGCAAGAGTCTATCTACCCAAGAACAACATCATCATTATGGGAAGAAAACATCCATCTGAACAAAGGCCTTCCTGATTTCATGAAGTTCTAAAACTTCTTAAATAAATATAATAAAATAATAAAATCTTTATTCAGAACTTAAAAATTTCTACAATAAATCTTATGCTGGGGTCTCCTTTTAAGTATAAAAAATACCTGTGCTAGGAGGCCCCGCTCCTCAAAACTAGTAACAGTAGTATGTAGGAGTGTGCTAATAATTAATTTTAGGGGTTTACATTTTTTACTTAAAAACTAAAGAAAAGGGATAAAGAAAAAAAGTACTCAACAAATCAGTTAACTGAAGTGTTTGTTTGTGTGTGTGGAAGTGCGTGTGTGTTCTTAAACCGTGAAACCACACTGAGTTTAAAATTTCTCTACAGGGATCCAGCGTTTGCCAGTACAGTGGGAGCGCGCGCACCCGTTCCTGCGCGCGATGTACATGGACCGCCACTACGAGTACGTGAACGCGTCGTCCGGCCCGGCCGCGCTGCACACCGAGCGAGTCAACGTCTACGAAGTGCTTAACTTCATCAGAGGAGTACAGCCCAACAATTGTTCCAAGTGAGTTTACACACTTGTTTGTTAACCGTTTTTTTAATATTAACGTTTAATATTAACGGCTTTGTTACAGCAACAATTTGAAAGTTCTTTGTATGCCTCGTTGGCCGTGTGGTCGCAAGCGCGGCGCGCAAGGGGTCTCGGGTTCGATTCCTGGGTCGGGCAAAGTATTACTGGATTTTAAACAATTCTCAGTAGTACCACGGAGTCTGGAATTGTGCCCGGTATATGGCAATAGGCTCACCCCCTATTACATGAGGCTCATAACATAGTGAAAAGTCGGTGTTACATTGTACAGTGGTATAATGCCTACCCCTTCGGGGATAAAAGGCGTGATGTTATGTTATGTTAAATAGATAGGTGCATCATTTGGCTGGCCTTCGATTTAAAGGGTATTAAGATCAGATGAACATACTCATAAAATAGGCAATAAAAGTTCCAATTATTTCATCTTCCGTTAAGGGACCCTAAAATGTAATGAATGGCAGTAATGCGTTAAGGTGGCACTCAGGTAAATATTCGCGAAATAACCGGTGGGCGGGTACAAACGGGGCGACATAACAAACCGTAACCATAACAAAAGTGGGTGTTACTTCTGTGTGCACCTCTGCCTACCCATTCGAGGATAAAAGGCGTGATGTTATGTTCTTTGTGACAAGAATTACTGAATAATTTGACAAAATGACCAAATATTCAGCTAAACACGAACATAAAAATGTGAATACATTAATATTCGGCCGAACATTTGACGCATCTCTACTAAATAACCAGGCATGTAGTGTAATTTTAGAACATACATACATCAAAGTTCTTGACCTTATTATTGTTATTACAGATACAATCCATCAGATTTGTTCCTCAATGGAGACATTGCGTTTGGTCACGAAGAACAGTTCGAAAACCAGGCCAAAATGGCTGTACGACTTGCCAATTTCATTAGTGCATTCTTACAAGTAAGTTTATATTTTAGACCGTATTTTTTTTATTTATTTGTTGGGCCGACGTTCGTCTACTATCTCGCCTGGTGGTTAGCAATGATACGGCATACGATGAAGCAAGTCTGCCTATAAGCAACCCATTCATTCGGGCCGTGAATACAGCTAAAAAATTCCACTCCTTAGCATTTTGTACAAGGAAGCAATCTATGAATAGTATTTCAAACTCTATTCTTTTGAGGTAAAGTCAAAAATCAATTAACAGAAAGTCACCTGATTTGATGGCAAATCGATTTTCATAGCAACTTTATTTTGTTTTTTACAAGCGTGTTTTTTCTTCTACATTCATAATTTTATCAGGTGTCAGATCCTCAAGAGGTATTCAGTGGTAACCGCGTCGCTGATAAGCCACTGACCGAAGATCAGATGACGGGAGAGACTCTCGCCATTGTACTTGGAGATTCCAAGATTTGGTCAGCCGGTGAGTTACATGTTTTACATATGTTTATGACTGTGGAAGAAAGAAAATGAACGAATAATTGAATGATGAAGATGTAATAATGAATATTTGAAATGTTTGTTACGTTTAATTAGCTCTTCAGAGCAGTTCATTCTTCATACATAACACAGTCGTATTATTAGTAGTTTATTTTCTAACATATATAACATAACAATAGGCTTACCCCCTATTACATGGATAGACGCACCTCCTATTGGGACTCTTAACATAAATAGTGAAAAGTGGGTGTTACATTGTACAGTGGCATAATGTGCACCTCTGCCTACCCCTTCGACGATTAATGGCGTGATGTTATGTTATTTTCTAACATAATTTTCTAGGTACTTACTGGGATAGAAATAAGTTCACCAACAGAACTTTCTTCGCACCTTTCGCCTACAAGACTGAGTTGAACACTAGGAAGTTCAAACTAGAAGATCTAGCGCGATTGAACAAAACTGGTAAGTGTAAATGCAGATTTAAAGATGTATAGTTGTATATGTATTATGTATAATTCCATCCCAAAAACATTCACTTTCGCTATCAAAATATTTGTTTGGATATTTCTTAGTCAAAATGACCAACAACAACTGTAGGATAATTGTATAATTTTAATTGGTGTCTAATATTGTGTGTAATTATAATTAGGTAATTGTAATTGGATCATTCTTTTTCTGTATAATGTTCGGTATTGTCCCACAAGATTTCATTTCCAACTTGAAAAATATCAATATAAAATAGAACCAAAGAATTTAACAAGGAAAAGTAAAAAATGCACTTTTTGAGAAGTTACACACTTTGCTGCTTTGTACAAAAATTGTTATTTTCGCAGAGGAAGCCTACACTAACAAACCATGGTTCCAATTCCTAAAGCAACGTTGGTCAACTAACTTCGACAGCCTTGAGCAGTTCTTCCTCAAAATGAAGATTAGGGATGATGAATTAGGAAAGTACTTGAAGAAATATGAAAGATTCCCTACTTACTACCGCGCAGCTAATCTGAAACATGGACATTGGACAAGGCCGTACTATGACTGCGACGGTCACGTGAAGCAATGGGTTATTACTTATGCCGCACCATTCTTCGGATGGGACAGTGTCAAAGTCAAATTGGAGTTTAAGTAAGTTTTTATTTTTTGACTGCCTTGTTGGCCGAGTGGACGCAAGTGCGACTGCCGTGCAAGGGGTCTCGGGTTCGAGTCCCGGATCGGGAAAAGTATTACTGGGTTTTAAATAAAATCTCAGTAGTAGCACGGAGCCTGCAATTGTGCCCAGTATATGGCAATAGGCTCACCCCCAATTACATGGGACTCATAACATAAATAGTGAAAAGTGGGTGTTACGGTGTTACAGTGGCAAAATGTGCACCTCTGCCTACCCCTTCGGGGATAAAAGGCGTGATGTTATGTTATGTGTTATATTATTTGACTAGTTTTACTTTATTCATTAGACATTAGCTTCTGCCCGCGTTCCCGGATATAAAGTAGCTTATGTGTTATTCCGAACAATCATCTATCCCTGTACCCTAATCTCTTCAGCCGTTTTGTCGTGATTGGGCAAGAAACATACAAACATACACACAAACTTTTGCATTTATAATATTAACTAGCTTTTACCCGCGGCTTCGCTCGCGTCACAAAAGGATAAAAAGTAGCCCTTGTGACATATACCAATACACACAGCGCCATCTATACCAATATTTTTGTTTTTCCTAGGAAATATCATTTTTTCCGGGATAAAAAGAACCCTATTATTTAATCCAGACTTCTAACTTATTACGTCTGCAAAATTTCAAAGCAATCGGTCTAGTAGTTACGACGTGAAGGCGGAACAAACAAACAAAAAACCAAATCCATTTTCCGATTTATAATATAAGTAAGGATAACATAAAAGCGAGTATCTTTAGCCTGTAAATGTCCCTGAAAAAGGCCTCTTCTCACATGGAGAACGAATGAACATTGGTCACTATGCTTGCTCAAGGCAGATTGGTGATTTCAGACTTGTAATTGTAGGGTCAGTTTTCCTCACGATGCATGTTTAGTTGCCACTGTATTTATATTTGCTAAGACTACCTATATTATGGGTATTTTTATGTATGACAGTGTCATAAATATTTTCTTAATTGTGTTTACAGAGGTGTGGTAGCAGTAACAATGGCGCTCATGTCTTTAGATATCAACCAGTGTCCGGACAAGTACTATGTGCCCAACGCTTTCAAAGGCACCGACAAATGTGACAGAAGGTCCTCATATGTAAGTAGTCGCATTTATTTTCTTATTTACAAAAATATTAATAAATTGGGTGATGGAAACATTAATATAGAAATGAAGTAGTCTGATTGTATGTTTGCTAACACTAGTCTCCGGAATTGATAGACATATTTAAATGAAATATTTTTTGGTAAATAGCTAATAAGCCTGGGTAACGTATATAGGGTATAATTTGCCCCAATTACCTTGTTATCAGTCATTTTTCTTTATATTCATTAAATTTCGTTAATAAACAAGGCTGAGACACCTGTCGGGGTCCCTCCTGTGGCGCCTCCTGCACCCCAGCACAGCAAGGACCTCACAGGCAACAGTCAAACTGCACCTGGAACAACTGAGGACCTGACTAGGGACATTATGATTGAGTTGAGGGCCCTTAGGGATAGTGTTAAATCGGTCAATAAAGACATGCGACTGATTAGGGCTGAACTCGCGGATATCCGTTCGAGTATGAGAAACTACCAGGATAGAGTGATAAGGTTAGAGGAACGGGTAGCCGTTCTTGAGGGGCGAGATTATCAATAGAATTATGAATTCTATAAGGTCTTTAAAATTCTCGAGGCTAATTTCTCGGGTCGCCGCGAGATTGTTTTAGTTGTAGAGAAATTTACTTACGTTTTTACTGTTTCATTAATGTGAATAATCAACAAATTAAGTGGGTCCTCTCGAATAAAAGTATCGAAATTAGTTATTCATATTTGCACTGATTCACTACACAATATGAATAACATAGTACGTAAATGCACGCACATAGGTACCGCGCGGCGGGCTGCCCGTACTAAACAATTTCGATTTATTGTATAGTAACTTTGTTTATTTGCTTTATATTAATGTAGTTGCTTTTTTATGTTGCTTGCTTTGTGTTTGTGTTAATAGTTATAAGTCATTATCAATGTTCTCTTGCTACTTGTAAATGACAAGTGGGTGAGTAGAATACCAGCGCAAGGCCCTGCATTGAACTGGTACCCATTTCAGCACAGACTTGAGACATGTACAAACCATAATAATCATTCATTATGTACTATCACTCCTCTGTGCTTTAAATAAATGTCTATTTTTTGTTCTCTTCTTTAATTTCAACCTTATAAGAGATACATTACAACCTTTTTTCCAGTGCGTACCAATCTTAGGCCGTGGTTTCGAAGCTGGCGGTTACAAATGCGAGTGTCTACAAGGGTTCGAGTACCCATTCGAAGATCCGATCACATACTACGATGGACAAATTGTTGAGGCTGAGTTCCAGAATATTATTGCTGACAAGGAAACAAGAATCGACATGTTTAAGTGCAGGTTGGCCGGTGCAGCTTCAATACAGAGCAGTTTAATAGTTATATTGACTGTTCTATTCCTTGTTTTCAAACTAAGATAATTTTTTAAAGTATTATAGTACTGGCAGGTCAACACACTCAACTAAATTCTTGAAGTTAGTCGATTTTTAATTCTATATCTTAGTTTTAAAGTCGAATTTGGGTAAGTTGAGCTGGTATCTGTACGATTGTATTTGCCGACAAAAGTATAATATTATATTGATAACATGACAATATACATATTGAATCCAAATGAACATAGAAAATTTCAATATGATGAGATGTTTTTCTTGAATTGTAATCGCAAAATCGGAGGTAGAGAGAATGTTTATTAATTTCTAATTGGCAGCTGATAATGTAGATCTAGTTTTACTATGCAATTATTAGTATACAAGTCAGTTACTTTTTTTTGCCATCATAATCTTGAGTTAAAGGTTAGCAATGAGGTATAATATTTTAGTCATGATTATGTATGTAGCATTTACATTACTATTAATTGCAATAAAATGAGCAGGTTTAGTTTGATTAGGGAAACTAAAAAAATAATGTTTAACTTTGGAATCATGGCAATATAATATTTTATCTATATTTACCAATTTACAATATTGGGAGCTCTTAAAAAGACAGAAACAAATATAGAATAGCTATAAGTGTAAGGTTTTATATCCACTAAACATATCAATGTTTTGTATGAAACTTATACTTTAACTTTATATGAAACTGTAGATCTGATATTTTATACATTATATTAGACTGTAGATACACAACACAAGACTATTAATACATGTATATACTTTAAATAAATAGGAACAACAAGTAAAACACAGCTCTATGCAAAATTAAAACACTTTATACTAATTTAGAACAAATGTACCTTTCATATATAAAAAAAAAACAATTATGGCTGCTAAATATTAGTATGACAACTAAATAATTATAGTTCCTGCACAAAGCAGCTGATATAGAATCTCTATGCATTTACTTAAACTGTCAAACACCAAGCGGTCACCGGTGACCGCAACCTATTGTTCTTTAATTGTGTCTATAAATACGGTACTCGACGAGTTAATATCTGAGTAATATTTTATGTACCTATATATTTTCATAATTATAATTATTTAGATTTAATATTTTAAGTACTTTGATATTATATAACTTAAATACTGACTTAATTTTTACACACACACTTTATGTGTGTGTGTTAAACAGAAGGCCGTCCATTAAAGGCTGAGATCTTTACAAATATTACTGTATATTAATATTATTGCGTTATTCATAGCAAATATAAGAATTAATATAGATAAGATTTAGTTTTAAGGTGCAGTAACACTTGATTCCCATAAAACCTTAAAAAAAGGTTGCAGTATAGTTCTGTTTCGAGCATAATGTGATGTTTTGCCTTTAGTTTTAATGATTATTAATGGGAGATGCTAATTTGATTTGCACATAGCTTTGTATAACTACCGAAAGAGAAAGTGGCAAAGAGAAAAAAATAGTGCCTTTCTTTTGAAGAAAATGAATAAACTTAAGCAGTATATCTAAGCTGGTCTTAAAAGAGTCTGAGAATGAATCAAAATTAGTACAAATATCTTCCTCCAAATTATAGGCAGCTACATCTTAAATACTATTTGTTGTTGCAATGTGCACTGTATGTTTTTGTATCAAAAACCAAATGATTTTTATATTTTACTTATGATATATTATTTTGCACACTTTTGACAATATCAAGGAAAAAGACAAATAACCTGATTATTTTTATATTTACGAATAAGTTCGTATGTTTTGCTTTTATAAAACTTTTGTTTACTTTAATTTTAATATGAATTACTTATATATTCAACATGGAAATTATAAAGTCAAATAAATAACACAGTATTCAATTATTGCACAAGTTACTTTATTTTATTAAACATTTGTACATGTCGATATGTCAGAAGTATACATTGCTTGTTTGTATAATTTTATTATTGTATAAAATGAAATCAAAACTTTATATTACAATATCATGTATACATAATTGATGCATCACTGATATTTACATTATATTTTAAATTGAATTCACTCTTATTTGTAATATCAATCAAATGGAAAGATAATACTTTTATAATGCTGTTTCACAATGTCTGCATGTTGTCGTTAATATAACTGACAAATATGTTACACATAGTTAATAAAGAAACTACTCGATAGTTTCCTTCTGTTAGACTAAAGGCAACTTATCAGACATGGTGAAATGGCTCTAAATACTATGTATCAATGTAATATTAAAATACTGTGATTATTCTCGTCTCATTGTTATGCAATGTTGTACACATTACTCCACAAAAGAGTATGCATATTGCATAAATTGTTATATTTCAAGAAAGAATGGACATATTGTGTCCATTTAGTTTTATTTTCTTTCCACATTCCAATGTTTCCAATTCCATGTGAAGTGAATGTTGATAAAAATGTACCGTCCATTACAGTGCCTTTTGTAATATTTTTAATAAAATCTTTGCAATAGTTGCGAGTTTTATTCATTATGTTGTAGGTACTGCTCTTGTGTTGTACTAAAAGCAAATGTTTAGTTACGAATATTAATTTTAAATATACTGGCGGACATTGAAATTAGACCATACCTTGTTTTTATGATTTTTATTCTTATTGTGACTTATTTAATCCTCATTAAATAATTCAGAAAAAATCGTAGTGTGGGGCAACACTTTTCTTTTTAATAAAAAAATTGTATTTTCAAATATTTCCTGATGTTATTTAAGGAATACTTACGGTACAGTAATAATTAATTGTTGTTAAAATAGTTCATCATTTTGAAATTTTCATGACAACAGTTTTGGTAAGTGGCCTGATTTTATTGTCCTGGAGTATACTAGAAGGAATGTAGTTAAAATAAAATAGTACCTATTACATACTTGCTGAGTAGTATGAGCTGGCTTCTCAGGAATACTAGTACTATGATCAGTCCAAAGTAGATCGTGATGTATATGATCATGTATGATACGACGAGCATGCGGAACATTCCCATGCTGCGTCTGGGAGACACATTTTCTGCTTTCCCATATTTCACATGTACACATTGTTGACTGGTTTTTCCATTATTGTGGTGTTGTTACATTTTGTTTATATTATTTTCCATTTTGTTTGATAAAGGTGTATGGTGTGATTGTTTGACTATTCTTTGACACTGACAGTATAAATCAGTGTGACTTCGGAATGATTTTTAGGATTTTTACATTGTATAGATAGCATAATGTATTAGTCTTTGTACAGATCTTTTACCAAGAAGATATAAGGTAGTTAGATGTTGTTTCCGAGTTCGATGGGTACAAGATGGGAATTGAGATAAGGAAACAAGCAATATATTATGTTTCCTTTTTCGATACAACGAAACTAGAGGGTAATGGATCATGCAACTTTATTGTTCAGACTTCAATGTGATAACTGATAATGCCAGTCTTAATTGCATCATTGCTGAAATACGGAGACCGATACTGTTCTATTATGAAGAAGGAATGCTGTGTAATATGTTTCGTCGTTCTCAAGTCGATAACTCTAATTAGTTTTGAATTGTTTTAAGTTTTTGATCTTTTTTATAGTTTCTGCCTATTCCATCGAACTAAGCTGGCGGCACGATTGGCACAGTGCCTGGGCAATCGGCTACTGTGCAATGTGCCACTGGTTGGATTCACATACGGTACATTATTTTTGTGATCCAAAAATTGTTGTCCAATATAGATACACCCTGACCAGTATACAGGAAAAAATATTAGTGTAGCGTAATGTTTCTTTTAAACATTTGCACAAGTTGTTTAAATATGGAGCAGGTCTTTTCAGAGGACCTGGTGCCCCTTACAGGTGCTGAGGGTGGCCACCGGGGTGGTTTTGGTGAGGTACGATTCCCACACTCCTTAATCTTTCTCCCCAAAAAGCTAGGAGCCGTTTGAAGGTTTCCTCCCGACTTAAAAAAAATGTCTAGGTATTTTACTTATATGAAAGGAAGGTATATTTAGTCAAACACATTCATCAGTAATACGATACAAATACTATATTACACTAAACATTAGATTTACGTTTTATTTTACTCAAATACCTATAACACAGATTAATTTTAAAAGCTGTAGTGCTTTTAAAATTTCGATCCATTTGGCAGCTTCTGTAGGTAAAAAATGGGCGTCTTCAGGGAAAGGTGAAAAATTGCATCACTTTTTATACGGCAAA